GTATGAATTTGTAAAAAAAGTTATCTAAACTACCTCTTACTGCATTTATTTTATTTGAAACTAAATTTTATAATCTTAAAAACTATCAGACCTGTATTTGTAGAAAGTAAAAGATAAAAAATACTAGCACAAATAAAACAGCGGAATTGATAAACTCCTGCCTTTTTGAAGTCGGTTGAAAATTACTTATTTGCTTCATTGAAAGCAGCGTGTCTAATAAGCTTACAAAGATGAAATAGGACAAATATTTATGCCGAAATAATGAAAGCTTATTTAATAACAAATATGTATTCTTTAGTTCAAAATTTAAAACTTTAGTATATAGGTACCTATTATTTTTTTGTAAGGAGGCCTGGAAGTCGGTAAATTGATATAAAATACAATACGACGCGACGTAAGACTTAAAGCGAACTTTCAAATCTACATCCATCTCCCTCACACGTTGAAATTCTTATTATAACAAGAGTGTAGTTATTGTTTAGCTTTACCTCGTAAGTACCAAAACACAATAAAAATGTGATGAAAGAAACCGTTCAACGCTTGTAAAGTTTGCTTACGAAGTGTCAGTTCATACCTGGTGACAATAAGGATTCATTCTATTCCTTCTTTCACAGCAACATCATAATTCGTGATCTGCTTCATTTCAATAATAACTTTTGATAAAATATATACGTTTCTAAACGAATATTTTGTATAAAACCTTATTTAATATATTTTTAATAAACTGTACTTTATCCCCCACACATTTAGGCTAATTATTTGAACTCAATAGCCATAACCTAAAAGTCATCTACATGTGATCGTCGGGTGGTCGACAAAAGATTTCTTGATATGGCAATTTATATTCACAAACAAAACTTTATAATGAATTACATTATTGTGAGAACTAATAATGTGCAACTAAAATTAACCAGCCTTAAGACTTAACGCTTTGAGAAATCAGTCTAATTATTATTATTATACCAAACGATATTTTTTATCATATTTTAGTCTGCGCCTAGTTTCTTTTCCTTACAATACATAAGCTTCTTATTTATGATTAATTTGGCGCCAGTCTATTTTCGTCCGTTATTTGCAGACTGTTGATGACTTCAATTTATTTATTTATACTTTAAGATTATTGTCATCTTTAAAACTCAAGTATCTATTATAATTATATTAAAGTCAATCTATGTTGTTTTTATCACAAGTAAATTGTAACATATACCATATTAATATAATATACAAATGCCGACCAACACAGTGACGTTTCAACACGTTCAAACATGTATGAATTAATATCTTAATAGTCAAGGATAACTCAATGAAACGGGACAATGTGACGCGTGTTACGTGCCATACTTCTAATAATGTGACAAATATTTTTTTTTTATTATAGATAAATCGATAATATTTTTAAAAAACAAACAATATACAAGCGTATAAAAATTTCATGAATTATTTGTCTTTAAATAAATTAGGTATATATTATTTTGAACTTATTGGGATTATGGATATGTGACGGTGTATTCTTTATAATGATTGAATATATTATTATTGAAAATTTACTTTATTTAAATAGAGTTTTACAGTGTCTTAACATCATTAAGAATTAGAGAGAACTAACTGCTAACAAACTTATTTCTACAATTGTCCTTTTTACATTATGTAACACTTAGTATTCTTTATGCAGTCTATATTATGCTATGGGCCAAGTGATTAACGCGGGCAGTATTCATAATGCCCGATTCATAACATATAAATAATAATAATAATAAACAATACTTGGATTGCACCATTTTTATCGCTCGTAGCTCGAGTTCTTTAAACTTTCTCCGAAATAATAAAACCTTTTTCATGAGTAAAAATGTGTTCACCAGATATTACTTAAGAAGGATAACTTTTACTTTCAAAACAATGAAAAATATCTGCAAAGTATTAGCTTCATTTAAAATCTTAGATCTCATTAAAATATTTTTTTATACAAAACACAATCGATAACTTCCATAAATCTTCTTTAAAGCTTAATAAGAAAGGTAATACACAATAATAATAATGTCAACGATTGCTTTGATGTTTGCGTAAAAGTGGTATCATATTTCCTAATGCAGCATAAGAATATTCTAGATCTTACGGCGATGTAAACTTCACTCGTTATGTGACACTTTATCCCATGTTTCTCATACATTTAAATACATTGCCTTATATTTATAAGCTTCATTTATATATTGAAATAATTCCTACATTTTGTCTACTTCTACCTTGTAAATAAATAAAAACATGAACAGACATGACCTAACGATGTTATCTTATTTTTATTACATATCTCTAATTTGCATTCACTGTAATTTATTTGTCAGTCAACTATTATTAAACGCTAAAATCGCTGCTATACATTTGATAACACAAACATTTAAATAAAAAAATGTGATACAAATACTCTTTTTAAAACAATCTTTTATAAAAAAATAATAATAATCAATCAATTATTTAACATATCAATGTGAATTCTTGACACCTTTCAATGTGCTCGGAAACAGCCGGTTTAGCCGTAAGTTGTAATTATATTTTAAATATTTTCTGGATCTACTTATATAATTCTCGATTTGCCTTAAAAACGGATATTAATTCAAAATAATATTGTATTCGTAACCTGGAAGATTTATTATAAGTGTATCACTCATGAATAAACAAAACAAAAATAGTAAGTAAAGTAAAAACAAACTATATATATTTGCATATCTGACAAAGAATGTTCAAGGCCATCCAGTTTAAAAATTTCGTCTGGCCAATGACTCCACTACGTATTTCGTTACTGACCTTCGATACCAAACAAAACATACATACGTAATACTTGCCAAAAACAGCAGATAGGTACAAATAATTATAATAGCTAGAATCTTGCCTTGTCTTTCGAACTTCAATTAATCATCTTAGAGCTGTTTAAGCATAACTCAAAAGCTATATCCATGTAAGGGTATAGGATCGAGTCACCACGAAAAAAAATTAGAAATATATTCAATAACATGTTGTAGTTAACGAAATCTCCTCAAATATCTACTCAGTCGATATTAAAACAGACCCGTGTTTGTAAATCTTGTACATTGAAGTGTGATAAGAGCGTCTACAACTTATGAAGATGATATACATATATGAACAAAATTTTGTTTACAAACGATCGCTACAATCTTTTGGAAGTTGAACATGGGCCTTGAACGCCTTAATGTTTGCGTGGAAAGATAATTCACCGGTGAGCTTGTTTTAATCTAAGTTACTAACTATTATATAAAGTTGCAAAATTTTTCTTTCCATTTTTATTTCCTGTATTGTCAGACGTCACTTTTTAAGTATTTACAATGAACACTTTTTATTCGCTTTAATGTAAAGATTGCAGGGTCGGGTAATTTTTTATCCATATTTTGTATTAATTTGATTGCATTATCTATAATTTTTGCAAGTATTGCACCAAGTATCAGGCAATATACAGATAAGGACATTTATGTTCAATTACTTTTAAAGTTAACAAGATTTATTACATTCTTAGAAGTATATAAGTATGGTGTTAGGTAACTGTTAAAAAAAGCAAGTCAAAATGAAACGTACTTCAGTTTACTACAATTAAGAACAAAAACCACTCAAGTGACGAAGGAAGGTCGTCATCGACCCTTAAGACATAACTGACTGGTGTAAAGGCGCCACTTCATCATACTCCTACAAAAAGTTTGTCAAACTGTCCTGCCAAGTATTTGCTTAACTTACTCCTATAATTTATGTACAAACATCTATAAAACCTCAACTAAAAACTTGTGTCAATATAATAATCACTTTTACAACTTTACTGGTGCAATATACACACACATACCTCGCATATATGTATAATAGGAATTATTTGCACTGAAGTGTCATTTAAGTAGTTTGATAATGTATGAGTAAGTTTTAAAAAAAATAGTTTCAATGAATCAAAAGCTCTCATTATTTTCCTATTTATGTCTCAGACTTCTTGCTTATTCTTTTATATTGTATAAGAAACAACTTTGTGCTACAATTCTGTTTATTTGTTATATAGATCAGTAATAAATGTTTCACATAAAGTTATTTCAAACATTAATTGCTTAGCCAGTGGATGGCTTTGAATGTCTATTTTGAACATGAAATAAAATTTTGTTTTAGGTCTTAAATATTTTTTTTTAAATAAACATCACACTGATTTATTTAATTTAAAAGAATTATAAATACTAAAAATCATTATTTTTTCATTTCAGAAAATAAATAAAAGACACAAAATGGACGAAAGTAATGGTAAGAAGCTTTATAAAATTACTTGTTTTTAATTTTTAATTCAAGAAATTATTTAAAACGATATGTATATTATTTCAGAAAGCCAAAAACTGATGGAAAATTTTGATTTTGATTCTCCAATACAAGTCACGTTAGTCATAGAAGAAGATAACAGTCCAAATACATTTATATCATATAATGAAAATGCTTCTCAAACATCAAGAATCCCAACGACTGATGTTAGCAATAAATTAAACCAATTAAAAGCTAAAGAAAAGCCGTTAAAAAGATATAATAGAAATAATAATAAAAACCTTCCAACGACAAATGGTTTTAAAGAATTGAATACAACAAAGACTAACTCGTCGTCACTAGAAAAAGATAAATTAAGAGGAAAAGATGAAGTAAATTCGTCAAATTTTCCATGGCATCTTTTAAATCCAGTTATTGAAAATTTAATTAATATTTCTAAATTCCACTACCACCATATCCTCCTTGTTGACAAACAAAGACCTGATTTTCAGAAATTAAAATCTGAATACTTGATATTCAAACATCATTTTTTCAATTTGTCATACAGTACTACACTTGCGTTACTACTACCTTATGAAAAAGACGACTATTTTTTAAGCAGTTTTGTAGATAGAATAATACAAATTGCTAATATGTATTCATTGAGAGAAATTGCCTATGAGAGAATTTATATACTTATACGAGATTTATTAAGTTGGACCAAAAGTAAAATGAATTACCTAAATAAAAATTTTGGCTTCTCTAATATTGCTGCTGAGGCCTTAGCTTCATCAAATACTTCACGTCTACCTACTGTTAATCCAAACGAGAATATCCAGCAATTAAATATAAGCCCCATAGTAGACATTTCGAATAAATTACTAACAAATAACTTACAACAGCCAACAAATCCATCAAGACGTCAATCATTCCAACAGATACAAAGAAATAATTTATATCCAAATGCTGTTTTTACAACAACCAGTGTAATAAATAGTGATGTACAATATGAATCAGAGCCAGCGACACTTGATATTATAAATGATCAAAATACACCACAAACAAACGGTTTAAATTATGTTGCTCAAGAAAACTATAACTACGGAACACCACCATCGAAGAGGATAAAACCAAATCATAGCTATAACATAGAAGAACACAGTACAGATATCAATCAAACGTCGAAAGGTAGAAATTATTACTGTGTTATATGGCGAAAACATTTTTAAAATCTTTAAAATCTTTAGTTCTAAAAGGTTAAGGACCTTTTCAAATAATTTTAATATTTCAGATCCATTAAGGTCATCTATATCAAGAGACAGTGGATGCGGTAGTCCACCGACCATAAATTTTGCAGAAAATGAAATGGTAAATCATCAATTACATTTAAATCTCCTAATTAGATATCATAACTTAATTAAAATGTTGTTTTTTTTCAGAATCCTATATTAAATCCTGAGGAGGTGACTCCAATTATATCACATGTAACGTCGACAAACCCAAAGGCCATAAATATACAGAGTGGCAATTGTGTAGTCTGTCAAAGGGTAACTAACACAGTGTGTATAGGCTGTTACCAAAAATATTACTGTTCCTCTTATTGCCAGGTAAATATTCCCGATCAAGCCTTACCATCTATTGTAATTCCGTCAAATTAATATTTTTGTACAAGCTTCTTATAACAAATATACATCGATTGATGTTTTTGAAAGTGCACTAAGTAAAACTAAGATAACATGTGCACTTAGTGCACTGCACTACCGTTTTAGCACTGTCACTGCAACCTATTTCGAAGACTACACATAAATTTAAAATTCTATACATACAGAAACCTAGAGAGAAAATTAATAAATAAAGTTATTTTTGTTCCAGCTTCGGGATTGGAGTTTTCACCAGGTGATCTGTAAAAATAAATGATTAAAATAGAAATTTCCTCTGTTTTCTTTACATAATCCAAAAATTTTTCTTACTTCAAAGATTTCGTTGTTTTCATCTTGGTAACTTTATGTTTATGATATCAATATTAAGTACATACTATGACAAATAATAATCATTAAATTGTCAGATTATACGTTTTGTTATAACTGTGGAATGTTACTCAACATGCTGATTTAGACGTCACAGGTCGTTCACATTAGATACCAATAGATGCCAATTCTGCTCCTTTTCCTTATAAATAAATAATTAAACCTAGATACCTATTGTCACTAATAAATCTATGTTGAAATTTTAAAAGCATGAGCATTATTATAGACGTAAAAAGATTTTGTTCTGTAACTTTTTAGGTTGTATTCAAATACATAAAAATATTATATGAAATTGTATCCTATATCTGAAGTGTCTAGCAGCTTTATCTGTGTTAAGATATAAACATACATAAACATACATGTATAAATCTTATTTTAAAAATAAATTGCAAATTAACACAGAAATAAATTGATATTATGACTGAACTCAAAACAGACTCAATCAAAGATCAAGGCTCATTTAATAGATATACTGGCCTCTTTTCATTCATGTGAATTGACATGGCAAGTGCAAATAAAATTGTGTAGATGACTGCAAATACAATCATGTACCATATCGGCATAACTGATTCAAATCTCAATTTTTTATGATGATTTCTCTTAAACAATTGGAAATATAATACCTAATTAGGGCGACTAAATGAAGTACATGGTAATACTAAACGTCTTGGCAAACATCTGTAAAGGCTCATTTCTTCTCATATATATTGTATACAGGGTTACAGGTTAAGTCGACCGAAATCCTTTAAGAGAGGGTAGATTCCATCATTCCTTACTGATTTGATTATGGAACCCCATATACTAAACCTAACCCTTCTCAAGTTATTGGCCTTTGCCTTTATTTTACAAAAATTACAGATTTTTGTCGATTGCCCCTTTATTTTTTTTGCGTCCCAATTTTGTATCATTTTTGCTATTTTTGTGTAGAAGATTAATTGCTTTATTATATTAAGCTACAAAATTGCCAGTAACTATACCAAATGAGTCGTAGTAAACAGTCAATTGTTAAAAAAAATAATAAATTTGATAAAAATATTTTTTCTTGGTAGAATAACTCAAAAAAAGTCTATGACAGATGTACTGCAGATGTGCTAAAAAATATCTATGTGCACAAAAATAGCAAAAATGATACAAAATTGGGACACAAAACAAAAATAAAGGGGCAATCGACAAAAAAGCTGTAATTTTTGTAAAATAAATTTAAAAGCCAATAATTTGAGAAGGGTTAGTTTTAGTATTTGCGGTTCCATAGTCAAATCGGTTAAGATCGATGGAATATATCCTCTCTTAAAGGATTTCGGTCCATTAAACCTGTGTAGCAGCACGTACACGAAGTTATAACAATAGTGTAAGGAATTTCGTGAGCTGCTGACAAGTGACAACACATGGTGTGCTCTTGAGTAGCGACGGTCTGGCGCCGTTCGTCGCGGGTGCCACATGGTGTGATCGAGGTAGGCGTCACCATGGTGCCACTCAAAGCTAGCTGCTAGCTAACAGAGAATGAGTCTCACCTCTCGGCGGGCTCTCGTAGTGTACGGACGTTGAGTGAAACGATTAAACGCATGCGCATTAAAGACGATACCGTATGTGCGGCTTCCAATCAAAACGCCTGTTTTAATGTGCTGGGTATTCTTATTCTATATGTAATAAATTTTCAAGTATAAATAACTGTAAATATTTTCATTAAATCATTCCTTGAACGAGTGAAAAGTGTATTATTCTCTCCATACAAAGAAACACCTAAACCTGTAACCCTGTACAGTTTTAATGCGATCTAAGACTTCTGCGAGTATCCATTCAAATAGAACTAATATTATTCTGATTACTGATAAAGTAGTTTTAATTATATATATTTTTTACTTTTTTATTTTCAAAGGCGGCAAACGAACAGACAGCCTACCCGATTGAAGGTAGTTACCGTCGACCAAGGACTCTGCAACATAAGAAATGTTACAGATTGGCGTTACCCAATACCCATTATCGAGATAATTAATGGCATTTCCCGTTAGTGCTGCCGCAGCATAAAGGCTACTTCACGCCGATATCATGTGAGAGGGTACTTCTCCGGTCGAGCCAACCATGTCCGAACTGCAATTGCTTGACCACAGCTAGACTCTACAACCTTTAAAATTATTTCATTAAAATTTAACATAATTTCATTCATTTCAACATGTGTAGCGCTTAATCTCACACGCATAAAGCACTTAATCAATTATCAAGTGCTTAAAAAATTCCATCCATTATTTTAAAATGCACCCCACACTTTTTACTCTGAATTAAATTGTTCTCTTAATAACTTAAATTTTACATTGATGTGATTAACTATGAATTTCTTTGTATTTAAGCTAAAATGTATTTTAAGTAACAAAAATTCTTTTTTTTCCAACCGAAATCTATTTCATTAATATACTTGTAACTCTAAATAAAGTATAATATATAATGATTATATTGAAATTTGGTTACATACATGTGTATAAATTATCGCTTTCTATGAATTAAATGTCCACTTATAAAAACAAAGCGATAAGGTCACTTCGGCTTTGATATGGTGACTATTATTATTTTAATAAAAATATGCGTTATATTTACATGGTTAAGGTCTTAAATTTAAAAACAAGTAAATGGAACACAGGAAGATGACCTCATTACCCAATGGAGTGAATCATAAACAACGAGATGAATGAAATGCGAAATACATATTTTTAGCAAGAAAAAGACTGACTTTGCAAGATTTAAGCAAGAACAAGGGCAAGCCTGGAAAATTCTTGCGTCTTGCTGTTTGGACTGAGGGTCGTTTTCAGGGAGTAAGTATAGGAGTTCGGGTTCGCTTAGGGACTATAAGCCGCAAGAAAACATATGATATTTTTTTGGAAAATTGGACTTATCTGAATTACGAACACTAGGTACCATAAAAACGTACGTAGCGAATGAAAATATCCATTAGAAGAAAAAATATTGTATTCCTAGTTTTGACCATCGGCATTATGCCGCGGTGCCTTGTCGGCATCATTAAAGGACAGACACTGAGCGGTGCCTTGTCGGCATCATCAAAGATCGGGTACTGAGCGGCGTCTTGTCGGCATCATTAAAGGTCCGCTACTGAACTCTAACAGAAATTTTGGAACTATTCGGAAGTACAAGGTCAAGATAAACGTGCGGCGGCTTCTATTGCGCATACAAATAATCGTCACGATATTTGACACTATTTGATTGCCGCCACAGAGTACAAGTGTTCCAAAGAATAATATTTCGGGTGCTTAGAATGGATACAAATACATTATGCTGATCTATTCTGTTGGGTTTTGTGCTTAAATATGCCGACATCCATTTGATAATTATTATTGTAGACACTTTTAATACACTTCAAACATCTAAAAAAATTCTATAGTTATCGAATAATATAAAAGGCTTGCAATAAGGTTTATGTAGGAATATAATAATATATTAAGAGATCCGTTTAAATAAATAAATTGATATATTGACTATTGCATCACAATATATTTTTAAAGTAGGTATTCATTTACATATAAAATACAGTCATGTTCTTTAAAACACAGTAAAGTTAATGTCATTAATTAGTTTTCTACACATTTAAAACTATATTGAAGATTATTAAATGTACCTAAACGTTTATTGAAAAACAGACTGAATCTTGCAGGACACAGTTGTTAACTCAGTTGGTTAGTTAGAACATGGTTGATTTATTTAAGTATGATAAATTGACACCAAGGAAGGAAGTCCATGTTTTTGAAATGTGTAAAACTTAAACCAAAGAATGATGCCAAATGATCGGGAATGTTGAATGAATGAATGAAAAAATACTGTGTTAAAAACAATCAAGAGGTATAAGCAAATCAAAATCACCGAAGTACGGAACAGGTGTATGCGCTATAGCAGCTGCTGTACAGGTGTTACAGCAGGTGATGAACAGTGTTATTTTAAATATCTGTATTACTAGAAATGATATTATTATTTAAAACAGTCATATGTAATGTTGGCTTCAGCCAGAAGGCCGACGAAATAGCATAAACTACTTTTTTAAAGTAAAATTAATATAACATATTCATCATAATATTACTGATTTCCATATAGCTTAAGCGATGTAAGTAGTAATATTATAGTTAAAAAATAATAATTGTTAATTTATAAACAACCTTGGTTGCAATTAAGTGTTCCCGATAAAGGTACTTATTTGTTTGTTTCTTAGAAAAATCTACATCTGTTAACTTCTTTGATAACAATTTTGCGTTCTCGATGAATTTACATTATTGTTCCTTTCCACGGAAATATACGTCATCTATCTTCCTGGAATTTATGATTGTAAAATTTATCTCGCTCCAAAATAGTAATAATAATTCAAAAGCGGCACTAAGATATACAGGCTTTTCTAAGAAAAATATTTGTTCCAATAGTAAACCTTACCAGCGAGTAAGCAGATGCTGCATTTAGGACAATAGAGAAGCGCACAAAGACGATCATAGAAAACAATAGAGATGCACAATAAACTGGACATTGAACACATCACGAGACAAATGTTTCATCTTTAACTTGCTACTGACTCTGCGGAGTCATCGACTCACCACTAATATCCTAATTATAGTTAGCAGTAAGCACATTACAAGCAATGCCTATTGGACAACCGCAGACGCCGCAAGGCCACCAGGGCGTCGCTGCACAAACAACCCTAATTAAAACTTGTAGCACCATAGTTATAAGTTCCAAGAGAATACGGTGCTTCATTAAAGAATTTTTTTTTATTAAAATGTGCAAACATTCTATTCACTTACGGTCTGAAGTGATATATTGAAAAGTATGAAGATTATCCTGCGGTCAACAACTTCAACTATCTACTTTGATTTGCCTGCATCACAAAACATGGTGTGGTCAAGTTACTACAGCTCAAAAGCTCCACTACTGTGAATAAAAGATAGCCTGATGGGCAGTAGTGTCCGTCGCCCATGGACATCCGCAAATAGATGTTGAGGATGCGTTGCCAATCTTGTTTGTTAAGGAAAAGGGAGGACTGGAGTAGGGAAAGGGCTCTCTCACTCATCGGAAGAAACGCAGCCACTAAAGACCACTTCACGCCGATCTTCTGTGAGAGGGTGGTACTTCCCCGGTCGAGCCAGCCCATGTTCGAGCTGTAGTAACTTGACTATAGCTAGGATCTACCACCTTAAAAATTATTTATTAGAGTTTAGGTGATTTTGTCCTAGTTTGAAAAATTCCTATTAAACATGTGAACGAAACATTCAAAAAGTGCTCCGTGGACTCAATTCGTGTTCGTGTTTAAATGTTAATTTCCCATAACATCTACATAAAATTTATTTTTTTTGGAAGTTAAGACATTTGTATCAAACTTATCTCTTATTTGTAAATTATAGAAATAATTAAAAAAATCAAATATATATGTATATATCAAAATATACAGAAAAACTTAAATGATTTCAATACCATACTTGATAATATATAATTATGAAACAGTGAAAAAAATATAATATTTTTATAATAATGGTGTTTCTATCATAGACAATTATTTAATTCTCACCCGTTAAGAAAGACAATTTGTAAATAATTTTTTGTATTATCATATTACATTATGCAGTCTATTTTGTCAAAGAACCTAAACAATAAATATTTTTTATAAATACATGTATGTAAGCTGTCACAATTGTTAAAAGGCTACTGTCAATGTCAAATTTCTATATTTATTACAAAATATAAGATACCTACTTTATATAGACAATATTTACCCAATTAACATGTTTCAACTAGTAAATATTTAAAAAACACAGGGTTTATAGTTACAAATTACGTCGCATATTCATATAACATGTCAAGAATAGTTGCTTCGTTACATGTATTGTTCTCAGCACGATAACCTACAGTTTTTTTTGCCATGAATGAATTTTAAATGCTGAGGAAAGTGACAATAAAAGTCTTAAAGCTCTGAATTGAATGAAATAATGGACAAAATAATAATTTATATGACGAAGGGATAAATGAAGATGTTATTATATGTTTCATGCTTGGTTTGTTATTATAGTTTAATAGAGTCCATTTACAGTAGGTTTAAGATGTGGCATGCCGCTCTTTTGCGGTTTATCAGGCGACGATTAGTTTTAGGAATAATTTTTGCATCATCATTGACCTATTGCATTGTTAGTTTCCTCAAGGAGGTTAGTTTATAAAGTACTTTATTCATTTGAAACACAACACAACAACTGTTACTCAGACAAGACTTTAAATCAATTATGTCATATTTCAGGGTAACAATAAAAATATGGTGTATCAAGATGTGTCTATAGAACATAAACCATTCGTATGGAGAACACTTCAAGAGCACAATGAAACTCAAGATACTTTGTGTAGAAACTCAATTCAAGGAAAGTCTTTACTTGTGGATGACCGAGGTGACTTGTTTCTTTAATGTATATGATTGTTATTTTTGCCTACATATCTATCTGTGTGGATAGAGTTCAGAGAGAAGTTTAAACATTGTATTAAAGAAATAGATACAGTGAGATACCATCAGCAATATCCACGGGAGCAATGTCTGTGTCATAAGATTTCATATAAAATACAACTGTTATTCTATGACCAGTATGAACTAGATGAAATTGTAGATATATCTTTTTTGATATCTAAGATTTGCTATTTTCATCAAAATCCATTACATAACTTTTCAGTGAAAGATCTGTTAACATCTATTCATCCTCACAAAGTTTTGAATTTATAACTAAGACTAGATTTTACCAACAGAATGGCTTGTTTATTTGAAATTTGTAATAAAATAATACTTAAAATTTGAGAAATTCATGTAATTTATTCTTTAAATTTGTATATCTTAAAGTCACACCAAACAAGTTTATCTTCCATACAAGAATATAAAATAATAATTATTTGTTTACATTCAAGGTTATGTATGCCAAAGAATGGATTTGGCTAAGAATGGGTGTTGCAACACAGAAGCTAAATATACTCAGAGGTATAGCTGTAAATCATGCAAGAATAACAACTGTTGTGTTATTTATGAATATTGTGTATCCTGCTGTCTCGATCCCAGTAAGGTAAACAAAACAGAATACTTATGTATATGTTAAAGTGGAACATTTACAGAAACTAACTAATTACTACAATAATAAATTTAGAAGTATTTATATATTATAAGTCAGATTTAAGTGTGTTTCTGATTATAATATAATCAAGTAAGGTAACTTTTTAGTAAACATGTCTTCAGTCATCGCCTTGTTCTCATGCAATTTTCGAGTAAACATAAGTTTGTTGTAGAATATAAAGTTTATATGTAATTTTAAAACCAGATATACCCCATGCAGATCTTCCTTTACAATTATTAAAATATTTACTTTTGTAATGAATTTCTTAATTACTGAATAGATTCTAAAAAATATATTAAATACACATTTTAATGAACCAGGGTGAATATACAATATGGCATATATTTTAGCTAAGCCACAATTATAAACTAATTCAAATATTTTAGTTTTTGTTTTAGTTTACTTTCTATTTGTAAAAATATTTATTCATAAAATAATTGTGTGTTTTATTCTTTCAGAGGAGTTTGCTAGAGTTGGTGCTGTCAAAACTGTCAGCCGAGGAGAAGGTTTTGTTCCGTTCAATAAGTGATGATTATGAGTTATGTCTAACAAAGTGTAGAACGAGTTCTCATAGTGTGCTTCATGAGAATTCCTATAAAGATCCCAGTCATAAGCACTGTTTTGGCGACAGAACAAATTCAAAGCAAACAGACTAGCAGTTAATGCACAGATTAAAAAAACATTTATGACAAATGATCACAAAACTGTTTGGATCATGACCTTAGTGAATTATAAAAGTGTAATTAATAATTTTTTATATCGTGACTGGATTGTGAGTAAAATATTTTTTTAAAGTTTTCATATATCAAGTGGAATGGATTAAATATTATCAGGTATGTAATCAAACATGAATAGACAATTTCTTATTTAAACATGTTATACTTACAAGTGCACTTAATAATGAACGAAATTTTGTTTAAATTACTTATAGAAATTTTAATACAAGAGGCTATATGTACATGAAAAACAACAAAAAACATTTGGGAATGTTTAATATAATTTATTAGTCTTAACCTAATTATAGTTACCAATTTCAAAGTAAGTTAGTAATGTCGAGGAATGTGAGCACAATAGAGAATCACAAGTATATTAAATAGTCAATTATTATGTTAATCTAGATAGGAAATGCATACATTTGTAATTTAGTAGCTTTAAAAGATATAATAAAAATTCATGATCACACTATATATTATATAAATGTTAGATAGTAATTAACAACTGTATCCTTTAGTATCCAGTTTTATTACGATTTACTTATGTGACAAAATATATTCTTTGCAAATTATGTCGTTTGAAACAGACTTATGGAATGGTTAAGTATGTGAGAGGAATTCTTAAGCCGATACCAATAATAATTGCTGTCACACTACTAAGATGTTACATATGTATTATATAATGAAATACATATATTATTTTTGAATCAAATGTGATGTCATGTACCTAATTTTATATAAACAAAGTGAATGTAACTTATATACATGTTAGGTTTATTAATTGCTTCTAAATAATATTCCATGAAAAATAAACACAAAATTGTATTAGCTACATATTATTAAAGTATTTTAATATATAGATAATTTTATATCAATAGAAACATTATGATATAACAACTTAGTTATTTTAAATAAATTGCTATTTATAATTAAATGCTTTATATCATTGTAATCAATATAAAAATGTTTAATGCGACATTTAATTTTAATAGCTTATAATTTTTTCATATAAAAGAATCATAAACGACTTCAAACAATGTTTTAAATATTAGTAAACAGTTAGGCTTATTAGTTATTGATTAATTAATATTACTTCGTCCAATACAATACTTTAATTTTGAAGTTAAGTGTATCGATATTGTAACGTTAAATAGTTTTATTCACAGTAGATAGAACATTTTTGATAGAAATTGTGATATGTATGTAAATTGTATGTTTAACAGCTCAGTAATCAGCGTATGCTTATGATAAGTGTGCTCTATGCTTAAATAACGCCTTACATTGTTATGTAAATTTAAGTAATTAATATTTATTTATTTTAAATAAAATATTTTTGTACTAATTTTATTCATTATTTTTTTTTTTGTATCAACTTCTAATAGTTTCACATTTTCAAGAAATATGTCTTAATATATATACATTAAAAACAAAATTTTTAATTCTGCCTGCTATCTCAATTACATCAAAATGCTCTTATATAACAGTGCATATAACAATGTTTTTTTAGATTGATCAGAATCATAATGATAAATGTTTATGAGTAATTATTTTTGATAAAATTTTTAGCTAATGTAGATAATGAAAAATGTCAAATATGTGAAAGATTATTTTAGTTCTTTTTGCTACTGCTAATGATAAAATCTAATATGTCATTGATGACTCTTGCACCATCATATTATATGATTTGTGGGCGTCTTCCGATGAAATGTAAATTGTAGTCACTTATAAGTTATGAACCTTAACGGATTAGTTGTGACTCGTTATAGTTACAACTACAGTTCGTCTTTACAAAAGATCATTATATTCAGTTCTCGATTTAGAACTTAGATTTTTTCAACTCACATAAGAGGTACCTAAAGTATTTGATTTTTTTTACCTTCATTCCTCTACACATTTCAGTAAGACAGATAAAATGATAACAGAACAATCCCAAAAAAAATCTATTAAATTGAGGACAGAAGAACGAACGTTTGGTCGTGTCTGTAATTTTTTATAGAGTTTAATTTACTAACATAAACGAATTGTTTAATTTAATTAAATGAAATAAACATCACATTACACAAATGATTATTCAGCAAAACTAATTTCAATCTGCGTGACTTATTAGTATCTAATATTTTAAACAAATGTACATAAACAATTATCTACAGTTATAAACGCATATCAGTTTTTGCAATTCAAAACGATTATCTCCACTATAATATAATTTTTATATAAAAACTTTAAGAATGTTAATCAGCATGCGTGTTAATATTATGTTAGACATTTTTGAGTTATTATGATTTTGCAAGTATAATATTGACATTGTATTTTCAAACATAATTCGTTTGGACCAATATTTAGTGCATTCCTTGTCAGTATGTCAGATAAATAAAAACAAACTGTTGCGTCACTGAGGACCGAGGTGTCACACAATCATTGTGAAGGCAAAACTACACGGCGGCCTTCCAGCAAGTGTACGAGCGATCAGTTGCTTTGTAACAGTGAATGGGAACGAATCATTATGCTCAGGTGAGTTTTTAAATATTATGTATCGATACAGTCCGCTCGTGAGAAATAAAACACGTCGCTGCGATAAATTTAATTAGTTTACAAAGTTGTTACGGACAAAGTTTGAAGTAATTGTTTTTTTTTTGTTGTTAATTTAAGTACATGGTTTTAATAGCAAGTCTTAATAACCTATTTCTCTATTTAAAAAAATACTGACTATTCTAAATTCAAAAGAATACTCTAAAGAAATACGGGTTTATCTAAATCAGTCTTTCTTTACATAGGTTTTAACTTTTCCTTTAAAGCTATTTTTATTTCGCTAAATACCTAATAAAAATATTTATAATTAAAAATTTGTCGAAAAAGAAATGTAATACCTGGGCAGACTGATAAGTTAGGTAAAAAATAAATGATACGGTAATACTAGTATAGAAGTTATAACATATTGAAACAGGTTATTGTTTTGAGGATAAATACCCGAAATTTCATTCCAATATTAGAATTTTGAATTAGTAATGCATTGTTAGGCATTTCGATCGGGCAAGTCGTGAAATGGAAAAAAATTAAATTCGAGTGGTGATAAACATTATTTTTTATAAAAAAATCTCTTAATATCTATTATGTTGAATCTTCTCCGTTACTTAAGATAGTTCGTTAGTTTCGTTGTGGTAGATCAAGCATCGAAGACTCTCCTCGCTACGGACATCCAATCGAGGTGACCATTTCAGAAATGGTCACGGAAACCCATGATATTGTATTAGGAAGTCGGAGAATTAAGTTAGGAAAGATAACCAGCGATATAAACATTTTATACGAACGAGTTTTCAACATTATGCATGAACATTTGCATATGAAAGAGTTTTCTATAAGATGTTTTTTAACAATTGTCCTAAAAGGTGAAAGAGTGACGCATTCCCAGGCTAATTTGCGGCTGTTTGAACGAAATCATGATGAAACGTTCATGAAACATGAATTTGTTTCTACATATCAGAGACGAAAAACAAGCTAAGCAGCAAAAGCTGTTGGTAGTGCTGTAAAGTACGCCAAGGTAGTTTTAAGTACGCCAAGGTAGTTCAGCTGGCTAAGTTATGACCACAGTTTTGGATGCACAAAGTATAATGCTCTTCGATTTCCTCCAAAATGGGAATACAATAAATGGAGATTATCACTCTTCACTCTTGGATCAATTGAATCAAGAAATCAAAGCAAAAGCCCCTTATCTTGCCAAGAAGACAGTATTCTGTTCTGTCATTCCAACGACCAAGTTGGTTAGTTACGCTACGAAATATTTGCTCATCCTTTTGGATGAGTATGGTTACTCTCCTGACCTGGCACCCAGTGATTATTTTCTTTTTCTAAACATGAAAAATTAGCTTGTGGGCTAAGATTTGAAACTAATTTAAAAGTGATATCTTTTCTAAGGCCTATTTGGAGGCTTTTGTAAAGATTACTCCAAAGAGTGGATAAAAAAACTCCAGCATCGCTATGTCAAGTGTGTAGCTCCAAAAGTGATTACGTTGAAACATAAACGACAGAAACTCTTTTGTTTCGTTTTTACTAGATTTATCAATCAACCCCCGTAAATCCATACCCTCAATTACACTGTATGTTTTACATTTTTTTCCATTAAGTGGAAAAGAAAATATGAATTAAAGGAACAAGTACACTCGATTACAGTTACCTTTTAGTTAATTACAGAACTAAAATTCTTCAAGTCAAACGTGACCAATTTAAGCTTTCGGAATAATATTTTATAAAATACAAAAATAAATAAGAGATGAATTACTACTATTAAATAATCTTCTTAGTATTAACTGTGTAACAATTTAGTAGGTATGTAGCAATACAATTTAATCTCACAAGATAAGGTTAAATGTACTATGTAGGTGTTAACGTGTGTCTTATTTATTTGCATATGTGTGCTTGGAAAATACAAGGCACATTATATTCATTAAATTTATATTGTTAGGTCAGGTTAGTAATAGGTTTAATAACACAGTAAAAGAATACTATTATTATTGATCCCGTTATCTGATTGACTGCTGAGATAAATAATATTTTTTTAGTATGTCATGTTTGTTAATCTAGATGATAAAAATTTGAAGCCCATGTATAATACAAGGAAATTACATGTTTTTCCTAGAATTAAAATATCTATTTTAACGTCAACTTCATGTGATCATAAAAATACGACGCGTAACGTAGAAACTCTTTTTACATTATTTAATTAAATGCTGATAAGACTTTGCTACATCAAGTTAAACTTAAAATTAATTGTACACTGTCTCTTTTACCCGTTAGTTTTCCTGGTCTTAGATCGTTTATACACTAGAAGAAGTATAAAATAACTTCGAGTCAGACTGTTGAAGAGATAACAGAAACTTAACATACTAAATAATGTTTTTATTTTATACATTTAATAATATAAATTTGCTTCAGTACATATGTTTAACTCAAATTTGCACCGTCACATTACATACGCGTCGTTAAGTTGATCATTCATAAATCTTTGCAAATTATAGTATTAACGCGGGTGACTGAATGAGTAAATATAGGAAATATTCGTATTTAAACTGCAGATAAAAATTTGTGCTAAGCATATGTACTGATTATAACGCAGGACCGACAATATCACATAAAATACATGAATAAAAAATAAGGAAAATGGAAGACCGTGACATCGGCTCTATGTTTGAAACCAATGTTTGAATTTCAATTATATTTATTTATATTAAGTCAGTTCCCTCAATCAATCAGAAAATAATTCTTCAATCGCTTATAATTACTAAGAAAAGACAACCTAAAATCTCTTAACCTCATTCAAAATAGATTTTAAAATAAATTGATAATAGTGCATATGTATGTGAATTCAGAATCAGTTCCTTTTATACGTAAGTTTAAAATAATAAAGATGAAGTTATCACAAATAAACGTAGCTTATGATAGTAAAAAGAATCACTTGTGAAATTATAAATTTAATCAATTGATGCATATATTATCTCTGTAATTCCATCATTTTATATCAAAATTCACTCATTCCATTGATAAAATCTTTGAAAGTGGATGTCGTATCTTAGTTGAGGGTCTCTACCTAGTAACAAATTGTTAAAAACTTAAAAATATTCGTGTAGTTGGAATAAAGGCTGATAAGGACGATGGTTCTCGGGTATTAGATACAATTGCGACTATTTAATAACCACGTGACATAAATCTGGTGACGTCATAAAATAGCAGTAGGTAATTTCCTAGTACGAGAACAGTATATATTATATTTAAAATGCGAATTTCACTGGATCATAGGGCGAAATCTTAGGAAGATTTACTGTTTGGTATTATCACTGGCCATTCAATTTCTTTCAGTGAGTCTTTATTTGGTATAGGATTTGATTAGCTCATCTAGTCTCAGCTTCTGTGATGACCATTTCTGTTTATCACAATTTTTCTATTGTTTTCAAAACAAATCTCATGCTATTTACCATTCGATTGTTATTCTGAAAGCCCAATAAATAGCAACTCTCGATGCTTTTAAGCGAAATACTCACAATCCTTGTAGTACCTACGAGTATTACTTTATCATTATTTATTTCAAATTAATCAAAAGTGTTTTGTCTACTTTTCCTATTTTTAAACTAACAGCGAGAAATCGGCTTCCATAAATATATTTAATTTTATATTGTCAATTTGAGTACCTGACCTTTCTTAGTACATACTTGTTTAAAGATCAAAAACTAATGAAAGAAGACGTTTGAAGTGCATTGCAACTTCTGGTGTATTCTGTCTTACATATTTTCATTACCCTTTGTGTTCTTTTAAGAGCACTTTTACGAAGATGGTACCCATCCTCTTTTTAATAATGCAATATTCAAATATTTTATTGAATTATTTTAAAACAAATGAATTACTACATACTAAAACAATTTATGAGCTCGCTTTCCTTTACAAACATTTTTGCCGGCATCCAAAATTTGAGACAGTAAAATTCAGTGTTTTTTATTATGTATCAGAGTAGGTACATATATGTATATTTATATCCTTACCTTACAGACATGGCAATTTAATTTAGTTTAAAATTACATATAACGCTTCCAGCAGAGTTATCGGAAAGTAATAAGTTACGTTTTTATTACTTATAATCATATAATATAAAAAGTATTTCTTTTAACACAATACTTGAGTAAATTGAAAGATTAAAAAGAATAATAATATGTAGGTTATTATTTCGCCTACATAGAACTATGAAAAATACACAGGTCAATTTTACTTTTATCAAAAATCGAATGCTTTTATAGTAGACCTTAATAATACAATGATTTATTTCCGGTGACATCTTTTATACGACATAATGGGAATGCGGCTCTTCATGGTCAACTAATTCATTCAGTATAACTTACAATTGTCGACTAAAAATAGCTCGTAGAAAGGTAGATACATTCATGAACTACATAATATGCAAAATAATAAACCTAAAGCAATTTCAACAACATATAGAATAGTGTACACTACTTTTCTTTCGCTTGGACGTGACAGTATTTGGATACTGTAAAAACATTTTTTTTGTTATGTTTTGTTTTAAGTTATCAGTTATCAGGGCAATTATGAAAAAAATTATGATGCCAAATAAATAATACATAAATGATTTATTTGCGAAAACCCTTTGGAAAAGGACTTCTTTAATAGAACAGAGAAAAATGTGCGTTCGAATTTTGTCGATGTTTTGTTCTCTCAAAAAAGCATGTTCCTAAAATACGGACGGGCAGTGCTTGGTAATCATTCCATCTGACGACAATTGTTGAAAACTCCATCCTAATAAAGGCCTATTCACCCTTGGCTTTCTTTCAAATTAGAAATAACCTTATAATTTGGATTTTCCTTAAACTGGTAAATTTTCCTAATCCATTGTTGTGCGTATGAAATGAGACAAAGCGAATCGCTTCATTCAGATACACGAAAGATCTCTAGGAAAGGACAGAGAACAACTCCTGTGATAAAAGTAGGGAAAGTGATATGCGGTTGTTCTTTTCAAGATATGAATTTTGGGTGGAAAAAGAAGTGAATAGTATTATTTTCTTCACTGCGTTTGGGATCAGACTTCTTTTATGACCATTTTATAGATCTCGGATGTTTTTATTTTTGATCCCTTATCACGAACGTCCATACGATTCGACATCGAGATTAAAAGGATTATTTCAAGTTACCTACAATACCATTGATATATTTAATCATCTGTTGCAAATGAGTGATATAGATATTCATGAGTCACAGCTTGCTACTCAACAGATCCTCAACAATGGAAAGGGATTATCATTGTAGCTATACACAAAACAAAGTGAAGTATTTAGCCTATCTGACAGCTACCCTAAATAACTCAACTGCTTAGAAAAATCTACGAACGGAAGATATCTGGGTGTCACCCTGAACCATAACGCGATAAAGGCCATTCATAAGAAAAAAATTCAGAACATTTCGTAACAATCCAGTGAACAGTGCAGATAAATCAAAGTAATTAATTGAACAATTCATAGGAATCGACCAAGCTATTAGGGCCTTGAAATGCTTCAAACCAGAGATTCTCACTATCTGAAAGCCGAATGGAATCGTAACAATTCGATCTGAACTATAGATAGTAGGTACAAACCAACCATGCATAACCATGAAAAGTAAATCTTTAAATCTATTTAATACAGAGAATTATGTTTCTTATTTAAGTTCAATATTTAATTTATCAAGTAATCTTATAAATAATAATCCCTTTAATATAAGCTTAAGCTGTCCTTGCAATATATTATGTTTCTAATTTCCAAGAACTATACATTTTTTACGTCGGAATATTGATTTAAACAATTGAAACAAACTATTTTTATATAGTCACCAAAAGTTATACTAAATATTCATGTTTTTAATTGTCAATTTGATTTACATATTTGAAAGTATGCACAATATTTAATTAACCTGACATTCGTCGCTTAACAAAATGTAGTGTCTATTCAGTAAATACATATAAAATAATATATGTATTATAGCTGTACTATCGTTTATTCCAACAAAGATATTTAGAGTTTGAAAAATCAGTTTTGATGGAAAATTTTTAAATATTACTAAAATTATTGAACAGTTCGGTTTTTTAGTATTATATTAATATATTCATAATAAAATTATTTCACAATTATAACACGTCAACGATCATGTTTTTTTAATTTTTAATTACATAGTTATTTTGTGTTTCATTACAATTCTGTCATGTAAAATAAAAAGTTTTTACGACTTCATAGATAGTGTCCATATTTACACAAATGTGTTTAAATTTATTAAACAAAACAAAATGGACGATTTTTTGATTAAAAATGCGAACACACACGGACTAAGAATAATGTAAATTGTTTAAAATATTTTAAATTTGCATTTCATACTTCCCAAGAATAACCAAGATGGACATGTTGTTCAATCATATCCAAGATGGACATGTTGTTCAATCATATCCAAGATGGACATGTTGTTCAAATTATAGGTACTTCAAAATGTTTAAATTTAACCTCTGGATGTTGCGGATTGGAATTGGATGCTAAAATGATCTGAAGTTTGACTAAGAATTTGGAATTTATATGCATGCAATAAATATGCATTTATGTTTGAAATAAAGAATTCGTCCTTTTTTGCGCCATCACCTTTGGTTTTTGATGTGTATAGATACATGCATATTAGTAGATACATATATGGAATGTTGCCATGAAAATTCGTGAATTGGATTTTTTTGTTATATTGGAATCATTTGGTAAAAATTGTGATTCATCTCAACTAATAAAAGTTCGACGGTGCTTCCAGATCAAGAGACAGTTCGGAGGTTTAAAATATGTTGTATTAAAAAGAATTGCACAAATATTTTTGTTAAATCAATTCGATCTAAGCCGTTTTAGAATATTCTTTGATTATCACTTCCGATATTTTCTTCACAATCATATCAACACCTATTAAATAGCAAAAGTGTGTAGATAATAATGTTATCTTTCACTTTCATTGATTAAGTATTCTATGACTAAATAAAAAAAGATTTTTATTATTTTTTTTAAATTAAATAGTTACACGTAAGGAAAAAAATTTACTACTAGGTCCTTAATTTTTTATATTTACTTATAATTTTACGTTAATTTCAAGGCATTTTTTAATCATATTCACACAAAAATCTTACTAGGAAACCTTGGTATACCTACAGAACAAAATTACAAAACTTTCCAAAGACATTATTTATAAAATATCATCCGTATTGTTGATTTATGATTATATTAGATAAAACAATAAAAAAATACTTGTATTGTACTAAAGACCGTTCTTTAAATTATAAAAGTTATATCATTACATTATCTTATTTTATCATAATTTTATCTAAAATCCTAAGCCGTCTTACAATCTTTACTATTGCAGAGATAACATTGATACACGTAAGTTTTACATTTATATTATTTATTTCGCAGTAATATCACGTTTCCATGAGATTATAAAGCCTAGTTGTTGCCTCTGCTAAACTCATAATCTGAATTTTTTTATTTAGAAAATATGATTAGGCTGTCATTTTTAAAAACATGTTAATAATAATAGAAAAATAAAATTTCTGCTGGTTCGGAAGTATCTACATACCAACTCTAGGGTTTCATAATATGTTGCATGTGGTTGGATAACCTTTTAATTAAAATTTATTGTAATGGAATAGCCATTAAAACAATTTTACGCGTATACGCGTGTCTGAACTTTGAATGTTTTTGGTAATGCCTATTGGCTATTGGCTTTTAATTTAATATGGATATTAGGAATATTTTTTTTAAAAAGGATAGCAACCTCGAATTGGGGGATACGAAACATTCCTTGTAAAAATATGTGTTTTATTATAGTCACCGTTTGTAAAAAGTATTTAAGCAGTGTTTTATATAAAGGTTTTTAGATATTTTTCTTTAAAAGTATATTATGTTTTTAGTAGTAATATGTACAATCACATTTATTTACTGCACATTCAATTATCCATCCGGGATATTCCTTTATTTACTTAAGGTACGTAGGTTAAGAATAAACGAAATATTATTAAAAATAATTATTAAACAGAATCAAGTTTATTTCAAAATCATGAAAGTTATAATTGACTGATATAACCATGCATAAGATTTTAGCAGTTATTGTGTTAACTTTTAAGTTTTTTAAATTTATTTCTATTTAGATTCTATATACCAAGTGACAAATGTTTTCTTTAGTATTATAAATAAATTAAAAAACTTTTAAGTAAAAAAAAACATTTATACATGAAACTCCTTTTATTTATTTTTCATATCATTAAATATTTACACGGTTGTAGATAAATTATTGGACATATTCTTAAAATAACAGCAATATTATCAAGATAAATACAAGAGAATACATATTTATATCAGTAATCCGGGAAATGAGAAAATCATACTGGCTGCCGTAGAATTACATTATTTATTCGATAAGTTTTTATTTGTTGTTATATAGATTTATAAAATAATAAAATAGTGCCTGGAGTCCCTACTTAAAGAAGTGAGACTTCGCATCATGGAAATTAAAATAGGACGGGGTAGAAATAAATTTTTAATGAACTCATATTTTTTATGATAAACTTTATAAAAATTACTTACAATTTACAATTGACCCACCCATTTACTCAAGACCGTCTCTATCAATTCCCCTTCCCCAAGAGCGTTAAACGTTTAACGCAACCTTGTTGGAAGTCGCATAACAAATTTCACTTCAATAATCTCCAAAGCTTTGTTACGTCCAAAATTTGTATAAATTGTCTGAAGTAATCTTATAAGAACTCATACTTATATTTTTATCTAATTACCAACCTCCTACGTTTATTACGTCATTTCACATTTCTTGTCATAAATCAACCAGCTCGATTTTCCGTCTATGATATAAACGTCAAAACAGAGTTTTATTTACCGCTAGCCAAATTGTTTCAATATTTTCCGTTATTTTATGCAAATCTGAATATGCTTCGTGTATATGTATTACTGTTCTCGTTGTGACAATATTAAAATCTTGGCATGACAAGTGAAGGTAAGTTCATAAGGATAGAAATTTTTTTTGGTGTCGAATATACTTATTAATTATTATTTTTAATTTTATATAGTCATTTACCTGTATATCCTTCACGAAATAAATATACTTGTTTGTACCCGCTGTGGCCGATTACGTTGTTCGCCTTAAATTCAAGAATATAAGTAGAAACTAATTATACTACGTAGGTGGCTCTTTACAAAAAATTATCTACCGCACATAAAAGAAGCTATTAAAAATAATACTTTTACTAGATTTTCTACAGTTTTCATTGATTCACAACTGCTTAATTTTTTCAAACCAGTAATTTCTGTGATAAGTACGTCATTAACAGTTAGTAATTCACTGGATAAATTAAGTGAGAAAATAAAACAAACTTTATTTTGCTGATATTATACTAATATAAAAAAATATATATATAAATAAGTTCTCAGATTGCTTAACGGAGCAGTATGTTTAGAATTGTTCCGTGATCACACTGCATCCGTAGTGTTAATAGTTTTCTTTTCATAAATCTTATAATCACACAATAAGAAACAAGAGACTTCGTATTTAATATAAACATTCGAACTTGTTCTAGGCATACGTTACAATACATAAGATAAAACAGTAATGAGTGTGTGCGAACTGAACTATCTTTCGTTGATCTGCTCAAAAATATTGTTATTGTTAAACACGTTTATATCGTTGTTTGTTTCAAATTTGGTACATCTAAACTTTAAATTGTAATTTTGATCAGTTCATTAAATGATGTCCAACGGACAGCGCCATCTATCATTATTGTCCGGTTCTTTCACATAGAATACAACTGTAACACCATTTTTCCAATATTTTAATCGATTTTTCGTAATAAATTAATTATCCACTCATTCATCTATGCTTTTATACAAACTTTGTTTATAGTAATATCTAAATACTGCTGTTTAATGAGCTATTTTTGAATGTATGTGTGGTTTGTTTCCAGTTGTTGTTCACGACGTTGTCTGCTAGTGAGCAGCGTGTTAACGGCGCTGTTAGTTGGCGCGCTGGTAGCGGTGCTGGTGGTGCAGCCGTGGGCCAACCACAACCAGACGCGCTATCGCCGCGCCGCAGTCGCCGCCAATGGATACGAATGCGCTTCTATTGGACGGTCAGTTTATTATAAACTTTACTTTTAAACTCATACGTACATAGGTATATAAGTAAACAGTTAGTAAGTTACATATTCTTTGTCTAAAATGTGTCACATCTGTGTATCTCATATTCTTTGATATAAATCATGTATAAAAGTCGAATCATTGCATATGTAAATTGTGTCTTATTGTACTCTATCGGAAATAAATTGTGAACTAGTTAGTGTCTTCTTTATCCTCAACATTCTAAGCCCAGCAATACTTTTAAACTCATACGTACATCTTTAACAAAGTAATCAACCGGACAAAGATTTTCTGTTTATGGCTTATGACGCCATAATTCAATCATGTTATCTTTTAAATGAATATAAGTTATATATATTCTATACTTGGAAAACGTACTTATACAATATTAAATAAAAATTACTTTGTCATTTTTATTTTGCTGCTTATCCAGCTATGGACTTATGTTTATACATATATTGTTTTATAAAGTAATATTGACGGATAACTAAATCAATATTGATTAAATATCTTGTCTATGTATCATAAATTCAGCAAATATGTAGATAAACACTGGCAGTCCAAATATTGTAAGTTCGTTTAATTCTCTTCTTCTTCCTGGCAATTTCCCAGCTTTAGCCAGGGTCTGCCTTCCCACACAAACGCCTCCACTTTGCACGATCTTGTGCATCCTCGGTGGTTAATCCATTGGCTCTCATGTCCTGCTTCACGATGTCCAGCCATCGCTTCTTTGGGCGTCCTGGGGGTCTCGCTCCAGGGACACACATATCAAGGCAAATCCTTCCGACGTAGTTCTCAGGCCGGCGTGCAACGTGGCCATACCATCTCAGGCGACTCTCTTCAAGCTTATCCGCTACGTCACGGACTCCAAGACTACCTCGGATGAATGTGTTACGTATGCGGTCAGCCCGCGTAACGCCACACATCCACCTCAGCATCTTCATCTCCGTGACGTGAAGCTCTTGAGTGTGCCTGGACAGTACTGGCCAACATTCGCTGCCATATAAGAGAACCGGTCGGATTATGCTCTTATATATTAGTCCCTTGAGCTTGGGCGGTATTCTGCGGTCGCAGACCACACCTGTGACCTCACGCCATTTCGCCCAAGCAGCGCTGATCCGGGCTTGGACATCGTGATCGATGCCTCCGGACTCATGCAGAATAGATCCAAGATACCTGAACTTCTCCGACTTAACGGCTGGTTCAGGACCTATATGGATGGTGCAAGAGTCCGGGCTCCCGCAAGCCATGTACTCGGTCTTCGACACATTTAGTTTAAGACCACCGTTCTCAAGCGCACCCTTCCAAAGGTTCACTCTCCGCTCCAGCGTCAGCCGGTCCTCGTCAATGAGCGCTATGTCATCGGCATACATCATCAGCCATGGAGGCTGGTCCTGGATGTTAGCCGAGACGGTGTCCAGCACTACATTGAATAAGAACGGGCTAAGAGCCGAGCCTTGGTGCACCCCTACTGAGATCGGGAAGGGTTTTGTATCGCCAACAGCAGTCCTAACCATGGAAACGGAATCGCGGTACATGTCTCTGATGATGTCAATATAGGCCTCAGGGATCCCTTTGGTTCGCAAAGCCCACCAGATACATTGACGAGGCACGCAGTCAAAGGCCTTCTGCAGATCTAGGAATGCGATATGCAGAGCTCTCCTTTTTTCCCTGTATGCCTCCATCAGGGTTCTGATGGCAAAAATGGCGTCCAAGGTGCCCGATCCAGGCTGAAATCCATATTGACACTCCGAGACAGTACACTCTCGGCGGAGCCTGAGGTCGATCATGCGCTCAAAGAGCTTCATGGTGTGACTCATGATCTTAACGCCTCTATAACTACCGCAATCTTGAACACTGCCCCTGCCTTTGTAAATGGGGGTAATGAAGCTATAACGCCACTGATGTGGCATAGTCCCAGTGTTCAAGATGCGGTTGAAAAGGTCCGTCAGTATGAGCACACCAAGAGCGCCCAATGATTTCCACGCTTCGATCGGAATATCGTCAGGTCCCACCGCTTTCCGATTCTTCATGCGTCGAAGACAATTCCGAGTTTCATCAGGTGTTATTGGGGCAATAAGTCCAAGATTAGGAGGTGGTTCGGTAGGAAGACTGCACGGGTGCTGAGTATTTAGCAACTCCTTGAAGTAGCATCTCCATCTCTCCTTCACAGAGGCATGATTACACAGCAGCGTGCCCTGGGAATCTTTGACGCAAAGACATTTTGCGATATCTTGCGTCGCTTTATCCCGAGCTCGGGCCAATTTGTAAATGAGCTTCTGCCCCTCCGCAGTTTCAAGTGTATCATATAACGGTGATAACCTGTCACTGCGGGCTCTGGCAACAGCCCTTTTACTGGCACGTTTCGCTGCTATGTACTCTAGTCTGTCTTCAGGAGAGTGTGATTGCTGCCACTCCTTAAAGGCAGCCTTTTTTTTTGCGAATCACCTCCTGCACTTCGTCATTCCACCACCACGTCTCCCTGTCGATGACCCGTCCCCCCCTAGAAAGACCTAAAACTCGTTTACCTGCCGTGATAATTGCTGACTGCACTCGATCCCAAGCTTCCTGAGCAGATTCGGTATGGGTCAACAGATTTTGACTCTCAACCGCTGCCCGAAAGTTAGTCTGCATCGTTCCATTCAGCAACCACCACCTGATCCGAGGCTCACGTTTCTCGGCTACTTTCTTTTTCGGGGTAACGACAAAGTCCATGACAAGAAGACGATGTTGGGCTGTCAGGCTTTCACCAGGAATGACTTTACAGTTAGTCACCTTGCCGATATGACACCGTCTGGTCAGCAGATAATCTAATTGGGTAGAGTGGGACCCACTTTTATACGTGATAAGGTGCTGCGAAGTCTTTTGGAAGAACGTGTTCACGACGGCTAAATCAGACGCAATACAGGTTCTGAGAATAGTTTCTCCCTCTGCATTGCGGCGACCATAACCAAAACCACCGTGTACACGCTCGTACGTATCCGCAGCCCTACCTACGTGGCCATTTAAGTCCCCCCCAACTATGATTACTTCAGCAGCTGGAATAGCGCGTAGAACCTCTTCAAATTGCTCCCAGAATGACTCTTTTTCCGACCCACTACATCCCGCCTGAGGAGTATAGGCACTGGTCAAGTTAGTAATGACTCCCTCGATCAGTACCCGCACCCGCATCAGACGGTCGCAGCGGCGGTCGACTTCAAGAAGACCATTCTGAAGCTCTTCAGATAGAACTACTGCTACACCAGCTTTATCTGAAGGCGACCCAGTGTACATCAGCCGGTAACCCTGTCCGATGTTGCGAGACTTATTGCCCTTCCAGCGAGTTTCCTGAAGGAACGCACACTGGACCCGACGTCTCATGAGTACATCTGCGAGTTCTCTGCATCGTCCGGTTAGAGAGCCAATGTTCCACGTTGCAAAGCGGAGTTTCCGTTTGGGTACTCGCGTCTTTAGCCGTGCCCGTACTTGACACGGTAGCCCTAGCCCACTTGTCACAGGTTTAGGGCGATGTGCCTGCGCGTCGTTTAACGGCGACGCCCTAGCCGTACCCAGTTCTTTGTCCTCTTGTCTATCCATGTTTAGTGGCGAGTGGTTTTACTGGAGCGACTGCCGTCTGACCTCCAAAACCCCGTTAAACGGGTAAAACCAGGAAAGGATAAAGATAGAGAGGGGGAGGGGAAAGAGGATAGGAATGGGAATGAAGGGCAGGTACAGGACACCACCTTCATGGACTGGAGATAAGGTATGAAAGTGGTGGCTCGAGGATCCGGGGTCGCGCACCCGTATGCCCAAAACCAAATATCGGAAAAATACTTAGCAGGACACCCTCTGGACAAAAGTTCGTTTAATTATGGTCGGATAACAAATTATGTAAATTGGGCTTCCATACAGCTTCTAGTTTTTGATCGTTATTTTTATCTTTCATTTCCTTTATTTAAAAATAAAAAACCCGGCTGGATTCTATTATAGATTTTGTTTAACATCAGCAACATGTACTTAGTATTAATTAATTCCGATTAGAAGCTGCAGATAGTAGCTTACATCATAGAAATTTTTGAGCAAAAGATTAGGTTTAAATAAGTGGCCAGTTTTTAACTTAGATTCTCTTTAAAGAAAAAAAAATTATCCCTATTATATTACACCATCAGGCAAAGATAACAATCATTTCGTCTCAGCATAGCTCCTGTGTGTTGTGTGGCTTATGCACAAGACAAGTCTTCGACAAACAAACACCTTTACCAAAACAAATTTCAACAATTTTCATTAAACATATCTTTAAATTAAAATTCATCCGTCAGAAATTGTATATACCTCCAACATAACCATAATAAACTTTGCTCTTATCCTAAGAAAATAATACTTAATAATCTGTAATAAATATTGTTTTAACAATATAATTTTGGTATAATTTCAGCGCAATATTGGAAAGGCAGGGCTCTGCAGTGGATGCGGCTATAGCGACGTTGTTTTGTGAAGGGATATCGTGTGCACAATGCATGGGCCTCGGCGGCGGATTCTTAGCAACCATTTACGACGCACAGACTCGTCGAGTACGAGTTATCAACGCGAGAGAGCGAGCCCCAGCAGCGACAACAGAAGGCATGTTCGCCAACGCGTCTTCAACCGTAGGAGGGCTGGCCATCGCCGTCCCTGGAGAACTGAGAGGCTATGGCGCCCTTCATCGGGAGTACGGACGCCTTCCTTGGGCGGAGTTGGTGCAGCCGACGGCGGAACTGTGCCGGCAGGGACATCGCGTCAACGAATACATGGGTCGGGTGTTGAAATCATACAGCACCCGAATCCACAACGAACCTACAATGCGGTAGACATTTTTTTGTATATTTTTTATAACATACTCTTCTATTTAATTAAAAAAATTTTAGACATTTACGAAAACCGATAATACACCTTATCGGTTTCTGTTGTAAGACTTTCCTTTTGTTAGTGATAGAATTTTATCGAATATGAGTGTTTTTTTAAAGTAGGTACCTACGGTAGGGGAATAAAAAAATATGATACGATTTGTGGGTATCTTTTTGACTGTTACACAAATATATACATGGAAAATTATTAGTATTAAATATATAATGATTACATACATTATAAAACAATAATAAGGAATTTACTAATTCTAATTACTAAATGAAATTCCAACATCAATGTACCAAACATTCGAACATGAAAGTCTCGAGCCTGAATAAAAATAATAATGTCTTTTATAATTGGCTTTCAGCGAATTGTACGTGAACCCAGCGACCGGGGAGGTCTGGAACGAGGGCGATTACATTCGAGAACCAACCCTAGCGCGTACTCTAGATATCATCGCAGAGGAGGGCCCGGAGGCGATTCACAATGGCTCCTTAACGGGGGCGTTCGTCCGCGACATACAGAACTTGGGAGGAATAATCACAGAAGAGGACCTCAACAACTACAGGTATGGATCAAAAAAATTTAATATTCACATTCTATACACTTGCTAGGATTTTGTGGTCAGAAAAACCTTATATGTAGAATATCTGCCATTTACAAATTTCATAACATCAAATCTTTAAAGTACCTTGTCAAAATTTTTGGCCTTTCTCTAGGCTCAATTTATCTTCTATCGCTGACATCTTTCTTAAACTGTCTATACGCTTATTAAAATGTACCAAATCATCGTTTCTTTCAGAGTGGAGTGGCAAGAGCCAATCGAAGTGCCGCTAACAGAGGAGCACACGCTGTACTCGGTGCCGCTGCCGGGCTCGGGTTCCGTGCTGGCCTTCATCCTCAACATGCTGAACGGCTGGGTGGGCGTCAACAGCGACGTGGCGCGCGGCACCAACCTCTACTGGCACCGCGTCATAGAGACATTCAAGTATGCGTACGCAAAACGAACCGGTCTAGGCGACCCTTCACGCTCTAATCTCACCTATCAGATTCGTGACGTAAGTTCTCACGTTTACATTTTTTTTGTTGTCAATCATAAACACTGTAATATCTATTTAACTATGAGAAAATTCGTATTATATATATTTAAGTTAGTAGTTACTGGTCAGCCGTCTGATTTAGTACGTACCTATATCTACATATTTCCAATGACAAAAGCTAGCCTGGTATTTTTTTAAAGTATTACATATGTATCGTGACAACTAAAAATCTTTATCTTTTGCTCGTCTCAAAGGTGGTACGCCAAACAAAACATATTTTACCTCTATTTACATATAAGTGTATGAACGCTAGCTACATCATTTTTAGTTGGAACACAATCTCACAAACATTGCATGGGCCCGATCATTCCGAAATCTAGTGGACGACAAGCGTACATTTTCTGATTGGAGGCACTATGGAGCCATATTCGAAGGCGCTGATGATCACGGCACAGCGCATATCGTCGTGATTGCTCCCGATGGCAGCGTTGTGTCGGCTACAAGCACCATAAATTATATGTAAATAACGCACAATTAAACTCACTTACTGCTTATCATAATCTATACACTGAGACGTAATAATACGATGATTTACAGTTGGGGTTCTCAGCGAAGATCCACAAGTCTAGGGATTATGTTAAATAATGAAATGGACGATTTCTCAATACCAAGCCGTGACTCTTCCTACGGAATGCCGCCTTCGCCAGCCAATATGTTAGCTCCTGGCTTACAACCGCTGAGCTCTATGGTCCCTAGTGTTGTACTCTCAAGGAACGGTACTGCAGACTTGGTGATTGGAGCAGCCGGAGGGACCAAGATCACGACACAAGTTGCTCTGGTAATACATAATTGTATACTGATACTTTTTTACGGTTATAAAGAAGGTTTTAATGTTACATTTGTCACTCTAGGTTGCGATGCATTCAGTTTTGGAAGGCGATGAATTGGGTGATATAATTCCAAGACCTCGTCTCCACCATCAACTCATGCCAATGGAAGTTGAATATGAATCTGATTTTAAACATGTAAGTCGAAAAATAGAATGTTTATTTTAATTTATTTCAAAAAAATGTCACTATGGCCAACATACGTTACAAGATTCACTGACGTAAGTTACTTCTATCGATGATGCAAAACACTTAAAAACTAAGTATCCCTATTATTTTATTTACTACTAAAAATACATCCACACAGAAGTCGTCAACAGATCAAAGCCTTTTTACATATAATATCATGTATCTCAAATATAACATTTTCTCACCGACTACAGAAATCAATGTTTATTTTTTAAATCTCATTCAAGCTCACGTAAGTAGAAAAGTCCAATTAATTGGCGTACTGAATACTATGGCAAATACTACCAAACACATTAGTGCATCGAACCATTTGATCAGGTTATACAATATAATGAAAATGTGTTATATTTCAGAGCGTGATTGAATCATTGCGCGCACGAGGCCACGCGACGACAGAGCGAGGTCCGACGGCCGGGTTCGCGGCCATGGTCGGGGCGGCCAGAGAAGACGGGTTTATAGTGCCGCATACAGACAGACGCCGCGTCGGTAGTGTCGATGGATTCTAGACTCTAGGCCTTTGACAATTCAATATAAAATCGTGTGTGATTTCGTTATGAAATTTATAGTCCCGCAAACAGATAGACGCCGTGTCATTAGTGTCGATGGATTCTAGGCTCTAGGCCTTTGACAATTGGAAATAAAATCGTGTGTGAATTTTTTATAAAATTTTTAAATGTACCACTCACTGAAGGACAAATGACACTGAATTCTGTTTTCCGTCTTTAATAAAGCACTTTTTTTTCATTAAAGCGCTAATTGTAATGGTACCTTAAATGAGGTAACCCGGTGTATGTTTTCTAAACTCGTGTTTGTCATATTTTTTTATTATGTGAATGTTATTTTATTATTTGCAGTTTATGCTGATGTGAAATTTGTTTTATTTTAATATTCTTAATATTATTTAACTTTATCATGTTAATTTCATTTTTGTGGTTTAAGATTTTTAAGATAATGCTAATCGTGTACTTAAACTTAAATTGCCTCGGTTTGATCTTCGATATTAATATTATAAATTTGAAACCGTCAGTATTAATTCATTCGATATGCCAAAAATATTCGTTATGGTCGTTTGTAAATAGTTTTTTTTTATTTATGTAAGACGCTGTGAATATATTTTTAACTAGAAAATAAAGACAAATTGAACAGTAAAGACATTTATTTATTTTGGTATGTGGATATCTAAATTAATTTACTATTATAATATTAATAAGTTACTATAATACCTTGGAGATTGTGAATGATTTTTCATTACCTTACTAATTTTGATGGACATGAATGTATGGAGTCAATATGGTGTCCCAGAGAGAATTATTGAATAGAACAAGTCTCAACGTCATTAAGACATTTAAACTGTCTCCAAGATTTCTACACGAGTTCCACATTTACACATAGCAATTTCTATTAGACCCCAAAACAGTGGCGAATCAATTTTTAAAACCTTTTTTGATTTTTTTTACAGATTTATTTCGTCTTAAGCCACGACTACACGACTAAACACTCACAGATGTTTTCAGAAGTCCACTGTAGGTGCGAACCCATTAAGTGAGATAGGGTGACTTGTGTATGACGATCTTAATATGTTCAATAAAATAATTGAAGTCTATAAGGAAATTAATGTACTATTATATGCAACTTTACTATCAGTTACCTGCTCAAATCACAATGATCAATGCTGTGTTGTAAACATACACAAAAACATTCGAAACTTTTATAAAATAACTAGATTCTTTCCACTGTGGACTCTTGGACTATTATACTAATTTCATAGCATGAAAACCGCCTGATCATAAAATCTTTGCGAAAAAAGTACCTGATGAAACACCTCATCTTTGAAATAATTCTTGCTAAAACCATTTTTCCTCAATTAGTTTTGAATGGTTAAGAATCAGCATATGCTATACAATAAATTGTTAGGTTTTCCTTACAATTTACAATTATTTACAATTCGCTATAGTTAATAAATAGAACTACTCTTTCCTAAACCTAATTAACCGTTTTGGAATCGAAATTTATAAAGTAACAAGCAAAATTTAAAACTCATCTTCAATCTTCATTCAACATTCGTTTAAATAGTTCAGGCAATTTCTTATGTGAAATTTATTAAGTAATTTAGAGATAGGTATGCTTATAATCACAAAATCACTTTTGGTTGGTGGTCTAATTTATTTATCAAACATTTTATTTAAACATCAAATTTTACTGTTTATATGTCTAAGTTTGCAACTTTTTGTCCCAATGAAATAATCTCTGTAAAAGTTGCTGACCCGTATTGTATTAGAGTCATACTTATTTCTTACTCCAATATTGAGTTATTCAGTATTGAGTTATTAGTGTGAGCAAGGTTGTCTTACTAGAAGAAGCAAAGAGTTTCGCATTTGTAACATTAAGTAAGTAAATTTGATATACCACGCAAAATTCAATGTAATAATTAAATTTAAGTCAAGATGAACTATTTGTAACTTTAAATCCTTGTACCCGTAAAACATACTCTCAAAACTTGTAGTATGTTTTTAATCCACTACCTACTCCATTTAATTCTATCTATCTAAAATATTGTTTTCTTATTTTACTATTTGTAACCTGACGATAGTATATTCATAGAGAGATAGAATATCAATAATGTATGTGGAAATATTATTAAGCCTTAAAATGTTTAAATATTCTTTAAATATAACATCTTAATAAATAACCGCCTAAAATTGAAAAATCAATCTTATCTACATTTTACATAATTTATAATCTTTGAAAATATTTATGGTTAAATAGATGTCATGCCTTACTTACATTTCCCGCTTTAGTTTGACAATTCAAAAGTGTTAAATGAGATCCTTCAATATTAAAACTTCATTTTTGCTTAAGCTGTAATTAATATAGTCCGCAACTCATTGATACTAATAAATATTGTTCTTTATTTGCCAAGATCAATTTGAAAAATTCATAATGACATATTCACTTTCGGAAGGTTCTGTGGAGGTAAGCAAGCCGGAAAGTAATATTTTTAAAAATCATGCTATGATAGTTCGTTATAAATTTAATTTATGTTATTTATTATCATCTTTAGATAATTATGAGTGGCGGCGAGTATGATAGTCCTGTAATACAAGTACTTGGACACAAAAAGATCCAAAGCAGAGGAGAAGATAGAATTCGTCTAATTGTTTCTGATGGAAAACATTCTCATAGCTTAACCCTGCTCAACTCCCAGCTTAATAATAAAGTATTCAGCGGAGAGCTCTCAAACTATTCTGTAATAAAAGTAGATAAATATTTTATTTCCTCCGTTTCAAAAAAGGAAGAGAAGTGAGTATCTACAAGCTTAATTTCAATAATTTTTTTTTTTTTTTTTTATAATAAGATCAGTTAGAATTTATAATAAGAATAATTTTAAAGTTCAGATTCAATAATATCAATAAGATGTGCTCTATTGCACAATAATTTTGTAATTTTCCAGATGCCATATTAACTATTTATATATTTTACAGGCGAGTTATGGTGATACTCAATTTGACCATCATCGCACCAGGGACAGAAGTCGGAAAGAAACTTGGCAACCCTATTCAGTGGTCTGAAGATATGGCAGCACAATCACACGCAAGCACCGCTAAAGCTGAACCAAAACCTGCCCCCACACCCATGAATACTTTGTCAAAAACAACTGCTAGCATCAACTTGAATTCAAGTGTACTTGGTTCACAAATGACTCATCCCATTGCAAGTTTAAGCCCATATCAAAATAAGTAAGCAAAAATATATACCTAATAAAGTAATTGAATTGTCTGGAGTATGGACTTAAAACAATTAATAGTGAATTTAAAAATATTATTTCAATGAATACTCACTGAGTTAGATCTCATAAAATTAATAATTTGTTTTAAGTAAATTTAAGTGCTTCTTTATTAATATAGACTAGTTGAATAATCATAACAAGTATGGAGTGATAAGCTTTTTGTATAGTATGTATGTTTTTTTAGGTGGGTAATTAAAGCAAGAGTAATGAACAAAACAGCCATTCGTACTTGGAGCAATGCTAAGGGTGAGGGAAAACTCTTTAGTATGGACCTTTGTGATGAAAGTGGTGAAATCAGGGCCACAGCTTTCAAAAATGAATGTGATAAGTTCTATGATATGATACAGGTACTTATTATAATTTTTTTTTATTACATCATACTTATTGAGGGTAGGTTTACTTTTTCAAAATGATGTTATTACCAACAACTTAACCAAAAAAATTTAAGATATTGTTATTTTTTAAAAGTAATGGAAAATTACTACTGGTGGAATATACTTTGCATGTCTTTACACTGATAAAGGCCAAATATAAAACAACCAACTAACCAACCATGGAAAATTTGGTTATAAATGAAATATGTATCCAAAAAGACTAATAAAATGTTACATTATTATAAAAAATAAACCTAATAAATAGTTATCATCAATTTGATATTACATAACAATAAATTACATTATTTTCTTATATATTTCATTGTTATGTAATATGGGAAGTTGTATATAACTAGAATGTAATTATTATATATTTTTAATACATTTTGAATTGCAGATTGATAAAGTATACTACATAAGTCGCTGTCAACTGAAAACAGCAAACAAACAGTTCACAACACTAAAGAATGATTATGAGATGACATTCACGGCCGACACAGTTGTATCTGAATGTATGGAGGAAAATAACTCTGTGCCATCAATAAAGTATGACTTTATGCCGATCAGTGATATTGCTGACAAAGGCCCCGATACAATTCTAGGTGAGTCATAGTTTAGGAAATCCTTCAAGTACTATATTTAACTAGTTTAAGCATTATTACTAATATAAAATTTTATTATTATAGATAATTTAACACAAATAGTTTTTTCTTTCAGATGTGATAGGAGTTTGTAAATCTGCATCGGATATTCAAGAACTTACAGCCAAAAGCACAGGAAAACTGCTAAAAAAACGAGAAGCAACATTAGTGGATTCATCGGGAGGGGCGGTAAGTACTTTTTTTATTCCTCCAAAAAGGTTGTTATTGTTATTTTGACATATAAATAAAATTGCTATATAAAAAAACTATATATAATGATGCTTTTTATCTCTATTTTAGATCACTTTAACACTTTGGGGAGCTGAGGCCGAAAAATTTGATAGCAGCAGCAATCCTGTTGTTGCTGTGAAGGTATGTTCTTTGACTTTATATGAACAAAATTGAAAATCTTGAAATTTTTGTCCATCTGTTTGAATGATCTCTGAAACTACTCAATCGATTTAAGATAACATTTCATATGCAGGTAGGTTATGTCAGAAGGAGTAACTTAAATTACTTAACCAACTTCAATGTCCAGGAAAACAAAATATATTAGTCACGATAGTAACACTAAATATTTGTCACGATAGTACTGTTACAATTAAGGGATTTCATAATTATTTTTAATTAAAAATGATTTAGTACTACTTTCATCAAGTCAGGATTCAATCAGAATACAGGTTTAATATGAGAGCAAAGCTACAGCCTTGAAGCTTTGCCTGTAGGCAACAGCTAGTATGTATGCATAATTGATTTAATTTAACAAATATTTGCGAAAATATTTAGTTAAATCAGGATTTAATATTAAAACTTCTTTCCTCAACAACAATGATTTGATAATAAATACACACAAATTATTTTAACATTACATATAAATAATACATGATTTACCTAAAAGTAATGAATTTTCTTGCTATTACTAGCTGTGCCTGTAGTTTTTACAAATAACACAAACAATTCATAGAATGAATTTTTTGATAATATTAATTTCCTATAATTAATAGTATAATATGTAATCTCTAGGGCGCTCGTCTGACGGAGTTCAACGGCAGCAAGTCCCTGTCGTGTCTCGCCAGTACTATAGTGAGGGTACAACCTGATGTAGAGGAAGCACACCGTCTGCGAGGCTGGTACGACAATGGTGGGGATTCTATGGCCATGGTTCACATTTCAGCCAGGTATATACGATTATCTATGATACTATTATTTATTATACTAGTGTTTGTCCGTCACTTCGCTCGTATTTCCAGTTTTACATAATGTGCACTTAATATAATAGATATTTTACCTGCAACCAGCGACATCTATATTTGGTTGCTCCTTCTTTACATAACTGAACTGTTTTCGTGTAAATTGTACACAATGACGGGATGACTATAGACTTAGATGTCTAAGTTATATTAAATTTTCATTAAAGTCAGTTTATTAATATAGCAACAAGCATACATACATCCTAATACAAAAAGATGCATCTCTGATATTTGCAGAATTTGTAGAAGACTATGGCTGATTGATTAAAAAATTCCAAATTAAAAAAATTCAAGCTGGGATCATTCTTTCTATTGTCTTGTATTCTTAGTAACTGATGTTTAGTTTCCATTACGAATATGATCTTAAAACATTCTAGCACTAATGTTAGATCAACTTATAAGACGTAGATCCAAAATTTTACTATATGTATTTTTAAATCTCCATACATTATATTTTCAGAGTTGGTCAAGGCGGTGGGAACGCTGAATGGATGACATTCGCTGAAGCCGAAGAACGTAGACTCGGCACCGGGGATAAGGCTGACTACTTCAGTTTGTTGGGAGTTCTGACATTCACGTTCGCTGATAACGCTGTGTACAAAGCGTGTCCGCAAGAACAGTGCAACAAGAAACTAGTCGACCAACAGAATGGACTGTACAGATGTGAGAAATGCAACCGAGAGTATCCCAACTATAAATATAGATTGCTGCTAGGAGTGAGTACTTAATAAGTATTATATTATACATGTATAGACAATCTTTGTGCAACTGATGTCTAGTTAGTAGGTGTACACCCAGTTTCACCAATCAATGTTAAATAAGTGACAGCTTGTTAAGGCGTTTGATGCCCTGTTAGATGTATCGAGCGTCCCACCACTCACAAATGTCCGTTTAAATGTCTTAACCAGCCACTAATATTAATTCGTGCTCTGGAGCTCCATCTAATGGCTAACAGAATGTTAATAGCATTGTCAAAACTCAATTGTCCAATCACAGCCCTGATTTCTTGTAACCATAGTAACGTCATCTGTTTTGTCAGTTTCGACTATTTCCTTGTACAGTAAAAGCTCCTTATTCGCGCTTCCTTTATTCGCGTTTTCACTATTCGCGGATTAAAAAAATGCTACCAATTCCTATATTCGCGACTAAAAATTTCTTTATTCGCGGATCTAATAAGTACATACATAATAATAAAATTATTCCAAATAGGTATTCAACACAATATCCTTGTCAAATGGACTAATTAAAAAGTAATATAGATCTTATTACAACTTTACCTAATTACTTTGCGATTTCTTTATGAACATTGATCCGTTTATGGAACGAAGTCTTATTTTTAAGAGGCAAATTGCTAATGCGACTGCTGTGTATCAGTCTGAATTGAAGGAGCTTTTAAAAACTGCCAAGAAAGAAAAAATTACAAAATTCTTCAAACCATTGCCTAAGCTTTAAGATAATTAATTATAATGATCAAATACTTCAATTAAATATTTTTTTATATAAATTTGTTGTTTTTTTTTGTCACCTAGGAACGTATCCCCTATAATCCCATATAAATAACCATTCCGTATTCACGGTTTCTGTATTCGCGGTATATTTACGGAACATATACCCCGCGAATAAGGAGCTTTTACTGTACTTAATAATAAAGTGAATTAAAATTTCATTTAGTATGATGATTTTGTCTCCAGCTTTTCTTTGACATTGCGAATTAAGTTTTCTTTTTATCTCTTATAATTTGAACACAATTTATGTCTATATACATAACACAATAATATATAAGACAATTAATTGACAACACGATTTTGACAAGTTACACCTAGTAAACTGAAAAGAAAGCTTTTTGTGTGCCAAATGTATGCAAGTAACGATATATAAAATTTGGTCGCATTACCTAACAAGTGACGTATCGAGGAATATATACGATCAAAGTATTAAGTGGTGCATCGTGGTAAACGTGCCGTGTTAAACGCCATAGTTTCAATTTGGTCGTCTTATAACAAGAACGAATAATTTGGTAGTCAGTCATTTAACATGACATTTAATATGTTAAATGATAACATACGTTGTTAATTTTGGATCGTGGAACGTAAATAATTCAACAGACATTTCTAATTTTAAAAGTTTGTTAGTAAATACCTTGTTTAGATTTAACAAACATTGATTGGTGAAACTGGGTCTTAATAATTGAAATATATGTACATACTTGTATGATTGTTAAATAAAGGTTATTATTATTCCTTTATCGTCGCAAGAGTCCCTGATTTCTGCTTATTACTATACTGCAATACATTTATTATACTATTCTATGTTTGCCAGGCGACAGTGTCGGACCCTACCGGTGACCAGCGGGTAACGGCCTTCAACGAGTCAGCGGAGGTGATGCTGGGTCGTAGCGCGGAGGAGGTCGGCCGGCTGTCCGACTACGACAAGGCGGAGTACGGACAGCTGCTCGACCACGTCAAGTTCAAGACCTTCGTCTTCAAGTTCAGGACCAAGATCGAGACTTACAGTGTGAGTATTAACTAATGTATCTATTTATTTATTTAAAAGGTACATCAACAGCACACATAATAACAGATAGAATAGAAAAAAAATCTATGACCTGATATGAGACAATTACAGATGTACACAACATTCACACAAAGAAAAAAATTAAAATCTCTAATGTACTGCCAACATTGTAGTAATGACTGCGGTAATTTGGTCATACGTACATGCTGATGATCTTGACTGACATACTCTTTTACAGTCATATATACAGTTTTTACTATATGCATATAGTATTTAATACATTCTCAAAAGAAGTAGGTTTATAGTTTCATTATAAATGTTTCTTAAGTATCCGCAAAATTCAAGACCCAGTCATTGAGCTTCTTAGTCCTTATGGTAATCCTTCAATTCTGTTAATAGTTTTCTTTTGACCAACCTCGTGACATTGTTGTATTAAGGGTGTGTATATAAACGCGGAAAACGCTTCTTATATATAATGATTATGTTAAATATTTGCTAGCATGCAGCCTTGTTGGAATTTTTGTAATTTACTATCAATTCATTTTACGTCTATTTAGACTGAACTACACAAAAAAAAACTATGAATCGCCCGCATGCGTTAGAGCGCCACGCAATCCCTTTCGTTCTGTCTCATTTTATTCTCCCCTCTCCACTGAGCGTTAAACGCCACCTTGTTGAAAGTCACACAAGAATTTTCACTTCAAATCGATATAATGATAATAGCAATCTGTTCTGATCTGTGTCTGACTGTTCATAGGATGTTAATAATTCAATATAACATTTATCTAAGTAACATGATATTATTATATTTTATTTATCAGGATGAAGCCAAGTTAAAGACAGTAGTGATGAGCGCCCAGCCGGTCGACTACAAAGACGCTAACGCCAGACTTGTCAAGAGCATCAAGACTTTAAGCGGCGTCGAACTATAAAATGCTATTAATATTTCAAATGCTATTAATGATATATTTTTTTAATTGTTCTTAAACCGAAAATGATTTTCTTATTTCGTTGTTCCGTGTAATTATGAAACATGCTTGTAATTTCATATAAAAATTCTTTGTAATCAATGTTTAATATATTTTTTATTATAACTCGACTTTTATTTCTCTTGTATAATTTTAATGTGGAAAAGAAATTTATTTATTTCTATGCTTTGTTTGGAGTTTCATTGCAGTTTATTGCAAAGTAATCTTCAGAAAATACCTTGGTATTGCTTAAAGCAATGAGATTGATCTTTATAAAAAAACAAAATCGATGCGTATGCAATACATTCGTTTCAAATTAGGTTAGGTAGAGAGAGGAATTTGGACGATGGAGTTTAGCGTTTATATAGGGTCCCTTAAACCTAAACCTGGGTCGCAAGTCCCAGGCACTGTTCAAGCCCCTCTCACTACAACGATGGACCCGACACCTGCACGATTAATCTATTGGAATGCTAAGAGGTTTCGTCTCATAAAAATAAAAGACAAAGCACTATTTAAATACTTTTATTAATCTTATTGATATGACTTTTAATTTGGTTAAGAAGAAATAAAAAACATTATACAGTTGTATAGATACAAAATTGAGTTTGGAAATGTTAATACAGAAATAATACTTATAAAATGACCAAGCATTTATATCTTACAAGATAATGATTCCCTGAAACATTTTTTTTCGTCTAATACTAAATTACTTTTACAATATAAAATATACACTTAGATCTAAAGTAAATCAAAAATGTCATTACGGTAAAGTAACATCGAAAAAAAAAACAAATACATATATGGCAGTGTGATTTTACGTAGCGGGTTTTAGAAAATAGGTTTTATATAAAACTCAAATCCATAGACAACACATTTAAATTGTCTATAGATAAAGGAAAATTCCAAAAAGTCTAATCATAAAAAGGAAACATTATTTAAGATTAACTTTGTGATACGAACGTTGGAGCTGGAAAAGAAAAAAAATATAATAAAAGTAATAAATCGAACAATACACATGATCTAACAACAACACGTTAAATTGTTCAGCTAAAGATACTTCTACTGTTAGGCAATCAATGTTTAAACATTAAAATTACATACGTATATCTAAAAATATTAATCCATCTGACTTTGACGTATAAACTTTAATTAATATAATTACTGTACTAATGAAGTACTGCAATTCATTATTATATATATATATTCTATGAAACATGTAACCTGGTTATACAAATAATAAACAGGTTCCAATACAGCAGAAAAGATAAAAGATGCTCTAGAGCTCAATGCAGAATTCTGATTAATATTAACTTACATTTTATATAATATCTTTACAATTAAAATCACAAAAAAATATATGTTTAAATTATTATAAATGCGAATTGTTTAGATTTCGGAATTAAAGCCATAAACTAGAACACATGAGAAGCTGTAATTGAATGAACAACAGATTACCGACATCAATTCAATGCTTCAGTGCTCATTATTTTAAACATATAAGCGTTTATCAAACGTTAATACTAATTTTATATAGATTCATTTCAATTAGTCTTCAATTCGCGAAAGCGACAGAGATTTGCATTGACAATAAATAATTAACTATTAGGAAAATATAAGGAATAATGTTCAATTCCAAAAAAACATTATCATATGAAAAAAATCTAACCGATATAAAAAATCGTCAAATCCATATTTGTAATGTCGACAAAAGTTTCTTGCAATAGAAATGTTAATCGTCAACATTAATTTTTATAATTCATAGCCCGCAATGTTCGCGTCTCGTCCGCAAAGTACATTCACACGTAACACTAATTGTGCATAACACTGTATCGAGTCCGCCCCGGGCCTCGCCCGCGCCTGCCGCCTCCCGCGCCACGCCACGCCACGCCACGACACGCCACGCCACACCACGCATCGCCACGCGCGCCACACTCGCCACACTTGCCCCTACCGCACGCTCCCCAGCCCGCCCCACGGATAATGCACACTGACTACACTTAACATATTTACAACTAGGACGAGTAACATAAAGCGAATAAATAAGCGACGCTCTTTGGAACGGATTACATTCGAGGTACGCGAGGACGAGGTACGTGAATGTGACCCGAACAACAGACGACGCCTCGGACGTCTTACAACTAAATAAACAAACAAACATTAATTATATGTATATAATATGGCCGAGACTATTCTCACTCACATACATTATAGGTACATTGTTTTAATTTATACACCTGCTTATGAGATTCCGAAAAATTTTATATATACTTTCACATTATGTGAGATACAATTTTGAGCATTTGTTTCATGTAATTTGTTCATAAAACTAAATTCAAATCGATAACGTCGCACTAAAACTAAAATTCAATAAATTAATAAACCATAACAGAAGTGTAATAAGTAAAAGTGTATGTTAGAGTACTTCAACTAAAAGGTCCCGATAATAAACGATGTTTGAGAGTAGTACACTATCCGAGCGGAATCTTCTCACGGGTCACACGACCCGTGTCAGGGAAATAACACGTCCACAGCCACACAAAGCACATATCAACAATCAAAAAGCCAAGACCGTCCGAAGAAACTTATTCTAGAATCTACTCCGTCCAAATCCTAACTCATACGATCGTATCCGAACTCACACGACCGTAGCCGAACTCATACGACCGTAGCCGAACTCATACGAGCGTATGTGAACGCATACGAACCGCACCATACACTAGGCTTCATGAGGTCGTGTGTGTGTATGTGTGTTTGTGTTTGTGTGTGTGTATGGAGGCGCGGTGTGTGTGTGTGTCTAGCGCGCTCACGGCACGAGGTCGGGCAGGCGCCCGCGGCCCTAGGGGCGCCCGCCGCCTTCCCCGCTCACCACCTGCGACCAACACGACACTACTCACACACTAAGCTTAGACAAACACACTTATTTCATGTTTATTAGCGATGTGCCGGACTTATAATTTTTTAACGTATATTATTCATAGATGTGGTAAATGATCCTAATCTTTTTTAATCATTTCATTGAAATTTCTGTATTATAATTTTATGGAGACATAATAAAGTAAAATATTAGGGATTAGAAACCGATAACAAAAACTGAAATCCGGCACTTCACTAATATGTACGAATTGGGAACAAACATTTCAAAGAATGTACAATATAAAATTTTAATTCATTCATACGGGAACTAATATCTGATCGAAAACTGCCTGAAGTATAAACCATAATTATGCTATAGTAATTTTACTAACAGCTGAGAATACAAAATATAAGCCTTGACGAATCTTCCACATAAAGCCACAAAACCCTTAACAAAAACCCATAAAGCAAAATTTTCCTTTATTAATTAATTATTATTAAGTAAGATCTTTATAATAACTCACTTTCCGCTCCTTGTAGTAGAGCTCCTCGCTCTCTTTATCACAGAGCAGAAGTACAACTGCTCCGAAAAGAAAGATGGCGGCCCCCCAACCCACGCCGTAAGCCCAACCGAACTCCCACACCGATCTGTTGCCTGTAATATATATAAAAAATATTAAATAAGTACATAAAAAATATATGGACTCAAATCTGTAAACGATGAAATGTATTGGTTTGGAGCTTAAAGTCAATTACAACTCTAATAATCAATTCTTTATCTGTGTATGTAACTCTGCGACTGTGCGTGTGTGTGGGTGTGTGTCAGTCTGCATGTGTGTGTGTGTGTGCGTGTTGTGTTTATACTTAATGTCTTTGCTAATTAAACTATGATGTCTTTATTCCTTACTAAGGTTCCTTAATCAAATATTACACGTGATTTAATTTTGAGAGGAACCCTCATAAATATTGAGATCTCTCCATTACGACGTTAAATATTAGAACAATCAACTTAATACCAATACTAAAAGTAAGATAACATAGCTTAATAAAAAAAATTATAGATACATGGTATCCCGAAATTTCGTTTTAAAAGCAACTAATGTTAATGAATTTATATTCATTTGTTTGAATAAAAATCAAATCTATTTTTTTTAATTTAATTAAATAATGAATAGAAAATATATAATTAATATTATTTTCATATACTTACCGAGATTCAACTCAGCAGCGAAACAGACCGGGTATATTACCAGGGCTATTAATATGCACATCACTGAAACACATACATACATGTTAACATATAAAATGACATACACACACATACATACAACTTATACAACACATACATGAACAATAGAAGGGTACAATGTCATGAACACCATTCAGAATCAAACAGCGTATCGAACAACAAGATTCTATTACACTATAGAAGTAATATGACACTATTTACATACATATACATATATGATATTATATAGTTTGTAATATCTTACGTGCGAGGGACATGGCGAGAACAGCGAAACGGTAATACCGAAACTTGGTACGGTGATCAGCTGACCGAAGACCCAGACCTGTTAGGAGAGCGCCGCAGACATCCGCTGCTAGTGTGGCCACACACAACCCAGCCGCGGCCCTTGTAGACGAACAAAATTAAACATCACCTCTAATACATACAAGAGTTATATAATATAAAGATACATAGCGAATAACATGTGATAATCGCTGATAATGTGACCACACACAAACAAATATAAACATCACCATACATACGATAGTTATCCTACTAATATTATAATTGAGTGTGTGTGTATGTTTGTTACTTCTTCACGCTCAAACGGCTGAACCGATTTTGATAAAATTTTGTATACAGGAAGCTGACGTCCAGGAATAACACATAGGCTACTTTACATCCCGGAAATACGCGGGTAACACCGCGGGGCGCAGCTAGTATAATATAAAGATACATCGCAAATAACAGGTCATAATCGCTGATAATGTGACCACACATAATTTGAAAGTAGCTTTTATATTAAAAACATTGTGAGACTTTCAGTTGGATAAAAAGTTAAGTAGTCAGAGTATGTTTGGCGTTGACATAAAATATTTTGTATGGAGCTACAAGGTAAGGTTTATATTATGTAATACCGGGTCAAGGTATATTGGTTTGGGCAAGGCAGTTTACCGCATTCGTCCACACCCAACTCTAATACATGAAAAAAATACAAAGACCTCTAGTGTGTAACGATTTAGTTATGACTTAAGGTCAATATATTATGGACATATAAATAAAAACATGTAACATTTAGTGATGTTAAGTTAAATATTTCATTTAAAACATATAATTCGTACTATATGTTGAATGTCTTTAATGACCACAATTTGAACCACAAGTCAAATATATCTTCTTCTGTTGATATTAAATGGAATAAAAAATATATCGGTCAAGCAAGACGTAAATAATAGGTCTAGCAATAAATAATATCAAAAGATAACAATTGTATAACATTTAGTGTTATAATAGATTACGATAAAATTCTACTACAATGTTTATTTGGATCAAGAAATTAATAAATTATCGTACGACAAAAAACATTATACAGGGTGACTGGTGAATTCCTATCGATATTTGAGGACGTGATATTTGACGATCATATATGACAAAATAAAAATTAATATAACATAAATATTAATAAACTTCTAAGTAAAGTTAACCAAAAGTTATGTAATTAATTACGCATCGTGTGAACACCCTACAGATTAGGTATACACACACACAAACGCGCGCGCGCAGGGGCGTGGTGTTGTATCAGCACGCCGCCGCACGCGTCCACACTTGGAACACTTGGAACGTGTCCACACTTTATTTATTTATATACGGAAATTTGGTCAAAAATTAAGTACCTATTTTTTTTACATAATTCGAATGACAATCATGTACCGAGTATTCTCCTTAAATATTGATAGTAATTCACCAGTCACCCTGTATATCAATTAATTGCAATTAAATACATAATATGTTATTCAAATACAAAAGTGGAATTATTTTTGTGAAATGAAATTAAGGGTTTACTTTGAGCTAGGTGTTGATGTACAAAACCTTCTTATATAAAACCGTCTTATATAGAAGACCATCTTTTTAAAAGCAATAATGTATGTGAATACATACGTGTGTTTGTGACTGTGACAATATTTTCACGGAGAAAACGGGACAATTGTAAATTTTTGTAATTCAACCAGTTTCTAATGATATGAAAATATTTTTTTAATACTATATTTTTAATTAAAGTTCATTTTGGGGTGTCTGATCTTTCCTTTGCTTTACTATACGAAAACTCTAAATATATTATGGACTTACTTAATATAGGGCGCGGGTCTGGCAGCGTAACACCCCGGTTGCGCTGTTATATCGAAGGGCAGCGGTGTGGGAGCAGCCGGGTCTATGCAGTGCATGAACAGACCCTGCCGCCAGCCGGCCGCCATCAACCAGTCAGCGGACGCCAGGCCCAATACCATCAGAATCACCACTAATAAACCACATATTAGAGCGATCACCTGAAACGATATATAGGAGTTTGTTTCATCTCATGTTATATAGATGATTTTATTCGATACAAATCGCGATAAGTCATGCTATAGACGCTTTACGTTAAGTAATCACTACTGAATGTAAAGGTAAATAGTCACTACTTAATGTAAAGCTGTGTGGTCACTGCTTTACGTAAATTTACTTGTGACTACTGATCACCATCATCATGATACGTCAAAATTAAAATATTAAGCTAGAGTTAGTTTAGTTCAAAATGCTTGTTTTATAAAGACATAATAATATAGACTTGGGAGAGGTAAAGAGAACATTCCGTCTCACACATACACAATAGATTAAAACCTATTACTCATCAAAGTAATCTAATTATATAAAGTGCGTTGAAAGAAATACAAAGAATGTTTTAAACTTGTAATAAGGAAAATACTTATACACCCATGTGTCTAATAGAACCAAGTATGCATAATTAATGATTATTCTAACCATAAATCGATTCTCATATATTATTAACTTATATACACAACTACGCCGTTTGTTTTAGTAAAGACAACATACTTCACGCATACTTGGTAAAGAAAAATAGATTCCATGCGGAATACCTAATGCAATAACAAAAAAATTGCTTTATTATTTTATATACAGGGTGACTGGTGAATTACTATCAATATTTAAGGAGCATACTCGGTACATGATTCTCATTCGAATTATGTAAAAAAAATAGGCACTTAATTTTTGACAAAATTTCCGTATAAATAAGTAAAGTGTTGACACGTTCCAAGTGTTCAAGTGTGGACGCGTGCGGCGACGTGTTGATACAACACCACGTCACGACATGCGTATGTGTGAGTGTCAGTGTATACCTAATCTGTAGGGTGTTCATACGATGCGTAATTAATTACATAACTTTTGGTTAACTTTAGTTAGAAGTTTATTAATATTTATGTTATATTAATCTTTATTTTGTCATATATGATCGTCAAATATCACGTCCTCAAATATTGATAGTAATTCACCAGTCACCCTGTATATATGTATATAATATATACATAAAATCTCTAACTATATCGCTGGTATAATGTTCGTCATCAATCAGGCTTGCTATTTGTAATAAGCCAGAGTGGAACTAGCAATTACAAAATTTTACGCGCAGCTGAGACAAAAGCTAGGGTATGAAAAAAAACTTGGAAAGTGAGAAGCTCTAATGTCTCGAGGAGAGGCGGGGAGCTTGGGGGAGAGGATCGATCGACCCCTCGGGCGAGAACTTACACCCATCAGCTGTTACAAGTCAAACGTCTAGAGACGCGTCACGTACTTACTTTCCCATATAAGTGCGTTATACACACACATACATCTACAATCGAATACATACTCTGCATTCAATACAACAATACTATTAAACATGTTGAAATAAAACGTATAGCTACACGTTATTACCGTAATTATCACTTTAATTATATAGTAATTAAGACACAGTTTTTACTGCAAGCTTTCAACTGAGAGTAGAAGTAAAAGCGGGATCTGATTGTTATTTTTCATACAAAGCCATGTTATGAATGTTCCTGCAATTTTCCGCCCCCCGGGTACGAAACTGAGATCGTCAACGTACATACTACATAGTCAACAAACGCTAGCTTTCACATAAAGATTTTAAGAGATGACAAAGTTGGTTTCGAATTCCCAACATTGTGTATATGGATATATATGTGCGTGATTGTATAAACAACGGGCATTTGATTTGTAACAATTGGAGCGATAGCATCTATTGTTTGATGTACAGGAAACATCTGTTCAACATTAAGAAGGAATTCAATCATTAAATCGTAAATTGAGTACACTGGTTAGGGTCTAACTTTCGAACACGTGTCGTGATATATGAGGGTCATGTGAAAGAAATTCATGTCGCATAAGTAAATCAATATCACCCCTACAAACGTTCATAATACCAATTGAAAACATCGAATATTTGGTGCTATATAAAGGAATGTTCCTTTCATATTTTCTCTTTACACATATTTTCATAGCCTCTTAGAAAAGTCTAGCAACTTTGTCTTTGAGCATAGAAGTAAGAACCCGAAAGCATCAATGCAGCTTTAAAATACTATGAAATATTTCTTTCAAAGGAGTTTTCTTTGTAATTTTTTAACGAAAACATTTTCTGTTCGAATAATAAAGGACAATTAAAATAGGACGTTACTTTAATAAAGATTCATACAAACTAACGTATTCGTTATAGTAATAATAAATTACTACCAAACACTTATTGTATCATTAATATAAGAATACAAAATATCTGACCTTATGTATGTAACAAGATATATAAGTATACTTTTATAAACGACTCAAATTTATCAGACTGTAAAATGCATGTATAAATTTCGAGGCACTCGTAAGTTACGGTAAAGAGATATTTTACCATCAAAATTAAAAGTCACCAATCTACACACACTTAACTTTCTCCTTGTTATTAACAGCATTTTTGTTAAAGAAATAAAAATTCAAGAATAATTTGTATTTTTTATCTGAAATTACAAATATTATAGTTTATAGACACTAAAACATCACAATAAGAATTTTCTTAATGGTTTATGTAATTTAAAGTCAATTATTTTATGTTACTAAGTATATAAAAATACTTTGAAAGAAATATAACATTTCTATATAAAGAAATTTATGTATTTTTGCACCACAAATCTCTAGACACATATATTTTTTATATTTCAGACGTAAACACGCCTTGGGTCTTTTAGTGATTTAAAAGATGGGTACTTATGATTCATTTAATAAAACCGAAACATAGTTTATAGCAGAATACAAATTACACATATTTAAAATAATATTTTTCAATAACAAAGAATTCCTTGGTATGAAATAAGGATTTTTGTTGGATTAAGGCATTTTGGAGAAAAAGTAAATTAAAATATAAAAGAAACTTATTTAAAATAATTCATTTCGACTGTCTTTGATTTCTTTTTGTACATTTTTGTCAATTTAAGGACCAAAATTCATTTTTCTTCGCAGTCCATAGTAATGTTGTAGAATCCATACATACTATTGGAGAGGAACTAAATTATTTTCAACCAATACACAAACAATATTGTTTCAAACACCGAGTTACGTGATATTTGTTTGAAATCATAGTCCGTTATATAAAGGGCAATTTAGTCAGAAATTTCATCTTATTCCTATAGCAGCTTGCAATATTCGGCAAACAGGAAATTGATTCAATTTCCAAACCAATTGTGGTTTATGGGATGACTTAAGTTGTCCTATAAATGTGCCAAGTTGTGCCTAAAACATATTGAATATAAATTTTCATAACATTGCTCTTTTTTAAATTAGAAGAATAGATCGATGAATTCTGTAGTCTATAGTATAGAAGAATTCTGTACATTTTGTATATTGCTTTCTACTCGGTGGTGATTTGTATCATTGACTTCTAAGAGCCAAAATAGCATAATAATTCCATATGCTGTTTGGTTTGTATACACCCTGTATCTTGAGTATTGAGTCACCCTGTATCATCTGACCTGTGCCATCTTATCATCTGACCTGTGCAATCTGATTGGCGGGCATGTCGTCTTGTTCAGCAAACTCCGGCGGCGGCGGCAGTACGGGCGGCAGGGCGCGCGGGTGCGAGCGCAGCCCCCCCACGCCGGCTCCCGCGCGCCCTGACATCACACGCTCGAAGAGACCTTATAGAACGCACTAACAACGCATACCGCGGATCTACACGACTCGTTGAATGATGTTACTTTTATATGTAATATTTCACTATTTGAAATTATTGCACTTTTTTATCACTGCGTCAATAATATTATCGATCAAAGAATAATTTGTTTTTTTCAAACCCTTTTAGAAGATGTGATAAAGTTTGTTATTGATAAGAATAGATGAGACAATAAAAATGCTAACTATCCATTTAATATACCTAACAAAAAGTACAATCTAATTACATTAAACATAATCTCGTATAGTTTGTCCTAAAACTGACTAGCCCTAAGATATAACTTGTAAATTATACTTAGCTTCTTGTCGAGATTCATTACTAATTAATATTCTTTTTTCTGTACAGAATCATATTTTTATAGTAATTTCGTAAATTTGACTGCATATATGTATAAATATATCCATTACAAAATCGAAGATAAGACAACAGCAAAAATAACTGCATTATCATTAAACTTTATCACTAATACAACTAGCGATATTACTGGCGTGCAAATATATGCGAATTATATAAAAGAAATGTTATACCAAAAAATATTTAAAATACATGTAATAAAAAATATTGCGTAGTTCATTTCGAACGGAACCTTGCAATATTCGCGTGATTGTGAACTCTTAGAATTGGGTCAGATCATAGAGTAAAAGCAAAAGAGGATAACGATGTTCATGTATTTATGGAAAAAAAAACTAGGCCAGCACCATACATACAACTACAGGAATACTTGAGTCGTACGACTTTTATAAATGCTTCACGTATACTAAAAACTAAATATATTTAACTTATATAGTGATTTAAAGACGTTATTTAAATAAAAAGTGAAAACATTATTATTTTACTCTTTATTGTAATAATGACGAAAACTTAATAATTTTTCAATCAACAATAATTGTTTCACATCTAGTTATTCTGATTTATATCAATTGAAATGTAAGAAATTGTATTAGTTTTAGTTACACTTGACTTACACTATAAATAATTGATAATTTCATACAAATAATCCATAAAATTTTCAATTTTCTTTTAATATCTAAACAGAATAATATTTAAATAAAAATGCATATACAAGTTAAATATTTAGATGAAACGTAACAAAGAAGAAAAAAAATAAACAACAAATGAAACAGAAAACTGGCTTTGTTACAATAAATACAGGAAACAAGCACAAATAAAACATTCCAATGTTGGAAGAAAGTAAAACTGACATGCATCCGCTATTTAAAGACACGTATTTTATGTGAACGAAAATAAATTCACACCAACAAAATAAACGAATTGAATCATAACATATCTTTATTATAAGTGTCTCATATATATTTATTTATAAATTAATACCCGACACCTGAATTGTCTCATTTATGTATCGATAATTCAATACATAGGTGGCATGAATAAAATCTGTGTCAAGAGAATTAGAGAAATTAGGCCAAAGTCTGACGTTAAATTATAATTCCTACATCATTAACCGGACAAAGGAATCCGACTTGAAAGCTATCGAATAAAATTATATGAACGCTTTCATATATATTGAAATGAAAGAATTATAAAGCTTATTATTTGATTAAATTTTTGGGTCTAGCTGGCGAGTTTTGCGCATTGAGTCGCGCCGACTTCTTATTTACTCCAATACCTTATTGGAACGGTCACACAGTGATTATCTAACAATTTATTCGTGAAGAAATGTAGATATCATGTGGTATATTATAATTTGTTTTGGATGTAAATAAGTGACATGGGGCGGCACTTGGTTTTGGGCGGCTGAACCGGGCGATGCGGCGCCTGACGCGATACTGCCGCCCGTCTGAGCACAGCTACCCGCCCTTCACCACCCCCCTATCCCGCGCCAACAAAACGCATATAACGGAGACACGTTTATTAGCCAGAACGCTACTTAAATTCGATCCCACTACACCGAACAACGCTTAGCACTTTACAATACAAAGCTTTAATTTCAGTGTAACTTAAATGTAACTATTTATATACATAAAGCAATATCAACAGCTATAATCTTTGTGTCCCATTCACACCTGAGTTATTTGTAAGGGCGTCAGATTTGGCTGTCGTCGAGACGATTCTTCTGATCGCTGACCGCACACCTTTGTAAGTGCTCGGAAATGACGCGAACAGTCGGATCTTGCTGGGAGTTTAAACCATTTAGTCGATTTTTTTGCTCCAAATGTTGTTACCATTCGATCAGCTGGTTTTGTTGTGTTGTAAACTATCTTCGGGCTTTCAATTTCGTCAGCGTTTGGTGCTATACGATATTTAGCTCCGGCCATCACCTTCTTTATTCCATAGGCGGAACGATTACTCGAAGAGTCCTCGTATTGTTCTAATTTAGGTCCTGGACTGATTGATTTCAGTGGTAGCGACGGCGAGTAAGTATATAAATGACTATCTCTCCTTAGCAGGCCCCTAATCCGACTCAAAATAGTTGGTGGTGGGTCAGTGTTCGTTCCAACAGTACACATTCGTACCGGTACATCGCTGTCTATGGGTACAGTTGTGGAAACATATGGTCGAGATGTAAGCGATGAACAACGTCGTCTTGGTGATAACTCTTCATTCTGATACAGTTCGTGTTGGTAGGCGAGTTGCAGGGTACTGATGTTTAAACGTTCCTGCGGTGGCCATAATTCTCTTGTGGGAGGTACAGGAGAGGGTCGCTCTCCTATAATACGTCGAGCGAGCTCTGCCGGCTGCCACAGCTGCCACAAAGAACCCGCTGACAGACTGCCGTTCGTTTGCATCACGATTCTGTTGAATACTAACGTTGCAAAACTCGGAAGCAAGTAGACTAATCCAATACTCGGCTTTTCGCACTTGTCAGTTTTCATGGATAAAAAAGAATATCAACAACAATGGTCTTTAATTGAATTTAGTTAGCAATACTGACAGTTCAACTAAGGATATTCCACTCAACGCGACTTACAAATTGCTTTAAAACTTTTTTCTTTTACACACTAATTGGTTCACTGGCCATAAGGTATTTGAGTTCTAAAGACCAATGAACATAAAATTTTGTCCACATTTGTAAATTTCTTTTAAAATTATGTAACAAAAAAAGACATATGTATGTGTCATGCAACATGTTACATACATAATACATTTCTATTGTTGTGACATAATAATTGACAAAATTTAATATAATTCGTTAATAGCAACCAAATGATAGTCAACAATGTTTTTTAAATAAAATTATTTTGAATCAAATATAAAATTAACTAAATAATCGAAGACTCATCTTTTTCTCTAACATATCCAATGAAATAAAAGATCATTTGCAGGGACTGGTGAAGTAGATCACAGTGATTTGTCACAATGAGGCAAGAAAACATTAAAATTATTTACTGGAAACACAAAGACAAATAAAATTACTATCTCAGTATCAATTCAAGCATCCAAATAATATATTATATTAAAAATTATGCAAGTTCAATGAATTGATACCTACACAATGATGATTATTAGAAGCAAAATTATTTATTTATATTATTGCGTCTTTATTTAATTACTTATCTGGAAAGAGATATTTGTGGTAAAACAATGAAATTGGTGGGAAGAGGCTAAAGCGACCTTGAGACCCCACAAAATCTATTGCAGAAGACATTGTTTGTGTATTTGGTGCTCTAAAATTTCTAGTACTTAGCTTCATAACTAATAACTATTGAATAACCATGCTCCCAGCTGAATTTAACTCCCTAAGTAGAAAAAAAATTGTTTTATTAACTGATATATGGGAGTTCAAGAACTGCTGGTTAACAATCAGAATTAAAGAGACACTTAAAGAAGAGGAATAAATAATAAAGCTTAAGATTTTTATAGACATATATGTAAAACATACAGACAATGTTTTAAATGTAGTCATAACTACCAGTTATGTATGTTTTAAAATGTGGTAAGGACAGTATAGAAATGTATATAAATAATATATATTTTTGAAACCAACCAGCTTTTTATGTGGTCTATTTATCTTACGAATTTTCTGGCTCTGAAAACTAAGTCTAAGATTGCATTCCTACATTTTTTATTCATTTAATTATAACATTAATGTAAACTATTGAATGAGGAAGTGAAAACTAAGCATAATAAGTGTTCCCATAAACTACATAACTTTAAAAATATGCAAACTTATACTAAGGAGACTGAACAAAATGCTTACTGAATGAATAAATTGATACCCCCATTTCTACCACTTCTACTTTAATAGTTATCTCTTTTGACAAAATCAGTCAGTTATTTGTTTCTTTGAGAAACAAAGAACTGATAATTTAATAATAAGACTACGAATGAAAAGTATTCATATTTCAAACACAGTTATGTACTAAAATCTAATATTATCATAGTTACACCTTTAATTTTAATAAGTTATATACCTATATACCAAGACATTAAGATTTTTTATGGATATAATACTATATAGAAACAGGAATTAATTTTCTATTAAAAATATTCCATAAAATTATAAACACCAAGTTCTTGTGGCATCTATAAGTCTAAGAACAACAAATAATTTATTACTAAGTACTAACTAACTAAACTAAGTACTAACTAAGTACTAACCTTGAGAGGTCTTGTTATGGTCACGGTTTCAATCATTGTTGTGGACGCCATTTTTGTTTCACCTATAAAATAATATAACATTGTAATTTATATACTCAATATTTTTTAAACAGCCTTAAAGATTTTAATGAATTAAGTAATACTGAGAACTATTTGGCAAGAATTCTATTATTATAGTAAATAGGAAATGTTTTGATATAGGATATATTTAATATTATTATTTTTCGATGAGTACAGCTAATAAGCTGTCTCTTATTTTTTTAACTACATACTCCCAAAGTTTTAGTTAATTTGCAGCAACAATGATTACGGACGGATAATCAACGAATAATCAACAAGATGGAAATTGACCTCAATTGTTTTTCAGTTGCTGCAAAATAATCTAAATGTTTTGAATATGCAGTTAGCATGATTAAAAAAAATTAAATCCAAAAATATTCATTTTATTTAAATGAATACTTGTGAAAGTCTTTGATTTATTCATAGGAAATGTTATTTTCTTTTTGTTCATACTTCTAATAAATTAGACCACTATTGAAATTAAGTGGTTCAATTTAATATTTCACTAGTATTTGAATAAAGAAATGAGATATTTTTGTGTTTGCTGGCAATATACAAATAATCCTAGTGAAGCAAAGTTAGCCAAGCTAGCAGCTAGAATTCAGTATCAGTAAAATAAGTAGAAAACTAAATATTAATACTTAAACACAAACAAAGATAAAAAATATATTTCATTCATTGTTGATAAGATAAAGAAAAAGTAAGGCAATATTTATAACAACTATCATTCAAAGTTGACTAAAGCTCTTTGCTGTATTAAAAATCTTAATTCTCCATATAATTATTTAATAGGTTTTAATATAAACATAAGATGACACATAAGCTATCGTAAGTATGTTTTTCAATATGGAATTTATAGAAATATATGTAAAATATTATCAACTTGTATTAAAAAATTTAATTCTAAATTTCTTGTCATCATATTTGTGTCATTGATCTACATTCACTAACATTATGACTCACACTTTACTTATTACATTTAATAACTTGAAGTTTACATGAAATGCCTTCAAATGATGCTTATTTTTTATTTTATTTTTATTGTCAAATTATGCATTTTATGAACAGCACTACATATTATCACTATATTTTAACTGGAAAGTAACATTACTTTGTTATTATTTGTAATCTACAATTGACTTTCAACTTATGAAGAGTTACTATAACATGAATTAAAACACTAAAGAACAAAAGGGTAAATAGTTGAAGCAAGTATGTTAATACCACACTTTACTTACATATGATTTAAGAACCTTCACACTAAATCCGGTTTAATTACTCACATTAACATTTACAGTGATTATTATAAAAGTAAATCTTTATTTTTAACAATACACACGATTTCTTTCGTTTAATCAATACAAACAATACACAATTTCTGCGATTGACTTTGTGACACTAACTAAAATCTAAATGTGTCTATTATTTAAAAAACTCTATGGTCTCTTACCCATCAACATACTGTAGCCTTATCAAAATAAATATATATCTTTTTTCTTTATCTCATTAATTTTAATTATTATTTAGTAAGTAATTTAATTAACTTATAAATAAAATAATAATTAAAAAAAACTATGATTTTACTCGTTTTCATGTAAGTAAATTAATTTGAAATTTCTTAAGAGGAATAGTTATCTTTTTAGATATTGCTCAGTATATCCTTTAAGATCCTTAAACCTTTCTCATCCTCTCACCAAATTAAATTAAAGTAATTTTTAAGTTGAATAAGCAATTTTAATCAATTGTGTAAACTATTCATCCTATTCACATTAACTTTTCCATACTGTTTCAAATTTTAAAGTTCACATCAATCTTTGTTTCAATTTCGCCTCTCCAAAAGAACAAATCGCGAAAAAAATATTATTGTTTTTTGTTTATACTAAACTAAACAAAAAGGGTTTAAAAAAATTAAACTGTCAATCCCAAATGTCGTCAAGTTTTAGTTGATTGGTCTATCAGTAAATAATTTAAAAGTTTTAAACTTTTATTATGTTTTTATTTTTCTGAAGGAAACAAAATATATAAAACTTTGTTTTCCCATAAAAGTCGCTAATTGTTAAAAAGTACTTAATCTAAATTTAATAAATTTTCCATCATAAACAGAATCAGGTATAACATTATTGTTCTTCATTATATTTGTTGTTTAAATGGCGGGAATCAAATCACTAGCGGTCAGAGGGATTCGAAGTTTTGGACCTGAAGAATGTGATGAACAGCGTATTACATTTGAGAAGCCGTTAACATTAATTTTGGGTCAAAATGGTTGTGGTAAAACAACTATTATTGAATGCTTGCGATATGCTATCACAGGGCAAATGCCTCCCGGTAGTCGCTATGAGTGTTTCGTTCATGATACAAAGGTGAATAGATCAGTAGAAGTCATGGCTCAAGTAAAATTAAAGGTATAGTATTAAGATCTTAATTTTAAAATACATGTGTAAAACTCAACACCTTACAAAATTTTTGCCCTTATGTTTTAGATTGTAAATGCAAAGGATAAATTATTAGAGGTATCAAGGTCTATGAAGGTTACAGCGCTAAAAAACAAAAAGCCTAAATTTCAGACCTTAGATTCATTTCTTTCTGTGGACGATGGAAGTGGAAAAACCAAGGACATTTCATCTAGATGTGCAGATTTAGACTTTGTTATGCATGAGGAACTAGGTACATTATAATTTCTCTTCAGACTTAGTCTTCTACCTGGCAATTTCCCAGCTTTAGCCAGGGTCTGCCTTACATGTTGTGTATAGTTTTGGCTATTTGTTTTTACGACCGGCCGCCTGCCTGACATCAACCCTCTTTTTGGGAAACAATATTAATCAGTGATGTCTAAATATTCTTAGAAAGTACATATGACTTGGAAAAATCACGTTGGTACTTGCCCGGGCCAGGATCGAACCCGCACCCTCGACAACGAGAGGCGGGCCCTTTAACGACTAGGCTACCACTGACTCTTCAGACTTAGTATAATATTAGAATAATTAATAATATATTATTAATTATGTTAATAGAATTTTGAAGTATACTATAGAAGATTTATTCTATTATTTTAGGTGTATCAAAGGCTATATTAAATTCCGTAATATTCTGCCATCAAGAAGACTCTAGTTGGCCATTGGATGAAGGAAAGAAGGTGAAAGAAAGATTTGATGAAATCTTCGATGCCGATAAATACAGTGATTGTTTCGATCGCCTCAGAAAGATTCGGAAGGAGTATGAGCATGAAATTAAATCTCTTGGTTTGTTAAATAATTTATTTATACATTACTAACTTCTTAAAACATATGAATTAGATCTTATACTTGAACTATATATGAATAATTTGGTTAGAATTTGTGTAATAAAAAATATTATATACAGCTCAGCAAGTTTCATATTGGACTGAGAAAAAAGAAGATCTCGATAAGAAAAAATTAGATCTGGTTAACACTAAAACTAGAATATCTGAAGCTGAAGAAAAAATTTTGGAACTCAGCACTGAATTAAAACCAATATCAGAGAAACTCAATGCTATAGAAACCTTGCAAAAAAACCTAGTCTCATTTGAATCTACCAGAGAAAAAATCAAAAATAGGTATATATTAATTAATATTTAGAATAAGAAGTTGCATTAAGTATAACAGTATCAATAAATGATATTAGACTTTCCCAAGTACACATTTAAATAATAATATGTTTGTTCAAATTTACTAAATTCTAGTTATTTACTTTACACAACATACCAGTAACTATTATCTTAAACATAATAAGAAATGTGAAATAAAATGTTGAAGTAAACATAGTATTATATTTAATATTTAGGTCTTTCTTCAATAATTTCTTAGTTCTTATTTTTTGGCTCTTCATTTGCAGATTAGAGCACCATCAAGAGTCTGTTAATGAATTGATGAAATCCATTGATAAGTTATATGAAGGTTCAACTGAAGAACTTCATGAAAGATATAGTAAGTTAATACTATTTTTGCTTAAAAACCTATCAATAATATATCAATTATTAACATAAGACTAAATACTCAAAAATGTATTTTTTTACAGCAAACTATGGTGCAACCATAGAGGCAAAACACACAGAACTTGATAAATCATACAAACAAAACTTTTCATTCAATAAAGAGGAGGAGCGAATTGCAAATGAAAAGACTAACAATGAAGTTAAATTCAATAAATTAATTCTTTTGGAGAGTCAAAATCAAGAAAAGATTGATAAAAGGAACAACATGATATTGGATACGGCCAAACTTGCTGGTAATAAGATGATAAATTTATGAAAAATGATTATAAAACTTTATACCGTAGTTATGAGAATTATTTTGTATTTTGTAAAAGTTACATACTGTTTCTTTCTGTCAAATATTTAGTTTTGAAAGTATGTTCATTATTATCTATTAATTTTCATAACCATTTAGGACTTATGCTGTGTCATGAGTAAAATTTTTTATTGATATCATCACTACAAGCAATATTAATTTAGTTTTAGGTAAATGATAAATTCCATTTTTTCTCTGTTTTTAAAAGAAATTGTTTTATCACAAAATATGACATCTGAAATCTTATCAGGAATAAGTATAACAGTTTATAAGACCCTATTTTAATATAATTACAGATGTGGATGTTCAAAAAATAGAAACAGATGGTGAAGCTGATCAGAGTAAAGCTGCTGTAATGGAAAAAATAAAAGATTTAATGAAAAAATTAGAAGAACACAAGTTAGATGCTGACAAGGCAGAGAAAGAATGTCAAAAACATGTTGATGACAGTAGAGATGCACTTGTAAGTAATAATAAAAACTTTTTTTGGTACTTTTTTATGAAAATATCTACTGGTTCGATGTAGAGTAACTATTTAGATTTATTTATTACCACAATAACATGTAATGTATAGAAAACTGTCTTAATGTTATTAATATATCTTCTTTTATAGAAAGAGGTAGAAGACTACCTGGCAATTTCCTAGTTTTAGCCAGGATCTGCCTTACATGTTGTGAATAGTTTTGGCTAATTGTTTTTACGACCGGCCGCCTGCCTAACATCAACCCTCTTTGAGAATGCATGCAATGATCAATATTAAGTGCCTACTATATGTGTGTGTGTGTGTTTTTTACGCAAATTGCCAGGGCTCATACTCTGATATGCATCTGTATTTGTCAATCTTGTTAAAGAAATTTCAAATTTGTTTATCTTTATTCAAAAAAACCCGAACTAGCAATCTTATTTCACTTAATACCATTGATTTACAATTCAAATATACACATGTTGTATTATTTGTAAAAATCATAAAACATATCCAATTTTATATGTTACATGTCAAATTGAAATATGCATCAAATTGACAACATCTATTATACTTGCAATTTAACTCCTATACTTTGAGATAAAGTTTTAAATCTTATATTTTTCTATTACAGTCCCGCCACAAACAAAAAATATCCAACAAAGAAACAGAAATACAGACAGTGAAGAAAGAAATAAAGAAGATGGGACTGCAAATAACAGACGCTAATAAATCTAAACAAAGATTAGAAATATTGGAAGGAAAATTAAAAACCGCTGAGGAGTAAGCAATGTCATTCAAATATTATATATTTAGAGTGTTTTTTAATATTAACGGTTTGTAGTCACGTGACTATAGTGACGTCACCCTAGAACAGTAACAAGTATCCTGCAGTGATTTTTTTATTATTGGATACACTGTGTTAATATTATATTCATAATAATATTACATTGACTGTATGCAATAATACATTGTTAATTTACCAATTATTAAATTTTCATGCCTTTTTGTTATGCTGCTTTTTAATCATGTTAATTTAATAATATTCTAGATTAATATTTTTTTATTGAATTCAGCACATATTCATTTGTTAATAGTACTTAATACACTTTTATTTATCTTTAATCCTATTTTTTATATACTTTTGTATATATTTTGTATATACGATCTTATTAAATGTTAAGCTTCATAACCAACCATCCCATTATTCATAAATATCTCTACATATATTCACAATGCTAAAACAGTCGTTGCAAAAGTTTGAGCAAGACACACACTTGTACTATGATATCACATACCTATGGGTCAGTAAATACAATCTGGTCCGTCACTTAAAAATGTAATGTCGTCACGGATTCTTTTTCGTATATTTTGTTTTAGAAATTAATATCTAAAATTGCAAAAAATATATTTGACTATTGACTTTGAAATGTAAATTAATCTTCAACCCACTTTCAGAGAGTATGAACAAACCGTTAAAGAGGTGAACACAGAGGAATCTCAGAATGAAATCAATTCCGATGAAAAGATCATGGAAAATTATGAACATGAACTGGAACAACTAAACGAAAAGGTAATTGTACTATATTAAATAAAAGTATATTAGGTATTTAACACCTAAATAATTACAAGTCAAATAATAATATACAATCATCTTATTTTTTCAGGTTACAAAATTGCAAAACCAAAGTACAATATTGAAAGAAAAGGATATGATTGAGGAATCTTTGAAACAGAAAGAGAAGCAACTTAATGTACTGAAAAACAAACATAGATCTGCCATAACTGAGTTGTTGGGAAAAATGATTGAAAGCAATTTTGCAATTTCAATCAATCAGTTTGAATGTGAAACGAGGACCGAGTTGGAAACCATTAAGAAGAATATATCGGAGAAACAAAATGAGGTTAGATATGATGTTAAAATAACATTCAGTAAGCTAAACAATGTTTTATTAAAAATTAACACATTGATTTTTTTGGCCCATGCCTACCTATCATGGTTACTATGCGCCGTTGATTTCGGCCATATATACCCACGATACGTTAAATTTGAAAAATTGAAGTTGCATAAACTTTCATTTCGAATATTATTAGCATCAATAGTTCTCATAAGATCATTTCTCAGCAGTTGTCTTATATTAATTTACATGAACCAGAAGATAGGTGGCGCTGTCCGCTTTTTCTTAATCTAGTTTCTGACATCTGCTCCTCTGTGTATAGCATTCCAAAGTTTGCTCGGATATAGTTGCGTATAAAAATATTATTGAAGCAGTATAATATACTTTTAGTAAAATAATTAAAGAACACCAATACACTGGATTGTAACTAACCATTTGGTAGAAAATTCCCTCTTCTTAACATGTATCATTCAAATCGGCACGTACAATTTTTATTTCTACCTATATCTTATATATATACAGGGTGACTCACCAGTCATATTCACCAATTACTATCAATATTTAAGGAGAATACTCGGTACATGATTCTCATTCGAATTATGTAAAAAAAATAGGTACTTAATTTGGTACCAAATTTCCGTATAAATAAAAAAAGTGTGGACACGTTCCAAGTGTTCCAAGTGTGGACGCGTGCGGAGGCGTGCTGATACACCACGCCGCCCCACGCGCGTGTGTGTGTGTGTGTGTGTATACCTAATCTGTAGGGTGTTCACACGATGCGTAATTAATTACATAACTTTTGGTTAACTTTACTTAGAAGTTTATTAATATTTATGTTATATTAATTTTTATTTTGTCATATATGATCGTCAAATATCACGTCCTCAAGTATGGATAGTAATTCACCAGTCACCCTGTATATAATTCTTCTGTGAGTGTGTATGTCACTGAACTTCTCTCAAACGACCGGACCGATTTTGATGAAATTTTTTGTGTGTGTTCAAGGGGATCTGGGAATGGTTTAGATTCACAATTTTGTCCGCTGGATAATGTTTTTTTAATTAATTTTTAATTTATTAGTAGTTGTTGATATGTGCAAATGTTTTTTTTGACATTAGATTTGACACCTACCTAATATGTCAATCATTCTGTCGCACTTCAAAACACAGAGATTTATGGCTTTAATAGGTAAACTCATAAAATATAAATAAAAAACGTAACAGATATTTCTTGATTATAGGGCGATACGAAGTTCGCCGGGTCTTCTAGTATTCTCATATTCTTAATGTTAAATACACATATAAAATTCCAGATTACTCGTGTGGAAACGGATCGCGATCACATTAACAGGCAGCTGCGCGAACGACGTGAGGAACTTTCCGCCGCTGAAGACCGGATGTATCGCGAGTGTGGAGCGCAGACATACGACAACACACTCGCTAAGATCACAGCCACCGTAGACAAGCTACAGGTAACAGAAACCTCGTGCCATAATGATTATTGTTTTATTCTTAGCGCACTGTTTTCAATTATTGTTATTAATAATTTATAATTTTGGTCGTATATACAAATATGGCTTCTAAGACTTTACCAAATACTTTTTTATGTATTATATGTATATTTTTTTTAATTAAATCAATACTTATTTAATACTTGTGTCAAACTAAAATTATTATAAAAAATTTCGTTACAAAAATACACTGCACGTCCTTCAGAATTATAGAAATTCCTTTTGCGTATTATAGAAATTTTACATTCTGTTACAATAATTTTACATTCTGGAAAATTAGCATCAAATTTAAAATATTAAATATTTTCCATATAATTTTGTTTTTTACCAACACGCATACCATCTTAAAGCAAATTAAACCAACAATATTAACTAACTAACGTGCAATGAACTTTCAGGATGAACAAAACGTACTGCAGTCTTCAATGTTTATTATAACAAAATACAAAGGTCAAATAAAGGATAATAATTGTTGTCCCCTATGCAGCCGTGGCTTTGATAATGAAGATGAGGTAAGTAATAATATAATATACCATGAAACATAGAACCATGTCTAATTAACTGTAACTATAAATTTAAGGTGAATGACCTCATATCTCAACTAACAACTCAAGTGATGAATGTGCCGGCTAAGTTAGAGAAGGTCACAGAGGAGTTACAGAGAACTTCCGCTAAGAAAGATAACTTGCTAAGTATGAGGTCTTTGAATGAGAGGATTGTCGTTTTGAAGGAAAAAGATATTCCTGACTTGGAGAAACGGCTAGCTGAGGCCGATAAGGTGGGACAGACAGGATTATTTAAAAATATAAGGACTTTTTTTTGTCAATATGTTTCATATTAATTTTATATATGTTACAGGTAATAGCAAATTTAACAGAATCAGTGGATGACTTGACAATGCTTTCAAAGGAGCCAGAACAGAAAATGTCGACTTTGCGTCAGATACAGGGAGATATGCCACTGTTGGATAAATTTACAAACGAAATTAGAAGTAGTAAGAAAGACGTAAGTTATTTTTTACTTGAATATTTTACTAGATCCCCATAATGAATAAATAATCTAGATATGGTTCTGTAGTCCTCACTAATACTAGTCAATTTCTGTGGTATGTGATCAGTGATAAGACTGAGCTATCAGTGTGTTGACGCACACGAGATATTTGTGAACAAATATATCTTAGGATTACCAAGTCATAATCTCAACGTAATGTGTAAATCGTTACATTATCATTTGAAATTTTTCGGACTAAACAAACTATTAACAGTATTGAAGTAATATTAACACTATTCTAAACTATATCAGAGATGTGAAATAATAGTTTAGTAAAACTGTTTAAACACATAATGTTGAATAATAATGCCTATAGATATTAATTCCAATTATTGAAAACAGTCATTCACTCAGAACAGAACTTAGTAATCGGTTTACTAAATAAAATAATTTTGTATATAAGAATGAGAAATTAAAAAAAGGAATTAAACAAATTTTTAGATCTTTACAAAAACTTAATACTTACATAGAGTACATATTCCAATTAAAATAAAAAACTAATTTTTCAATGTTGAAATAGAATAAGGTATTGGACAAATTGTACTTATATATTTTTTTAAAAATAACATCTCTGAAGTATTTTTGTTCTTTTTATTCATTCATCATTCTTTCGTCCATTCGATACTGTTCGCAGACTTTTTCATTTGAGAAAGAATTTTTGATAGCGTATTTTTTTTTTAAATGACATGATATTGTCGGATCTGTCTTAGAATATTTATATCTTGAATTTAATAAAAATGACTTTATGATAGAATGTGTTATATTAACATGAGTTTACCTTCAGAGGTGACCGCATTACATAAACTACGATTTACTTTTCCATATTTATTGGCATATTTTTATGATTATTTTTTTATTTTGTGAAAAAGATTAAATAATTTTACTATTTTTAGCTTGAATCTGTAAAAGCAAAATGTGCCGATTTTGAGTTCGATATGACTTTGGACGCCGCTACCGGGAAACAAACTGATTTTAGACAGAAAATAGGGGTTCTGAAGACCAAGATCAAAAGTAACCAAACGAAATTAAACGAACACACCAAGAAGATACAAAAGCAAGCAGAAGAAAAGAATAAACTTAAAGAAGAACTCCTTAATATACAGAAAATGGTAAATATATTCTTTACGTCATTTCCCTGAAATCGTTGTTCGGGCCTTATAAATCAATTTTAACATTTTTAATCAATCTTTCAACTCCTTAAACTTATGAGTGCTTGAAATTTATCAAATGAAAAATACTATGTTGATGGTACAAAATATATTTCTCAAAAAGTCTCAGAATTATTTATATCAAAGGTTTCAAACTATTACATAGTTACCCAAACTGCTGAAAAATTTTCATGTCTTACATAAAACCAAAATAAACCCTTCGAACTTTTTAGGCACTCATAAATGTGTTTGTCTTAAATCTTTATTTTAAATAGAATTGTTATAATTTTTTCAGGTTCAAGAATTGTACAATTTACAAGAGACCCTAAAGCAAATGGAATCTAATAAAGAAAAATATTTGATGGAATTAAAAGAACTGCAAGATTCAACAGAAAAACTGGAAAACGAATTAAAAGAGAAAGAAAAGGCTAAAAATAATGTCGTCACCAAAAATAGGTACTAAATATATATATGCATATACAGGTGTATGAAAAATTGTGTCAACCCTTGAAGGCATATATACATATAAGTATAAGCTTATTATAAAAAATAGTATAACTTAAAAAATATCAAGCAAAGGTGAGTTACAGTGCATAGTCTAAATAAGTTTTAAATCGACATTATTTGGAAAAATGTTTCAAACATCTGACGCAATACAAGGTCAAGGCCCCGTATAGTCGCGACGACGCATACGCGGCCTTTGATCGCAGGCGCCGGCCGCCGGCGTGGCGCACTCGTCTTTTGTTAGTGTTTCGAATAGAAATTTGCAAGTTTAAAAATTAGGTTTATCGATAAATATTCTATCGACATTTTCAATATTGCTATAAGTAGTTGTACTTTTCACATTAAAATAATTTCATTTAAAATTACTTTTATTAATAATAAATATTATTAATCAATATTATAATTTGGAACTTCTTCAGGTAAATTAACTATGTTGTATTATTAGGATAAATCGTTAATCTATTTCTGTTAGAAATGGTGTTTTATAATCAAAAATAATACTAATGTTTGATATATCAAAATAAGTATCGGAATAATATGAATATTAAATATTTATTTATTGTTATGATTTTTTAAATATCGATATTTTCAATAATATGAAAGTAACTTCGAGTTCGTCACTAGTAGCGCAGCAGCTGTGATGACGTCATTGATTGTCATCGTGTTATACCAGGGCTTACAAACATTTTGTTACTCTACTTATAATAATCATTTAATATTTAATTTTAATTATTTTTATTGAAGAGTTTGTAAATGTAAGTTGTTTTATTGTGTTACATTTTCGATACTGATAACATAGTTAAGAGGGTTGACACAGTTTTTCATACACCCTGTATAATATCTATAACACCGCTTTTTAAAATTTGCAATGTTTATTTTTTTTCTTTTATTTTCTCACAGGCATGAAATCCAAGAAAAGAGTACATACTTAACAAAAGTAAGCAACGCCTTCGAAAAGATAAAAGCAATAGACTCTGAGATCAAGCAACACAAAGATAGGAACATTCAAAAAGAAATGGATCACATAAAGGAAGCCAACGACAAACTTAACTGTCGCCACAAACAGATTATTAACGACAGAGACACGCTCACTAAGAAAATAGACAGTTTGAAAGATGAAATTGCGAAACAGGAGGTACCTATATTGAATATGTTAAATTTACACGAAACTTCTCAATTATTCAAATCAACAAATACTAGGCCAGCTTGTGGTGTATGGTCTTAGTAGATAATTAACTTAATTTTTACTCTGTTCACAATTATTTTTAAGTAAAAAAAACGTATCCTACTACTTTTATAAATGTAAAAGTTAGTATACATGTTTGTCACTCTATCACGCCGAAACTACTTTATTGATTTTCATGAAACTAAAAAAACTAGTGTATTCTAATAATCACTATCGCAACACTGCTGACAATTTTAAAATCATTTCATTAATATATATTTTAAGATATACAAACGTACATTGGAAGACAATATAAAGCTACGAAAAGCGGAAACGGAAATAGAATCCTGTAATAAAGAGCTTGTTGAAATAAACGATAAATTAAAAGGTGTGAACACGGACATGATCTCAGAAAAAGAACCGCTGATTATGAAACAAACTAAGATATTCAGAGAAAAAGCACAAACAGAGGGGCAATTGGACGAATTGAAGGTATGAAAACGTTTTGTAACCTCTGTCTATACAGGGTGACTGGTGAATTACTATCAATATTTAAGGAGAATACTCGGTACATGATTCTCATTCGAATTATGTAAAAAAATAGGTACTTAATTTTTGACCAAATTTCCGTATAAATAAATAAAGTGTGGATACGTTCCAAGTGTTCCGAGTGTGGACGCGTGCGGCGGCGTGCTGATACAACACCACGCCGCCGCACGCGTTTGTGTGTGTGGTGTGTATACCTAATCTGTAGGGTGTTCACACGATGCGTAATTAATTACACAACTTTTGGTTAACTTTACTTAGAAGTTTATTAATATTTATGTTATATTAATTTTTATTTTGTCATATATGATCCTCAAATATCACGTCCTTAAGTATCGATAGTAATTCACCAGTCACCCTGTATAATAAAAAACTATTATTTAATATTCTTCTTAGAAATACTATTAATTTATTACTTAATAGAAAAATAAAGAATGTGGGAAATTGATAAGAAAAAAATTAATTTAATTATGTTATTGTTTCAGAAAGTTTACAAACAAAATCAATTGGAACTTAAAAAAGCACAAAATCAAGAGGTTGAAAAGAAATACAAAGAAAAACTCTATGAATTACATGTAACGAAAGCTATTGATACAGATATTCGAGATTATTCTATAGCATTAGATAAATGTCTTATGGAGTTCCATAAGGAAAAAATGGAAAATATCAATCTCATTATAAGGTAATCACATTACTTAATCTTAAGTATGTCGTACACTAATTTTTGACAAATATAATAAAATTATATAATATTTTCAGAGAACTTTGGAGAAAAATATACAGAGGCAATGATATAGACTATATAGAAATAAAGACGGAAGGAAGTATGTCAGCAGATTCTGATCGCCGGAAATATGATTACAGGTCTGTTATAATAACAAAAATTATCAAGTTAGAAAAATAAAAACAGCAATATTATCATTTAGCTAAAAAATATGAGAAAAAGCCAAAATTTACCATTCCTCATGTCTTTATATCAAACTATGCTATAATCAAAATTGTAAATAAATTCACTAATATTCTCCATATTTATTCTCCTTCTTAATATGGCGAACGGTAAATACACGCTACAGTTGTTGACGAAAATCCAATAGCAATTTTTTTACATTATATCTGGCTACAAATTTAATATAACTAAACTCTCAATTGCATTTAGAATTATAATATATTCTAAGGTAAAAAACGTGTACTAAAATGCAAGTTATATCCATACTATGTATATGTAGTATTATGTATTAGTATATTAATTTATATTTATGTATAAACAACAATTACACATTAACTTCGTAGGGTCGTTCAATGTAAGAACGGAGTGGAGATTGATATGCGTGGAAGATGCAGTGCTGGTCAGAAAGTATTGGCTTGTCTTATAATAAGACTGGCGCTGGCAGAAACATTTAGTTCAAGGTGAGAATAAGTACAAAAATAATGTGATTTAACTTTTAAATTCATATAAAAGTCGCGGTAACATTTAAATGAAACTAATATTTTTGGGATTTTTACTTCGCGTTTTTATTTTAGATTATAAACTACATACTCTCGAAGTCTCAGCTACTTTTCAGCAACCGTGATCACAGGCAGACGAGATCTCGCATCGCGAAGTAAAAATCCGAAAATATTAGTTTCATTTAAATGAGTACTCGCGAAAATCTTAGATCTCATCACGGTAACATATTTTAAAAGATAATCATATTTGTTAATGGGCGGTACATTTTAATTATGTACCTGTATGTACCCCGTACTTCTATGTATTTGAATGAAAGTACTGATATTCAATTTAAAATGTTGGCCAACTGTTCATCATTCATGATTTGAAACAATCTACGGATTCGTGTATTATAATTTTTTTTACAATATTAATGTTTATTTTAGGTTTGGTATACTAGCTTTAGATGAACCTACCACGAATTTAGACCAGGAAAATGTAGTGAGTCTGTGTTCTGCCCTCGGTGACATAGTACAAGAAAGGATGACTCAAAGAAATTTCATGTTCATTATCATAACTCATGACAGAGAATTTATTGATACCTTGGGTAATATTGATAAGGTTACTCACTACTATGAAGTGTCCCGAAACGAAGAAGGTAAATCAAGAGTTAAGAAGATTAGATTCACATAGTGATTATAGGATTATTGTTGTTCTATGTTATTCAATGTAATGTTACTGCTTACAAATAGGCTGTGCCTTGTTACTGTTATAAGAGTAATATTTTTTTTTATAAAATAAAAGCTTTTATATAATTATTATTGTTTAATTTTTATATAATATCAATAGATGGGAATATACATTATTGACTAGCGTTATTTACATAGACTTTCAATTAACATCAATTCCAGTAATACTATTCAAAGGTTTACAAATTTCGTGTTGATCAAGATACAAAACTTTGCTCTCCTGCAAAACAGTTAAGGTGACGCCTAACAGTTCCGCTATTTGTATGGGCGGAAAAGACAAAGATAGACATTTAGCAATATAAGGAACTAGATCTTCCGTATAACAAACACATAAAGATACAAAATTCTGTTTCTCAATGTCAGTAAAAGCTTGTTGTTCTTTGTGATAGAATGCAATCAATATTTGTGTTGCCTTGTCAAAAGATGTCTTAAAGCCCTTATACACATCCTTTACAATATTCAATGGAGCTGTGACTCGTAGTGAGTTTAAAATACTGAGCATACCATTACAGTATTCAGCCAATGGGTAATAATCTAACAGATTTTCCGGTGGACCTGTTGCCATACTTTCATTTATCGGCCTTAATACATTCTTGATACTCGGCACTTTGTATGATTTCATCTGATTCTCAAATTGATTGTCAACCTTTACAATACCAGCGTTAAACTGCATAAGGATATTGTTTCTAAACAATGGCGTAAGCACACATCTCAAGTCAGCACCAACTCTGCCAAAAGACAGACAGAGATACATACACTGGTTCATGATAGATTCAAAACCTGATTCATCTTCTTTCCATACATCCTGATTTAATATTTGTACTAAACCTTCCACCTGGAAACAAAATTAAACAATATAATTGATTATAATTGACGATTATAACATATATGATTAATGCTAATGCCCAAATAAGTTTGATGTCAGGCAAGCGGCCGGTCGTAAAAACAAATAGCCAAAAACTATTCACAACATGTAAGGCAGACAATGGCTAAAGCTGGGAAATTGCCAGCTAGAAGAAGAAGATTATAACATGTATATGATGATTCTATTAACCTTTTGTTTTAACCAACAAGACAAAGCACTAAGTCCATTAAGTTCATCATCTTTAGAGTCCTGTGTGTCTGACAGGAATATGGATTTATGCTGGGTTATAACATTAAATAAATGTATTCTATGTAACTCAACAATTTTTCGTAATAATTTTTCAGCATCTGAAAATTATTTAAATCATCAAAACATATAGTAAAAAATAAACCTACTAATCAAATTTACCTACAACATAATATTAAAATGTATTTCTTAGCCCTACCTTCAGAATTTCTAGCATCCTCCAATGCTTTTTCAAACCATGCATTTCTAGCTTTAAGGAAATGTAAATGTAATCCATCTGATGGTATAACATTTTTTCCTTTGTAACCGAATGATGTCACTGAACTCTGTTCATCATCGGTTGACTTGAAAACTGTGTTGGCTCTACGTAAGTAGCCAAGGATCTACTTAAAACATTTAAATATTAAATAACTTATAAATTAATACATTATATAACAAGTATGAACTATTTTCAAACATACTTGCAAACACTGAGGCAACGGAAGATCGTAATGCAGTTGATTGAACAAGTGATACAGGGTCTCAAACCATAATGTCATGATTTCATTTGTTGTGCTCTAAAAAAGAAAATTAGTTATATGAAGTATATAAAATATTATTATTTATAATACATTTAGCCTATATTACCTGCACAATAGGGATTTCAGAGTACCGTTTTGAAAGATTTCTAATAAATGCAAATATATCTAGGGCACTCTCATAATCTTCAGCGTTTAGAGCTTCTCTCATTAATGAGGGAAGCTCCAATAGTTCTAACAACTTATCACTTTGGTTTCTAATACTAATATAACGTCTGAAAATATGAAATAAGTTTTGTGTATTTTTAATATATTAAATAAATAAATGTAACATAATTTATAATCTGATTCTGATTTACTTTTTTTCTTGAACTATACCACCAGCGACTTGAGAAAATTTTTCACACTGCTGGACAAATTCAGGAGCAGTATCAAGGAAGTTTGATATTGATTCCTTGGATTTGCCCAAGTCTTTCATAATAGCTTTTGAAATACCAGCAGTCTCTACAAATGTTTTGTAATTAGTAAATGCTAAGTCCTGAGTTTGTTCAGTCAAATGTTTCATTTCTTCTGTTAATCTGTCAGGTTCTTTTTTTAACAGATCCCAATTTTGAGATCCCAACTTTTTAATATATTCGGTAATATCAGCAAAGTATTCGGCATTTTCTGAAAACAATTTCAAAGATGAAAGAAATAATAAATATTTCAATAATTTCAACTATTTAGTACTATTTTTCTTTCTGTTATCAAAATAATAGAATTAATGATTTTCAGTATTAACTATTACCTGTAGTAGAATCTGGAAATAATAATTGACAAAGATCTCTAAGCTCCTGAGATATCATACTGATTGAGCTTTATGAATTGTAATCAATTCTTTAAATAATATTTATTTCATTTATAATCAATTTTAAATAACTACGTGTAAGTAAATATTGACAAGACGTGCAATTATCCCTTATTGTCACTTTGACTTCTGTTAAATACAAACTGATAGAATGTTAATAGTGTACAACTTATATTAGTTTTTATTCGAACTCAAAATAATTAATGATAAAAAGATAATAATAAAACCAATGATTATAATATCTCATGTTTTTAAAAATTTGAAATATTTCACGTGTATATTAGTATACTGTGCTAGTAAGCCCAAGCTCAAATTTTTAATCTGTAGCAAAAAAATATTTCGAAATGGAAGAGTGAAAATGTTTAGCATATTCGTTAAGTTATATAAAATAATCTTCCTATGATATACAAAATATACAGTGTTAAAAATAATTGATTAAACAAACACCATATATGTAAGTAAAAAACAAATTTAAATTTCACTTTGGTTATATTTTGTGTTTTCATCCATGTTGAAGTATTGATAAGCCTTTGATTGCGTCATGTAGATCTATAGATATACGAAGTGCTGCTAATTATTCTTTCCTCCTTGCAATAGTTACTTTTTTATAGCAAATGTGATTAAAATTTCCCATTCTTCGTATTGAACCTTAAGTATGTTTATACAACTTAACCTTTCTTTTGACAATTAAATAACCTACTCTTTTTAAAGTCTTGACACCATATTTGTTGCTCTTTTTGTATATATTTAGACTTTACCTCGTTGCTTTTTTATGAATTGTAATTTCGTTGATCATTTGGAGAAACCGCTATGTATATAAAACTTAAAAGCTACATTATTAGGATATAAGGTTATGTTGATGTTTTGATTATAGATGATAGATGTAAATTGTTGACAGAAAATACGCATCTTTTTAGTTAAAAATATTTTATAATACATATATATTTTTTTACCTTATTATTTTGTATATGAGTTTTATATTTTACTTTATATAATTTCAACAATTTATTATTTTTAATTTTCACACAGGTATTTTTCAGTTAAAATCTGAAAAAGTTTTTAGGAAATCAATCAATTATGAAAATAAGAGATCCTTTATAATTAATTATTTGTTGCACACTGTGATTCATTTATACAATAAAAATAATACATATTTTAATCGCTTATGGATATCAAAGAAGAAAACATAATGGAGGAAGAAGAATTTAGTTTGGAGTGGGAAGATAACAAGGTTTGTTTTATTTATTATTCAAAGAAAATCTTAATATTTTGTCTTATTATTAATATATGTTGTATATTTCAGCAAAATATAGTAACCACCGAAGAAGTTATTTGTGGACTAGACAATGTTCAAAATGAATCCTATGAAAACTTGGTGAATATTTTTTCTTATACTTCCTATACTTATAAAAAGTTAATTGTACTAATGTAAAACATTTACAAATAATTATTTGAGAGTGTAATTATAAATTAATGTTAAAAACTATAAAAATATCTAAAATTCTTACAATTATAAATAATAACATGTTTTAGTTTGAAGCAGAAATTAATTATTTATTTCACATAACTTTAAATTAATTTAATAATAATATCGTTCTCAAGCATTCTTGAATATGATATATAATGAGAAATATATATTCTTTCTTTCATATCAGACAGAAGAAATCATTGCCGACACAGATCAAATGGCTGCTGAGAATTTGATGTACCTGTCACAAGATGTTGTTAGTTACACTGATAGTGCTGAACTGAATGTTGATCCGAGTGTTGAATGTGTGACCGAGGAAGTCATCACTGATGACTGGGTCATAACAGGAGGACAGGAAAGGTAATAGAATGGATATAGTATAAAATTGTTGTTATTCGAACAAGAAATATTTAAAAGGTGGTACAAAAATATGTTAATAAATACTTATCTGTATTTACATATCGTGTATGTATATTTTAATATTCATTTATGAATATTTAATTAAATTTATGAAGGGGAGTCATAAGTATGGTCATCATACAATTAAATTTGAATATATGTATACTCATACATAATGTAGTTATTTTATTATATACTAAAAGTTGAGGTAGGCAACTGTTAGGTTTATCTTGATTAAAACATATTATGCATGTATTAAAATTAAACAATGATTTATTTTCAGAGTTGAAGTCCCTTTAGAACACTTAGCAAATCCAGTGCAGAATGTGAAAATTGAAAATGACATAGATGTACCATTACCAACTGACCAAGTGAGACTTTAAGATATTAAAATAAAACTCATTTTAATAAATATATAACACTAATAATAGTCATAACAAAGATACCTAAGATATATACTATACTTAGATACTTGATGAAATGTTTTTTCATGTAAATCAACTTCTCTTTAATTAATAATTGTGATTATATTTCCTTTAACTATATAATTTAATTCCCATTTGAGCCTTATTTTTCCTTATGCTTTAAGTACATATAAAATATTATCCAAAATAATTCAACAATAATAATAATTTAATTTACTGTATTAATAACATATAATTGCAAAGTAGGCTTTCAATTACATTTTATGTATTCTTTATAATATAGGTTTGAACATATTTTTCTTGGTAAAGGACTAAGTTTTTTATTGTATAATAGCCCCCTAAAAATATTTAAGTACTAAAGGCATGTCATATATACATGTAGATATCTTTATACATATTCTAATTTCATATCAAACATGAATGTTACCTTCTATTCCGATCGATATTAAAGTAATAAAAAATATGTTTATATGAGATATATATTTTTTAATAACTATTTATATAATTGCAGGATGAATACACAGCTATGCGACCATGGCCTTGCGATTTCTGCTCTCGTCGTTTCCGTAAGAAGGCAGCTCTCATGAACCACATGGTCGCCCATCAGAATGACCGACCTCATTCATGCAACCTGTGTGGTGTGCGGTACGTCAGGAAGTGTGACTTGATGAACCATCTTAAAGTACACGCCTTTGTACCTGATAACACCGATCATATGAACTTCGGTTAGTCTATAATTGACTCTGACAGATATAATAGTTTCACAGATAAATAAAATTTCACTGATAGATGACAGTTGATTTTTTATTCTGCTCAAATTTGTATTTAAACTAAATATTTTAATAATTAGCTATTCACAATTTGGATACTTATAATAAACTAATTAATGATATGTTGATGTTCTTAGTTCAAATATTATTCAATGTGTAATAAATAAATAAAAATAGATAAATCATTGTCTGATGATTAATTAATTGTATTTTTTTTTATTTTTCAGATAATGTATTAAGTAGCAACCAAGTTATTAAAATAAAGAAGAAGAGGGGACGCCGAAAAAAAAAACCCGAACCAGTTGAAGAGGTGAGGATATCTTATACTAAAGGCTCTACTAAAACTGTCTTAACCAGTCAAAAAAAAATGTATTTATAACAATATAATATTTTGAATTTAGAACGGTGTATGGGAGAACATGACGTCAGCTCGTACACAGCAGTGGTCGCGGCGGGCTCGCTCCCCGCAGGCGCCGGCCGCCCCCCCGCTCGCGCCGCTCTCCCCTCAGACCCCCTCCCCGCAGTCGGAGCCCTCCCCTCCCCCCTCTCCGTCGCCCCCCACCCCACCGCCCGCGGACCCCTCGAGGCCGTTCGTCTGTAGACACTGCGGTGTCGGTTTTGCTAGGGAGAAGGCACTGCAATCGCATTCAAGGGTAACTATATAAAACTAATTCGAATGTTATGCTTCTAGTGCACTGTACCGACACGTGTAAGTCGGTAAGAAATAGAAATAAATAGTAATAAACTTAGCATGAGCTTTTATTACATTGATTCAGTTCGATTTTAAATCATATTAAGACGGTTTAAACCAGTCACAGACACTATGTATAGACTATGGACTCTTAAGCAGATAATTTTGAATTTTTAAATGATTATTGATTAGTATAAACAATATATTTGAAAGTTATTATCTCGTATACCCAGGTCCACGGTGGTGATTCTCCCGTGGAGTGTGGTGAGTGTGGCGAGTTGTGTTGGTCGCGGGAGGCGCTCCGGTCTCATACTACTTCAAGACATCCTCACCTGCCTCATGTCACACGGGCGCCGCCGGTCAATCAACTATACGATGATTCCAACTCCGGTATGAAACCTCTATACAAAAATTGTCTATAATATTTATATATGTATCTATACAATAGATATAATACACTGTCTCACGTACCCCACTGGAGGGGGTGGCATGCGCTCGGCAGTCTAATGACTAGCGCGAAGCAGAACGGTTGCATGCGCCTGCGCTCTAGGCGGGGTAGTAGTGAGCCAGTGACTAGTTATACTTACATGTAGAACCAGGGATCCTACAATATTATTAGTATTTATGTATATAGGTATTCGTTTGTTAAACATATTAATGCTGCCTCTAATCATGATTGAAGATATCAGTTTTAAATTTTGGGTATATTTTTTTTATTAATTTATATTCACTGTAAATCTATTTAGAGATTTCATGTTATATTATGTGTAATATATAACAACTTTAATCCATTCAGTTCACGAAAAGAAAGAGTTTATTTGAAAACATATCTTCTATATATATAAAAATGGATTGCTGTTCCTTAGTCTCGCTAAAACTCGAGAACGGCTGAACCGATTTGGCTAATTTTAGTCTTGAAATACTCCTGGAAGTCCAGGGAAGGTTTAAAAGGTGAGAAAAAATGGAATAATTGCCGGAAAAATCCAAAAACAGCCTTTTTCTATTTCCCATACAAACGATTTTTTGACATTAGACTTGACAACTAACTAATATGTCAATCATTCTGTTCGATTGAAACAGTAGAAATTTAATAAATACCAATACCGGGTTATTGAAGACGGAATAGAGTTTGCCCGGTCAGCCATACCTATATTACTAATGACGAAATTAACGCGGACGAAGTCGCGGGCAAAAACTAGTAATAACATAAAAGGATAAAGTCCCTAAAGAGATAGTATATGATTAAAATTATAAAATACTAAATTCTCGTATTTTTTTTTTATTAGTACACCGTATCTGACATTTACTTAGCAGTAACTTCAATCACAGATACACGAGATGAAAGTCTTACAAGCAGATAATCGTCTAAATACTTTAACATGACATCATGTAATTGTTATTTTGTATACAGGGAAAGTCTCATAAGCAGATTTTCAAGTACTTCAACATAAAATTATATAATCGATCTTGTATATACAGGTGTTGATATGGACTTCCGTCTATCACCGCTGCAGAGTGACAGCGACCGTGAGCGAGAGGTGACGAGGGACAGGGCGGATGTTAGAGGACCGGAGCTGTTCTGTGGAGACTGTGGCGTGGCCTTCCAGCGAGCTGACCTACTACGGAGACACGTGGCCGCCGCGCATAGGTGTGTAAACATATACAGGGTGACTGGTGAATTACTATCGATACTTGAGGACGTGATATTTGACGATCATATATGACAGAATAAAAATTAATATAACATAAATATTAATAACTTCTAAGTAAAGTTAACCAAAAGTTATGTAATTAATTACGCATCGTGTGAACACCCTACAGATTAGGTATACACTCACACACACATACGCGTGCGGTGGCGTAGTGTTGTATCAGCACGCCGCCGCACGCGTCCACACTTGGAACGTGTCAACACTTTATTTATTTATAGGGAAATTTTGTCAAAAATTAAGTGCCTATTTTTTTTACATAATTCGAATGTGAATCATGTACCGAGTATTCTCCTTAAATAGTGATAGTAATTCACCAGTCACCCTGTATAATACTAGTGTACCCGCGGATTTCCGGCATTTCCGGGTTGTAAAGTATATGTTGATGTGTTATTCCTGGACGTCATCTTCATGTATAGAAAATTTGATAAAAATCGGTTCAGCCGTTCGAGCGTGAAGAAGTAACAAACATACACACAGTCACAAACTTTTTTTTTAATCATATATTAGTTGCATGTATAAAAGTTAAACAATCGTACTATTATCTTAAAGGTTAACAATATAATATACTTAAAATACAGAGTAAAAACTAAGAACCTAACAAGTGACACATGTTTCAAAATTTGAGAATCAAAGTAACTATTTCAGGCAATAAAAAAACCTTCCAAAAAATAGTAGTTGTAATAGTAATCGTTTAATAATGTATATATCATCAATGTATGTTTGTTTTAGTTACAAACGTCATGACAGTACGAGCAGCACGTGGGAGCAGGAGCACACGTGTGAGGTGTGTGGGGAGAGCTGCACGGACGCGCTGCAGCTACTGGCGCACGCTGAGAGACACGCCGAGAGGCCGAGGAACAACAGGTACACACACACACATACAGTACCGGCGTTAGGGGGGGCGCAATGGGGCGACGGCCCAGGGCGCCAAATTTGGGGGGTGATTTGTGGAAGTAGGATACTTATAAATGAAAAGAAAAAAAAATAGGAGTACATAACTTTCTACGTCCACGTCGTTAGCTATAGGTCACGCTAATGGAAAGATGGAAGATGGTAGATGGAATATAGAATTCTTAATACACGTTCAGTGTTCACATTGGTTCAGAAAAAAATTAATACTCGATTTTGATTTCTTCAAGTGGGTGCCAAAATATTCTTGACCAGGGCGTCAGTCCCTCTAACGCCGGCACTGCACACATACATGTAAAATCCTCTTACACTACTTCTACACATCGTCGGGGATAGTATTATAGATATTAGATTATTGATTCCGCGTATCTACATACATTGGAAGCAAAAAAATTAATACTTACTAATTGTGAAAAAATTACCTTAAAAGTCGTTAATTTAGAAAATATTTCAGCTTATACATTCTTCTAAAAATTTGCTTCCAATACACATGCGCGGTTTTATCTATTTGCACTATACGCAACGGTATTAAGTTATAAATAACAAAAATCAGACTACTTGCCTATCAGGTAATTCATGATTGAAATTGTTAGTAAACGGCTACCGCTTTAAATTCAGGATGATTCAACAATCACAACGTTCCATTATAGACACAGTATACAACCAGGAATGTTCGTACATTATTTTTGATTTCAACGAAACTTATATATTCACTACATATGTACAATCTTCATCCTATTTTCTGTAGACACTAACAATAAAATTATATAGACTGACATCCACTTAGAGGCACATATATAAAACTTACAATTATATTTATATTTTTACAGAGTCAAAAGGATGGCTCGAGGAAGGAGTAACGCGTCAAGTAATTCAAGACAGTTTCCGTGTAGAGAGTGTGGTAAGAAATAATTTGCTACCAAAATAATCTTATTAAGTCTTTCCTTCTTATACTACAAATATATATTTTAACAGGGAAGGTGTTTGGATCACGTAGTTCCCAGCAAATCCATGTTCGCATACACACAGGAGAAAGACCGTACGCCTGTCGCTTCTGTTGGAAAGCTTTCGCAGACGGCGGGACTTTACGGAAACATGAACGAATACACACTGGTTAGTATGAAATACATACTTAATATAGTATATATAGCATAATAAGTAGTTCAATAGAAGAAGAAGAAGAAGAATGTATTTTAATTTGTATTTAATTTGTATTTACCCTTAGACATTATGATTCTCTACCCAAAGGTTGCCTGGAAGAAATCGCTGTTTAGCGATAAGGCCGCCTGTTGCACATCATGCATTAGTAATATACGTATAACGATAATGTATTTTCTTAGTTTTAGTATGTTGTACAATAAAGTATAAATAAATAAGAAGAAATATCTTCACTCACGTGAAATTTTTAATCTTAGGAACTGTTCTTTTCTATTAAATTATTTTATATTCATTATGGTAGGTGTTATTGAATCATCCAAGAAAGGATGCAGCAAGATCTTTTAAAATTGCAGTTTTAGTACATTTTTTGTGTAAATTATGTTTATACTTCTTATAATAAATTTTCATTAATTTGTTCCAGGTGAAAAGCCTTACGCTTGCGCGGTTTGTCCACGTGCGTTCAATCAACGTGTCGTACTTCGTGAGCATGTGCGGTCACATCACTCCGCGCCTGACAGACGAGCTCATGGTTTGTAACAATATAAAATACTAGCTGCGCCCCGCGGTGTTACCCGCGGATTTCCGGGATGTAAAGTAGCCTATGTGTTATTCCTGAACGTCAGCTTCCTGTATACAAAATTTTATCAAAATCGGTTCAGCCGTTTAAGCATGAAGAAGTAACAAACATACACACACACACTCATAAACTTTCGCAATTATAATATTAGTAGGATAATAAATTTACAAATAAATTTCTCATACTCTTTATTCCTTCGATAGGTGGCTACCAATATTGTTGCGTCGTGTGTGGCAAACCTTTACATTCGAGTGCCGAACTTGTTCAACATCTTATACAACATTGTGATGAAAACACTGCTATGAAAAGGCAGCCCCAGGTGAGTTCATAAAAAAAATTATGACTACTAATTGTAAGTTTGCTATGGTAACTTTAACTTTTATGGTAACTTTATGAAAATTAATTTCAGAATGGGCCGCGTAAATACAAACGGCGGCGGAAATTAAAGGTAGAGGATTCACCGCCTAGTCGCAATTGGCGGGATACGCCTCCTTCAAGGTCGCCGTCACCTGAGGGCTCGCCTTCAAACTCACCGACGCCGTCACGTGGTAGGGCTCCGACGACTAGGGCTCCACGAGTACCGCTGCCGGTCGCCCCACGACGGAGAAGAAGACGGGCGCCGCCTCCGCCCCGACCTAGGATGATACACACGGAGGAGCCGCGACCACGGACCAAACAGGTTCGAACTACCATAATATGATCAAGATTTTCGCGAGTACTCATTTAAATGAAAGTAATATTTTCGGATTTATTTTTTGGCTATAAACTACATAGTCCCGACGTTTCGGTTACTTTTCAGTAACCGTGATCACGGGCAGACGAGATGCCGGACGGATAAAAAATCGCGTAGTAAATCCGAAAATAATAGTGTTCATTTAAATTTTCGAACGACCACTTTTAACCATTACTAATTTACCGTAGTAAGCCATTGAACTTGATAATTTATAACATTGTGATAGAACATAAAATCCTTTCATTATGAAGGTTCAACCGTTAGTGAAGTTCTAATAAAATCAAACGTAATTCCAGATTCGTAGTAGAAGACCTCCCCGTCACCCCGCAGACGACTTGCGTGCTATCGGCGCTCACTCCCCGTCCCCCGCCCCGGCGACCTCTCCCCCCGCGTCCCCTCTCTCACACATGAACACCAGCGACGGTCCCTTCAAGTGTGAAATGTGCTCCGAAGAGTTCCCGCGCCGCGATGCCTTACTACTACACGTGCCTATACACATTTGACGTACGAGAAGTCAAACTCTAAGGAGTCGAGCCGCTGAATCGAAGTCGCGAGCCAAATAAATTTACGAAGCACATTAAAAGACTGATACCTTCTAGTGATATATGGATCCCGGATGGTACTTGTAATGTTCGTAGTTTAGTTTGGATCTGCTTCGGGATAACTGGTAGGATATATCGTGTATGGAATCTCCGTGAGCAGTCTTCGGTATCATTCCTTACTTTGGATTCCTGGATAGAGATATTTAGTATTTGTAAACTGGTTCTGGCAACCAAAGAGTTAGGTAAATTTAGTAACAGAGTCCATAGAAACAATAAACATAGCCACCACATGATAGGAAATTAAAAATGCAATTATTTTATATTAATAAGTAATATTCATTAGTGTGTAAATATCAAATAAATTGTTATTATTGGAATCCATATTCTAAATTCTTGTATAGTATAATATGTTGCTACATTTTCTTATACTGTGTTATCATGTATAGATTGCTTAATGTCAGACTGTAATTAGGATGTTAAATATTTAAGCCAGGTGTCAATTGTCTTATATATAATTGTAAATAGATGTATTATAATATTAATAAAAGCCATTAAATAAATTGAAGTGTCATTTTAATATGATATTTTGAATATTTAACTGAAATGTGTATATTATTGAACTATATTAATTTTATAAATGCAACCAAATGGTGCAATAAAATAATTCTAACTATAAGCTGCATAGTTACATTTACTTACTAAATTATACAAAAAATAAAGGCATAATGAAAATATGCATATACATACATAAATCAATTGTATAATTTTACTTATCTATGTACTGTTCATGGTAAAATCAACAAAATGTCAATAAAATGTTAACTGGAAATAACGTTATTAAAGTAATATTAATTTAAGCTTTTTTAATTTTTTACTCACTCATAGCATACAACTTCTTTTGATCCTTCTTAAGCTTTCTAAAGAAGAAAAACAATTGAACATCATGAGAATACATATGGCTAGGTAATTTAATATAAATGTATATATTTTTTACACTTGGATGTCAATACATTTAATTAGTTGAGTATTATCTAACGGTAGTAAGTATTATCTAACGGTATTATAATTTACAAATATAAGATGTATTAAATCATTACTTACTGTACTGGTTTTGCTGTAATATAAAAATTATAGCAATTTTTTTAATATTTTTTTTTCTATAGTACTAAATTTTCCTTAAACAATATACTAAAAGTTAGTAAACCTTAGTATTAGTTACAAGTAATCTAAAATGATAAAAATTTACATACATACAACTTGTATGTATGTAAGTTTTTATCATTATCTATATTTAACATCATATCATCCATTCATTGTATACATTGTATCATACAATAATTGGCCAAGAAGGGAATAATCCGAATAAACTTATTAAGAAAGGTGTTAGGGAAATTTTGAATTCGGAACCATTTTCTACAGCTTGGAAATTGGAATTTTGTAAGATGTTATTTAATTAAATAAAATAGTATTTTGCCATGAAAATATATTTAGGTATTATACGTTTTTTAGGCTTATACGTTTTCTGAATAACGGCCCAAGTTAAGAAATTAATACAATGATGTTTTAATCCAGTGAAGTTAGCGGAAAGCTATATTCGCGTAACCGAATGTCCAATCGAGACTCGAGTTAATGTTTTTTTTTGTTCAATAGACCAGTTATCTGGGGTGGCTTTTATCAAAAAAAAATAGATCAAACCTCTAATTTCAATTTTAGGGCCAAAAAACGGAACCCGTGTCCAAAAAACTTTAAAGAAGCTTTTTTTTCGAGCCAATAAGAAAAAAGCGAGTATGTATTGCCTAGTATATGTATATCACACTGTAATATAATTTTTTTATTACTGTTGCATAGATAATCATGTCCATATTTATAATCTGAAATTCTTAAGATTAAATCTCTAAATTCATATCGTAGGAAAACCTCAGCCGTTTTGTCCACTACAACAATATTAATTACAGCGAGATTGTATTGAATCCTATAACTTTCCCTTCAACGACTAAAGAAGTCGGTTTTAACAGCATCGAATATCTACTATTTGCACGACGGCTTCGACCCGAGCCTAAAACCTAATCACATCCTAAAATAAAAGACAATTTATTTGAACTTCTTTTGGATATTTTAGTCTGTAATGGAGATTTAGAATTTAGGGAATTTTAATAAAAACATATAGTGCAATGTCACGATTCTGTTATGTTATTATTCCCAAAACGTATCTATATAAATAATGTTTTTATTAAAACTTTTACAAATTAAAATAAATTTTAAGGAAAGAAACACTAGGCGCTAAAACCTCGGACCAAAATCATAATCATACAATAATTAAGTATCATTTAGTATCAGATATCATATAGTAAGTAAACTCTTATCAAAAATTCAATTAAAGAGACATTTATGTAATTTCTTTGATACCAAAAAGTGGCGGTACTGACACATAGTTCCCTACAGCCTACAAGTTTTCGCTCGACTAACAGGTTTCCATTTCGGGCCTCAGTATGTAGCTCTTGTAGTTAGTACTTCTTAAAAAAACTTAAATTTTAAGATACTCTACTACGTCGAATATTAAACTGTTCAGCTGAAAATTGGTATCTTTTAAAATATATATTATTACTTCGTAAGCATTATATATATATATATATAAATATCATTTTATAAATGACGTTGCATAAAACTTGAATACTAGGGTTTTTCTAATTTGTACAATTATATTTATTTCATCAATTATTATCAAAATAGTTGAGTCAATAATGTAATAAACTCTGACATCAAAATGAAAACTGAAAAGTGATGACATGTCTGTTGGTTGTCAATGTCATTTATAAATTATAACTAATTTTTATATTTGTTTTTCCTAATATTTAAATCTTACTTCTTAGTCTTCGCAGTGTAATTTATTCAACAAATTTAGTGAAGTCAATTATATCCGTAATCATAGAGATTGTTAATAGTTGCCGTCAATATAGTTGAAATATTTCAAAAAAGTGAGTGGTATTGCATTTTACGTGATTCTACCAATTATATTCCCTCAATAAAACTTGTAGCTAGCCACAACGGCGGGCCGTAGTAGCAACATGCGTCGAGCAAGAGATGGTTACGCATATCAGCCCATACCGAGGCCTCCAACAGATGATGTTCTCGAACATGAAAACGAAAGAATGGCTGAAGAACTAAGTGGAAAGATTAACTCGCTGAAACATATGTCTATAGAAATCGGGAACGAAGTACGTTATCAAGACCAAATATTACGAAATCTGGACGACGATGTTGATAGGAGCTCGGGATTTCTGGGAAAAACTATGAGCAGGGTTCTTAGATTAGGCAAGGGAAATCATAATTATTACATATTTTATTTATTCATTTTTGCAATTTTTGTATTCTTTCTTCTGTACATTGTGTTGAAGTTTAGGTGATTAGGGAGTAATAATAATAAGACATTTCTGGTCTCACAAATGTTTAATATTGCTTTAAGTATACTTAAAAATTATCATGTATATATTGTAAATGGTCGCTGTATGTTGAAAAAGGAAGAATACTTTATCATTTCTAACATAATATTACATTGTAATATAAAAAATGTTCTTGTAGTTTTTTTTGGCAAAAATGTGTAAACTATTTATTAGATTTTCTTTATTGAATAAAAATGTTTATAGGAATCTTTTGTTTGAAATTTCATCACTTATATTATTTTTGCATTATATTTTAATATTTTGAACTAGGACAGGCATTTATAGAATTGTTTTTTTTTTAAAAGCATAAGACAATTTTCTGTGAAGTTTTTATATTTAATAAATTTGTTTCTTAACAATTGAGGATGAATAAAAAACAAAACTTTTTATCTTGCTTTAATATTATACTTATTTCTTATTAAAAATAATTTCACATAGAGAGATATTACTTATACGAAAATTAAAGATTTATTACATAAAAACTCTTAGAATCAGTAAAACAATAAATCTATGAAAAAAATGTAAGTGCGATGATATAGAAATAAATAATTAAATTTTCAAGGAAACTGAAAAGAATGGCCACAGATAAGCCAGATATTAAACAGGTAAGGTAATGTTATTTTTTAAAAAGTTCCCTTAATAAAATACAATTATCTTCACTTAATGTGCCACTTTTAGCAGCAATATATAACCTGCATGGAGATTTTGTAAGTTTATCACAACTGTATGCAGTGTCAACAAGCAGTGCCGAAATACCACAAAAATTTTGAAACTTACTCTGATTGCAGTATTCACCTAAATCATCTATTATTATTGTTGAAGGGATATTTTTCCAAGTGGGTAAATTTGCAATACTTTCCACAAGTGATTCTAAATTGGTTGCATAAACGAAAATTAACATTTTCATGTAATGTTTATCAACTGAAGTGATATCTTGAGATAATTCAGGTAGCTCATTTAATTCTTCTGATAATATATATAATACTTTGCCATATTTAGCACATGATATGGCTTTACTAAAAAGAGTTTTTCTATTTTGTACTCCATCATCGAAATAAAACTCACAAGATATATTATCACACATTTTAGGAACGATCAATTTGCAATATTATCGCCCAATTAGAAATATAGATTTTCAAGAGCTTCTTTTCTGCATCCGTATAGAAAATATTATATATGTTCGTTATAATATATATTTATTTCTATCGTTATTTATACTATCATTTAAACTTTTTGACTTGAAGTAGAACATAGAATTATTTTTTATGCTATGACTTCCTATGCACTGGAATCATGAATATTTTGACAATATCAACGTTTTTTTTTGTTGGATGAATTATCATCTTAAGTAATGTGTGGAGAACATAGAAATTAGATACATGATTACTACAGAACCGTCACAATTTCTCTATCAATGTCAAGGAAATTTTGACTGTCAATGTCAATAATTCCTATACTTCTTTGGTTAGATACTAGGTGTTGATTCTAATTTTATTAAGTAAATAACAATTATTATATACTTCACTTTTAACTGGCTTTTCTACTATAGTAGAATTTTCGAATAAAAGTAATAAAAAACGTTGTAACTTTATGCTTAAATAAACGATAACTCTCTCAGCCCATCCTTTTAACTATTGAAGTAAATTTTCTGATATTGAGATATAACGGGAAAACGCTTTTAACTAGACTTAGTGGCATACAAATTAGAAATACATAAGATCGGATTCATAATTTGAATGTATAGCATAACGTTCATATTTTTTTTAAATTAGAAATATTAAAAATGCATTCGGCTCGGCGCAAATGGGCCACCGACCACAGCCACCGGTGTATGTCGCGCGCTACTACCACATTCCTAAGTGTCAGAAGCTAGCTACGGCTACCGGTGTCTGGAAGCCGCCACATTTTATAACCCGCTCATTGCGGGATGGATTGGATTTTCGATAGGAATGTATCAACATCGATTGAGACGTCGTTCTCCATGATAGTATACGTGCGATACCTAGTTGTACGGTTAACTGCGCGGGGGGAGCAATGCGACAGTGACTGTTGTCGGCGTTTTATGGCACGTAGTGACCTGTGACCACTAGTGGCGAGTCGCGATTCGCAAACACTACGCAAGCGAGTGGCCGCCACCGGATACGCGTGTGCGGCGCATCTATCCCTACTAATATTATAAATGCGAAAGTAACTCTGTCTGTCTGTCTGTCTGCTACGCTTTCACGCCTAAACCACTGAACTGATTTTAATGAAATTCGGTACAGAGATAGAGTTGACCTTGAGAAAGAACATAGGATAGTTTTTATCCCAGACTTTTGAAAGGTTCTCTTGGAAACGTGATATAACCGAACTCCACGCGGCGAAGCTGCGGGCGGAAAGCTAGTACAAAATATATTAGTGTTAAGTCCAGTATAGTGTATCATAATTATATTTCTAATATAGTGTATTATCTATGGTCAAGTCGTCGTCGCTGGCCACCGGTGGCTGTGGTCGGTGGTCCATTTGCTCCGTGCCTTATTCAAACGCATGGATACGAAATGCAAGATTTTTTTAAGTTGTCCAAGCAGGTTAGGGCAAAGTAAACAAGAAAAAATATAAAAACTTAAAAATTTCTTAGTAAATTATTTTAATATAAATCAATTGTAAAATATAACTTAGGCATATTAAATTTCTAATGAGGATGACATGTCGATGAATAAACTGAAATTATTTACAAGTTTTACAATAACATGACATAGTTATATTAACAACTACATTATACGAACATTACAAATGTTCAAGTATTCTTCAAAACTGGTGTTTAAACATCGTGTGCGTCAATAAAAAAATAAAATTATACAACTTGTTGAATTCCCGAGATTTGTATTTACAAATATTGTACTAATAACAATATTTCATTGTTTTGTTTTGCTTTAAGTGCCATCATAGGGTTAAATGAATGAAGAATATAGTGTACTATAATAAAAAGATTTCACGCTATATTAAATAAGTGTACTCACTCATACTTAACATACAAATTATTAACTATCTTTAAACTACAAGAAGTTTTACAAAATCATATATTATAATAAGATTATAATGATATGGAATTTATATTCTGCTAAGCAACATAGCAATTTACATTTGAATGTTTTTTTTTTGTTAGTAAATAAACAAAGAGTTCAAAATTTCTTCTATAAAAATGTTATGCTTGCTTTAAGATAAATGAAATTCGTATTTATTGAGAAAGACAATAACATTCAAGAGAAAAAGAAATTTGATGGAGTGCAATAGAAAAGGTACTAGTTTTGACAATTGTTTTGTAATCACTGTTAGTATAACTATCACTGTGTAATAAATAATACAACAAAAATGTATGCTCTACGTTTCACATGAACTCATGTGAATGATTCTAAAAATATGTCTCTGCTTTACTCCATACTTGTTAAACAAATATGTATTTTTAATTTTCACAGGTTTTGCAATGTTCAATGTATTGTTACATATTTAGACAAAATATAAAAAAGGCAGTCCACATTATTACAATATGTCTAAGATAACATTACGAAAATATTCACTACTTTTATATATCAGTAACATATTAGTTTTTCATATAAATAAAATATTATTTCTACATACACATCATCTCTGATAACATATTATTGTGTGCAGAGTGATATCAAAAATTTTCAATACCATATTTGTAGTCCATTTGAATGGAAAATTCTATAATAGCACTAAATCAGACTAACTCAGCACTAATCCCTAATAATTCAAGTCTATTGAAAGTTACACCTAATTTATTATTATGTGTGGAGTATATTTTGGCACAATCACTCTTGGGCCTTGGCGCCTTCTGTTATTGACTCGTATTGTTCTTTATCTAGTTCTGTCATAGTAAAACTGCCGTCCGGTAATAATAGGACGACGCGACGCGTGCCACCTATAAAAAAACAATGAACAATTTAAATATGTTACATATAAAATTTATATGTATGGGACTAATAGATAATGTGTTTGTTTAGAAAAAATTGAGTTTAACACTTAAATTCTCTATTAGAGAGCCTAAAGAAACTATAATAAGAATACTACTTATAAAAAACAAGAGCCAGCCAGTACTGCCAACTAAACGGCAAACTTGGCGAGCAATGGAATTAGCTATACAGCCGGAAACAAAAAAAAAAACTCTATGGATAAAACATATTTAGTAACTAGTAGCACAGATAGTATATTTGTATTAGTTAAAGTACTAGAAGTTAGTAGAAGTAAGTCAGTGGTGGCCTAGTAGTTAAAGGGCCTGCAGCTCGTTGCCGAGGACGCGGGTTCGATCCTGGCCCGGGCAAGTACCAATGTGATTTTTTCGAGTACTATGTATTTTTTTAATAGTATTTAGACATCACTGATTAATGCTGATTCCCAAAAGAGGGTTGATGTCAGGCAGGCGGCTGGTCGTAAAAACAAATAGCCAATACTATTCACAACATGTAAGGCAGACCCTGGCTATAGCTGGGAAATTGCCAGGTAGAAAAAGTTAAAGTACTAGAAGTTATGATCAATTTCTGTAATCATACCAGGTGAAGGCAGATCTGCCTGTACCAGCTGTGCGATGACCTGTGTCGCGTCTTCGCCAGGCTCGCCTTCAACTTGAACAGCGACCTGTTGTAATCCTCCGGCTTCACCGCCCGGCATTAGCTGCGCTAACTGCGTCGGATCGATCGTCAACACGTCCTGGTAAATAAATAATTACTTTTAAACATACTTTAAAATTGTTATTCAGTATTTTAATATGAATAGCAGATAAAGAAAAATAAATTCTTGTTTTAATAATGTAAACTTTACAGTGATGTAATTTTTAGCAACTACACAAATACCTCAATATATGTCTTTTAACATATCAGGGATCATCAGATGTACTATAAAGACAACACTAAGGAGATTGAAGTTAATAAATTATTCTAGTGTAAAATCAAAATTTTCTTCTTGCTTATAAGGACTTTTTGTACTAAAAACTTGAGTTTGTTATGGTAAGTGTCCAAAGTTTATACAATATTTTTGTTGAGTAACAAGCTGATTTTCATTTGTTTTTCATTACCTGCCCATCTTCTCTAGTAACATATGTGACTCCTTCCGCTTCGCCTTCAGCGCCTTCAACGCCTTGCACTGTACCATCTACGCCTTGAGTGGCTACGAGTAACGTCTAAAAACACAAATTTTGTATATATTATAGAATAAAATACGTATTTTATCTTATTTGGTTACTTTTATTCAACCAAAAACTCAGAATTTATAAATTTAATTTTGTTTATAAAGTTATACTATCACTATTGAGACAATTTTGAAGATTAACTATAAGCAGAGTTTTTTTATAATATAATATTTTGTAATAAATAAAAACGCATGGTTAAGACTAACTGCATCCATGACATTTCAAATCATTTAACTTAAATATTTACTTACATTAACATTAAAAATAACAAGATGACTATAATCACTTACATTAAAACCAAATTGAATACAAAAGGAAACTTAATGAAATTCTAAAAACGCAATTTAAATCAGATCAGATTGTTCTTAATAGATTAGAGACATAGACAAACATGTCATGTTAAATACAAATCCTATATTTTCTATGTTGACTAATATTATATTTACCTGTCCGTCTTCCCTCGTGACGTACATAACTCCTTCTCCATCACACTCAGCTCCTTCCACTCCTTCAACGGCTCCCTCAACACCTTCCGCCGCTACTAGTAATGTTTGACCGGCTTCATTTTCACCAGCCACCTATCACGATATTAATCCCATTTTAAATAAAATTACTATTAAAAATGCAGTATATTTTATACTAGCTTTCCGCCCGAAGCTTCGACCGCTGGGAGTTCGGTTATATCGCGTTTCCAAGAGAACCTTTCAAAAGTCTGGGATAAAAACTATCCCATGTTCTTTCTCGAGATAAACTATAGCTCTGTACCAAACTTCATTAAAATCAGTTCAGTGGTTTAGGCGTGAAATCTTAACAGACAGACATACAGAGTTACTTTCGCATTTATAATATTAAGTAAGGATAAAGTCTTTTACAAACAGTTTGCAGACTACTTATATAATATACTTTTAATTTCCTTACATAGGTGTGAAATTTTCCTTTGACGAGATCTTTTTATTACAGATATATGTTAATTAACTCCCATGAAGTGTTATATACCTGGTATAGCACCCCATCCTCCCCTCGTATCATGATAGGAGTGTGTCCCGCGTGTAGCGCCAGCCCAACCTCCTCACCGTCGTCAACACCCACCGCTTCTTCTAACAACTGTTTCACCGCACTCGCTTCTACTTTAACTTCCGTCTGATCAAATGAAATATAATTTATTGTAAGATTGTGTGTATTATTCCTAACATTTTTAAATTATCTACGTATAAAGTTAAACATTTAAACGTATAGTCGTGAATATCTTAGAAATAATGTGACTTACACCATCCTCGTCAGTTAAAACTGGCAATGAAGGTTGAGCTCCGTCCCCTTGAACCAACATTCCCGTAGTACCACCCGGCGACATTTCCACCTAATAAAACATATTTATAAAATGTTCAAACTTTTTATTTTATTTTTAATACAGTATATCCTTTAAATCCTGGCTGCAAGACTTAGTTTATTAAAAGCTGCAGGAGGAAATATTATAAAGATATTTTTGTATTAAAAAATATAAATATGGAATTAAAACTATACAGTTTGAGGGAGCTAAACTATATAATGGCTTGCCTGACGAAGTTTTTGATGAAAAAACGTTTGCGATTTTTAGAAGGAGCACTTGGATTAACCGCTCTTGAGCTGTATGGGTCGTTGCTACTGTACTGAATTGTTGTTTGAATTGAATTATGTTCAACTCATTCAAGTGAACATTGTATGTTATTTATGGGAAATAAAGTTGTTTAACCACAAATGGTCGTTAATAGTGTATCTTTGATACCTTCATGAGCATAGTAGCGTGATGTTCGGGCGGTGGTGTGGTGGGTTGCGGCGGCGGTGTCGGCGGCGGGGTGGGCTCTCCTTCAGCCCTCGCCAGCCGCCTGCCTGTTAGCGGACATAGTGTCAGTTCACGCTCAGGACTGGGCGATGGTATGGGACCGAGGTCAGTAGGGAATGGATCTTCAATACCATCGGATGACTCTGATGACGCCTCCCACTGTGAAAAAGATTACATGTTATTATAATATAATTATTATTATTATTATAAGGGTGTGTAATGTTATTATATTATGATTTTGCTCAAATATGCTATGTATGTGTCATCAGCTTATCAGCACCCACTGCTGAGCAAGGCCTCTTTCTCACATGGAGAAGGTTTGAGCATTAATCACCACGCTTGCTCAAGACGGGTTGGTGATTTCAAATGTATAATTGTGAAACTATAAGAAATATGCTATGAAGAAAACTAATTGTGTAAGGAATAAAGTAATTTAGTGATACCCTACTACTGTCAATATAACTTGAAATAATTTTAATATTAAATAAAAAATATTCTCAACAAATATATTTCTAATATATAGATACCATTTTATGTAAATATAAAGTATATTTTAGTTAACAAAATCATTGTAATGGGCATATATTCCAAAAAGATATTTTGTATCATATATCGAAAATTTTACTACGTAACATTGGCTGACTATTCTTTACTATTTTGACGCCAATGAATGTTAAAATATCTATACTATGTAAAGTTATTACGTCAATACCTCAAAGTTGACGTTGACAGGTTTTTCCCGGATGCGCACAATGTTTCCAGCGGCCGTCGCTACACTATGCCCGCCGCGCGGTCGGCCACGTGTCATACCACCGCGACCAGAACCGCGAAGTAGACTATCACCCTAGAACAGTAAATTATCATTAGATTTACCCATATATATACAACTAATGTAACCTATGCTTTATAACAGGAATCAGTATTTCTCCTACTCATATTATAATTGCGAAAGTTTGTGCGTATATGTGTATGTTTGTTACTTCTTCACGCTCAAACGGCTGAACCGATTTTGATAAAATTTTGTATACAGGAGGCTGACGTCCAGGAATAACACATAGGCTACTTTACATCCCGGAAATCCGGGGGTAACACCGCGGGGCGCAGCTAGTTATACCATAATAAAGAAATAAAGCCTTTAGTACTATAAGGCTCACATATTATTTCGACATAATCTGAATAGTTGAAATGCGAAGCAATAATTAATAGCAAAATATTAGTAGCAAATAGCCAGGATATTTTTAAGTTTAATAACTTTAAAATTTTCGTGAAACTTACTTGAGCTAATTTCTTATTAAGTATTGCAACAGGAGATTTCCCATCAGACTGCCCATATGGTCTCTGTATTGTTCTTTGTATAATCTTCTGTCCAGAAGGTGTTATTATTGTCTTTTCTGTTACTTGCTGTCCCCCAGAACTATAAGTTTTCTTAATCTTTTGAACAAAAAATAATAAAGTTAGTACAAGAGTTTTAGTTTATATCTAAAAAAAAAATTAGATTATAGAATTACCTGTGATTGTGATGAACTTAGCGGCGACTTTTTGGATTCTTCCATTTTTTTCTGCGGAAAATAATCATCCTTACATAAAAAGATGTATATGTTAACAAAAACTCATAGAACATTACAAACCTGTTTAGCAGCCATTATTTGTTTTCTAATGACATCTTGATCAATATTCAAACCGGGTCCAAGTTTTCCCGGAGAGTCTATTTTCATTATACCAGAACTTTTCGACATTATGTAGACCCCTTTAAAAGAAAATTAATACGGTCACGTTAAAATGTCATAAAAAAAAACACCAAGCAATATTGGGTGCAAACGCAAACAAAAAACAAAACAAACTCATTGGATAAAAAAAAAATAAACAAAGCCTAATCTTTAAAGTACCTATAATATCTGGATTGACATATAACAATGTGAATAGGATAATATTATAATATTCAATGTTACAGAAAGGAATAACCAGACAGTTTAGGTACTGAAAGATAAATAAATGTGGGTAAATATTATTTATTTACCAGTTGTGAGATTAGGCATGTGTTTAGGGTCAACTTTGATGACCCCTTTAATGTTGGGCATGCCTTTGCCGCCCAGACCCAGAGATTTCACCAGTTCAGGGTCTATGTTTGACTTTGGCGAAGACTGCCCATTAAGTATCTTCTTCTCAGCTACATAGAACAAGAAGTTATGACTTAATATAACACAACTGAAAAATGCTATTAAACTATGTGTGATTCAATGATTATAAGTTTGTCATGTTTTTGTGTAATCAATTGCACTGTAATATTTGAAAATATCTAAACACTATTGGGAGAGTGTTGATAGCAAAATAAAACATGATTAAGAAATTATATTTGCGGTAAAATTGTGGAGATTATTATTAAGGAAAGGAACATACCTTTCATAGAGTCAGTATCGGAATAGTCATCATCACTGGATAGTTCCCGTTTGATCTTCTTTGAAGCTGGCTCATCATCTGCACCGCACCATGCCTTCACTTGGTCAAGAGCACGGGCTTTGCTTGTACGTTGCAGGCGACTGAAGTATTTATATATAATATTAGTTACTTATTTTACTAATATTAAATAGTAATGAGATGTAAGATTTTCGAGAGTATTCATTTATATGAAACTAATATTTTCGGATTTACTATTAGCATATCTCATCTGCCCGTGATCACGGTTGCTGTAAAGTAACCGAAACGTCGGGAGTAGGTAGTTTTTTAATCAAACATAAATATCGCGTAATAAATCCGAAAATATTAGTTTCATTTAAAATTAAATCGTGATCTATATATTTATTTTGCGTAAAATCTCCGCATTGAACTAGTATGCCAGTATATTGCTTATATTATACGAAAAATACCAATCCCAGACAAAACTGCTGCTTCTAGTGAAACTTTGTAAGATTGTAAGAAATAATCTTTACTTGTAATTTTATTTTATAGATAAAAGATAAACAATTGATAGAAAAAGACCTTACATTTTTAAGGAATTATAATTTGCTATTATATTACACCAAAATGTTATAAACTTTAAATTTCTCTCTTAAAAAACTAAAATTACACTACTTACTGTTATTAAACTATAAATAGTAGTGCAGTACTTACCCAGTGGGAGTTAATATGGGGCTGTCAGACTTTTTCACCATTTGTTTAACAACTTGCGGCATGGGAGTGTTTATTTGTTTCACCTATAATAAAAATATATATTTGTAGTACGATTACGAGTAATTACGCGCGGCGAGACTATATAACTAATTAGTGTGTTATAAAAGATATTACAGCTGCGTGCAAAAGTATTAGGCACCCCTATTGTTAGTCACTATCTCATTAGATAGCGGTCAAGTGTGTGTTTTATGGTTTAGCTATTGTATTAGCGGCAATTTTTAACCAAATTAAGATAAAAGAAAATATTTATGACATCCAGGTGTGCTCCTAAGCGGTGTTTCTTCGAATTTGCTTTTTTTGCGTTTCGGGTTATAGTGTGTTATCAGTGCTTGCAGTGAACATACACGTCTTCTACGCAACTATTCCTATCACAATTCTAAAGACTAACATTTAACGTGTTAATCATGCCGAAAAAATCTGAACTAAGTGCTGAACAGCGTCTAGGAATTAAGATTTTACATGAACAAGGCATGTCTCAGGTTAAAATAGCCCGAGAAGTGAAGTGCTCGCGATGTGCAGTTCAATATGCTATAAATCGGTTAAAAGAGACTGGCACCCATGAAAACAGACCAAGAACAGGCAGAAGAAAAGTTAGTACTGAACGGGAAGATCGATTGTTGATTAGGCAGTCTCTACAAAACAGGAAAAAAAACTGCTTTAGAGCTCGCTGCAGCGTTATCTGAGGCAAAAGGCAGCTCAGTGAGTGTTTATACTGTGAGAAGAAGACTTCTTAAAGCTGGATTAAAAGGATGTACAGCAAGGAAGAAGCCGTGGCTGTCAGAACACAATAAGAAAAATCGGTTGGAGTGGGCACTCAAACATAGAGATTGGTCAGTGGAAGATTGGTCCAACATACTGCGGTCAGACGAATCTAACTTTGAGGTATTGTTATTTATTGTATGTACAATATTAAAACACATAAATGTTTTTAAAATAACGTACTGCAAGAAAAATAATAACTTTGAAAATAAATGGTTTTTTTTCGTTTGGCATAGGTGTTTGGAACACCCGGTGTGACTTATGTTAGGCAAAGGGTTGGCGAAGAATACAACCCAGAATGTGTGGTTCCCACTTTTAAGCATGGTGAAGGCTCAATAATGTTCTGGGGCTGCATGGCTGCCGACGGAGTGGGCGAAATGGTGTTGTGTGAGGGACGAATGAATAGCGTTAAATACACTGAAGTTCTGGAAACAGCACTAGCAACGTCGATAACGCAAATTTTCGGTGATACAAACACCGACGGCCTGAAATATCAGCAAGACAACGCCACTTGCCACAAGTCCGCGCATACCATGAAGTGGTTTCCTGAAAATCATATTGATCTTTTGGACTGGCCACCACAATCACCAGACCTCAACCCGATTGAGCATATTTGGTCCATTTTAAAGAAAAATATCCGCAGGCACTCGATTAGCAATAAACAAGCTCTATTGGCCGCGTTACAGCAGGAATGGAAAAATATATCAAGAGAAGAATGTTTCAGGCTGGTAGAGTCAATGCCAAAAAGAGTGGCTGCGGTTATTAAGACAATAGGTGGACCTACAAAATATTAATTATTTTCTTAAAAGAAACCATTGTAATCATAAATGCAGTTTTATTTACACTCGCTATGCTAAAACACCCTAAAACTTGTCTTACTGTAGGGTGCCTAATACTTTTGCCCGTGGCTGTATTATGAATTAATATAATAACCTGCACTGGGTGTTGCTGTTGCTGTGCTCTTAACGCTTTAAGTTCTTTCTGTCTTGCCAACTGTTTTTCAAACGCCTCTAACAGATGTTTACAAGTTTCCATATTTTCCACTGGTTCCCATGTATTTTGTTCACTAGAATAGTATTAAAAATTTTAGATACACTTCATTGATATACTTAAAATAAATAAATAACAAATCTTGGTATTATCTTCAAGTATTTTGTAACTAGTCCTGTGAATAATATATTTGATTTTGATTTAATGTACTTCAACAACAAGTACTATTTGAATAAATGTAATAAGTTTATCTAACTCTCTTTGATATATAATTCTAAAATTTATTTATATTAGGATAATAATATGATATCAACTAACTGTGGATATCCTTCCCACTTGAGCAGATACTCATAATGTTTCCGTCTAGGGTTAAATCTCTTGGCGAGTATTTTCTCCACAACATACTCCCCTTCAGCGGTACCTTCTCGTTCTGAGCGTCTCGCAATACGTTCTTCGGGTGGAACACGTTCTTGTGCCCCACGGACAGACTCATTCGACATATCCTGCACAGAGAAAATGAATAATATGATTTATTTTAAATAAAATATTATTATAATTATTTATAAAAATGTTGTATTTCTTTCATGAGTTATATTTATGTCGACTTTTCTCATATTAATCATCATCATATAGAATTAATATATGTATTAGCATCTAAAACTCCAAATCTAATATTATCACAATCACACATTTTTGAAGAGATGTGATTTTTTTTATATTTGTGAGAATGCTTAAAATGTGCCTAAAATCTAAATGATTCAAAGTCAGAAAGATTATTTAAAAAAAAATTACAGACATAATTGAGTAGCGTTATGTTTTAAAGAAAACTAATTGTCTTTTCTAAATCAAATCTACAACAATACAATAAAAACTAAATACTTCTGTAGATCCCATAAAAGGAAAAGTTTGACACAGTCATTTAACACAATAATTATTGACTGCTCGGAGAGTAATGATAAGCAAAATTAAAAGCAAATATACTTCTTTAAATATTAAATACTCATACCCTAGATTTGTTAGCCTGAGCTAGTTTATTGAGTAGAGCCTTTGGTCCTGGACTTCCCTTGAAATCATCGCTCTCCTCCCCAGACGGTTGAGTTTCTTCATCCTGAAATTATTGTTAAAAACTGTTTATAACTTTATAATAACTTTTAAATGAGACCGATGTTCTTCAGATGTACTACATGGTTTATCTTTGTGAAAAACTATGTATGCCCGACATTTCAGTCAATTTTCAGTAACCATGATCACTAGTGGACTTCTTGTCTGTATTTTCTTCACAAAAATAAACCGCATAGTATATACGAAAAATATTAGTGTCATTTAAATGAATAAAAATATTTAAAATCTAGGATCTCTTTATAATAATATTATTTAACTAATTAAAATGAAATTTATGTATTTATTTTAAATACAAATTAAAAAAAGTTTTTACATACCAGCTTGGTAACTTTTCTTGGCCTTCCACGAGGTTTCTTAACCATTTCAGGGGCTGTTTGTTGTACGGGAACCAATTGATCTTCTGTTTTAAGTTCCATCTGAAATCATAATTTTGATTCCATTTATCTAATACATATTATTTAGGTTATATGTATCATTTGCTACCTATGACACAATTGGGTAGTTTTTGTTATTACACTTACAACTTTAGCATGAGCAAACTTAGATAAAGCCTGAACATTAGACCCCGCTGTGATCCAAGCAGTTCTTTGAGCTTCTGGCATTCTACACCACTGTTGGTAAAGCTTCCAACTATTATCGGCATTCGATGTTGACCCATCACGGACTGACGAGCACTTCCACAAAAGGAATGCCCATACTTGAGCTTTACTTTCATTCTGAAATTACAATTTTTTATGTCAATTTACATATAGAGGTAAAATAACCACTGTTTCTATGAACCAAATAGTAGTTCTACATTATAGAATAGAAATAGAAAATACCTCACATATTGCTGTTTGTTTTTATATGATTAAGTTACTAGCAACACAAACACATCTTTCCCATTTAAAAGCAATAAAACTTATTACAAATATAAATGTATAAGCCTGTGTTTGTAATTGAATTTGGTTTCATAAAGACATGCAATAATCTATTTTCAACTAAGTTTTTGACAATTTTTTACGAAATATTTTACTTACACTATCCCTAACTGGTGATTTACCAGTACAATTATTAGCGTCTTTATGTTCCTTGAATTCTTCAACAAAATGGAATGCTGAATGACATTGTCCACATACAAGAACATCTAATGTAGCCATTTCTTCATGTGCCTCTGTAGAAATTATTTATGTAACTGTTTACTTGTACACTAAAGATATAAAATCGAAACCTGTTTTCAGCAAAATATTATATCGTAGCTACCTTTGAGAGCCGTGGGATTTTTAGTTAATTCTTCTGGATTTCCCACTGGAATATCTTCCGTAGGCGATTCTCCTTCTTCCACGGTAGTCATTTTTATAACTTAAATCAGTAACTATCTAAAATTAAAATGATTTTATTTTATAAACGTATATTGTTTATAACCTTATTTAGACCGACAAGTTCCCGCCAACACTTCACCTTTATTTGATTTAAAACACTTTATAGGTTCATTCAATAAAATGTTACAAATAAATAATTACTAAAACTCCTCTCATTACAAGTTACTATTAATTTTAACCTGCCGACATACACACAATGAGATAAACAGAAAACATTTTAAATAAAATTATGTAGACCGATGCTTCCCATTAGCTGTGCACATCACAAAAACGACGCTTATTGACTTTCATCTTTCTAATTAAATTGCACTGATGAAATAACACCCATTTTCTATTTAAAAACAATATTTTTATATTATTCCAATTCCACTTTAACACTTACCAAAACAATGTCAAAATTTATTTTTTATACTATATAAAATTAACCCTGGAGATGGCACGCAAAACGGAACAACTTTAAGCAAGCATCAAATACTTTATGATGAAAAAAAACGCTAGCCGACAAGCTGGCACTGCCCCCTAGAGATTGCCGACATTCTCCGTTCCCTATTACAATTTATTTAAGATAAGCCAATAAGAATAGCGTATTATAAATTTTCAACCAATAAGGAATCGTCTATCAATTTGGCATAGCGTAACAAACTTACTGTCACAATGTTTGCGTCACATTTCGCCGTAAAATATAAATACGCCGACACGTTTTGCCGAAAATAAAAAAAAATGGTATTCCATTTACATTAATTCTATTTTAATATTTTACAGGGGTAAATGTTGAGATATATTAGTGATACATTACTGCATTCCGTTAATAAAATAAAACGTAACTTTGGATAGTATTGTAAAGAAATTAATAAGTATTGAGTATACTAAAATGAAATATGATTGGAATGTGACATGGCCGTAATTCATCAATTATATCTGATAACAATTGTAGAATAGTTATATCTGAAATAGGTGAAGGCAAGATTTTTCAAACTTTAGAATTTTTTATTAATATTTTATGGCTGATTGATTTTTATTAATAGGTGATTCATAATAAAGTCATAATATATATATATATATATTTTTTAATTTAAAATAAGGAAAGTAGTTTTTAAATGTCTTTAATAATTGATGTGTAAATATAAATATATATTGATAATATCTTATAACAGATAGTGTATATTAGTAACATATCTATCGTAAAGGCATCAATATATCTACGTATAGGCAAATGAAGCTTGGTTGTATGAATGCACCACATTTTGTATATAATTAACATTAATAAGTTTTCAAAATACTCTAATAGAAAGCAGTAAACAAAGATAAATAGTTAATATTTATGCGATTTATATAAATATTAGGACCTATAAATCACAGAACTTAATATTTATGGCAGTACTGTTTTAATTATAGAATTATATTTATTTTGCTTAAAGTTGGTCAGGAATAAATTTTAAATTATTCCCTGTTTTATATACTTCGTAGTTGTATTTTTATTTCTTGTCGAGTTGAGTTAACCTCATAACTTCTTCTTGAATTACAACTTTAAACATATTTAATCTTCTTTTACTTCCAGAAATTAAAAACGAGGTAGGTATGATATCCTCGCCAACTATTACGGATATAAATATCTAGGCCAGCAAAAGAAAAAGATACAGCTGTATATTAGTAAAAAATAAATGCATAAGTCCTTAAACAAACACTTAATACGCAATAAGCAAACGTCTATTTCTTTAATAACTAGATAAAATAAATTAGATCACATTAAACTTTAAAGTTATTTTATTTTATATATATATTTGTTTAAAAAAATCTACAATAAATATGATTTTAACTATCTATGATCATTGTCAATGATTCTTGAAACAAATCGGTTTAAGAGACCTACTTCAGATAAGAGCAGTTATTTTATTAAAGACAGATGAATTATAGTTCGAAAATTATTTTTGTCAGTTGACCATTATAAAATGACGGTTGAAGTTTTGTATTTTGTATTATTACATCAACGCCATTTTAAATGACGGAATATTTATCCTGTAAAGTCGTATACTCGTGGATCGTATCAAAAAAAATGTTCCCTCCATAGAATAGAAGTTAACTTCCAATTCATCTTAAAGCATACTATTTTTCTCCGGAACGCATACCTCCTGTGTTGAGACTTGAGATATTAAAATTTAATATTAGAGAAAGAAACGTCAAGTAATACGTAGATGTAGGATATCGTATCATACTTTAAAACATTTAGTGACGTACATAACAAACTCGTAGGTTTAGTACTACATTAAAGTACACAATTAATTTATATAACGGAGTATTGACCTGTTAGTTTTATTCTATTATTTGTAAGAATTTAATGACAAATACTTAATACTCTTGTATAAATTGTACAAGTAAACTATTGAAGAAACCTTGGACGCAACATTATTCGGCAGCGTTACTACTCGCATGATGTTAGTAACATATGAAGTTATTTATTTTATTGTTATGTTGCAACACATGTCTAATGAAAGCCCGGGAGCTCAAGGCTACACAATACTTAGTATTGTAAATACCCTAGTAAAATCTACTCTAAAATCTAATCTTATGGCAGGCTTCCCTTGAGTTTAAATTTATTTAGGTTTTGCTGTTAGCTTATAGGCTAAGTTGACGTAAAACAAACTAAATACTCCAACTCAATTTTTTCTATCGTTTAAATCCAAACGATACAATTTTAAGTTTTATGAAATCTAGGTGCCAGTGAAACCTTTTTAGAATCGTAACTCGTAAGGATTTAACTAAAAAAAAAGTCAAAAACATGATTTTAGTATATTAGAATCGCGTTTTTCATTTTTTCTATTGTCATTACATAAATATAAATTTCATTTCCGATTTGCAAAGTAAAGTATGTAATACCTGATAAATTCATTAAACTATCAGAATAATAAAAAAACTTATTAATAGACAAGTCGGGTGTCAAACAGTAGATACAAAATTTATTTAAATCGCTGATACAAAATATAGCGAAACTGTGAATCTTTTGTACGGATGAGAGAACATATGAATACTAAATGGTCGGCTGGTTCATTACTTTACCGTTTTTCTCTTTAATTTACTCTACGGGTTATTCTGTGGTTGTTTGTCATTCGGCATAAATCAGATAGAAGATGTTTACGGCGATAACGTGAAACTTTTAATTTAAAATATCGAAAACTATTTTGGACTAGGGCACTTAGTAATTTATTAATGTGTTTTCTTCTGTTTAATGTTAACTATAAAAATGTAAAAAGTACTCAAGTTTATTTTTCAACCACATGTTGTGATTATCTTTTCTTTTAGGTTTGACTTCTAACAAATACTAGAAAATTTTACAAAATAGAAGTTGATTCAATTTAAACCATTCAGTGTTTATTGAACAAAAGTTGGTTAAAAGACATTTATGACAAAAATATGAGATGTAGAAATGTTTCAAAAGTAAAAATTTTAATACTATTTTTTTTCTTTTTGTTCCTAAGTTTTTTTAAGTTGTCAAACGTGTTTGTAATACTTGCTGTCTATGTTATTAAATTTTGCTTTGATAACATACTTATGCCTTTTAAAAGCAGGTTTTGCATATATCTCTTAAGTGATAACCAATGTTTAGACCAATAATAAAATTTCGTTTGTTGACTGATTCGATTTAGCTAGATGATCCTTGACCTTCCCACAACAAACCGCTGGTTTTGGTGATAAAGTTGAAATAAAATAATTGAATCATAAATTGAATTTGAAATACAATATACACGTATGTTTGTATGTATTACAGCTAAGGTAGAAAAAAATCATAAATTACAGAACTTAAATCTAGTTTGCAATATTGCAGTGCAAATTTTTGGAACCTAAGATTTTTGCTTTATTCTCTGAAAATGAGCATTAAAATAAAAGAAGTTGTTAAATTTTGTTGAAAATATTAAAGTTATAGGTATGATTCTAAACTGTAATGATTAAAAGCGATTTATAAAGTAACATAAATAAACAGATAATAAATAGTTACTAAAATCCTTATTTATTATCTATATTCTGTATCACTTGCAGTTCGACTTGACGCATCGTGGGACGCTTTGCTTGGCGCTGTTAAATTTATTTTTCAATTTGTTTCCTTAAAATACATTCAAGTAAGATGGTGCATTTTTTGTGAAGTTTTCGTAAATGTAATTTTGCTTTAGTTTTACTTTTATTCTTTCAGACCATGTCGGGTATTGCTAGCGCACGTCTAGCCGAAGAGAGAAAAGCTTGGCGCAAGGACCATCCATTTGTAAGTCGTTTGTCTGGCGCAATTTGAGCAATTATGAATTTTCACTTCTAATGAAAACATATATTTTAGGGTTTTGTGGCTAGACCAATGAAGAATCCTGATGGTTCATTAAATCTTATGACATGGGAGTGTGCGATACCCGGAAAAAAGGGGGTTAGTATTGATATTAACTTAATTTCTAGAAGGCTTTTCCATACAGACATCATTGTGATATAAGACTTATGTATTATTATTTTCATTGTGATTTATTAGAAATCATAAACCACAAAAAATTTAAGATCATCTATTGTCTTTACAATTGATATTATGAATCAGAGAGCAATATAAAAAATATATACAAATTAAAACAGTATCTGTTACTTGCTAGTTACAAATATGAAATAAAAGTCTTTGTTGATATTCAATACATTAAGTTGTAGATGAATTGCATGAAAACAACATTAAATTAACATTTCTTTATGGTTTTAGACACCCTGGGAAGGAGGGCTGTACAAGTTACGTATGATTTTCAAAGATGATTACCCATCAAGTCCACCAAAATGCAAGTTCGAGCCACCATTGTTCCACCCCAATGTATATCCATCTGGTACTGTATGTTTATCATTGCTCGATGAAGAGAAAGACTGGCGTCCCGCGATCACAATCAAACAAATCCTCCTCGGAATCCAAGATCTACTTAATGAACCAAATGTTAAAGATCCCGCACAGGCTGAAGCATACACAATCTACTGGTAGAAATCAATTTTTATGTCATATTTTAGTATCGGAACATATTAAGATACAAAAAATTAATGTTTTAATATTTTCCAGCCAAAATCGACTAGAATATGACAAGAGAGTAAGAGCACAAGCCCGTGCTATGGCTGCTACCGAGTAACTTCATTCAAACATTCCTCGATCTATTAGGAATGCAAGGAAACCATTGTTGTGTCAGTAGAATGGTCAAATACATCTTTTGTTTTTAAACTTGCAAGCTGGTATCAAATGAATATTTCCTTTCCAACTGACACACCATTGGATCGGAACTTAGTTTTAAGTAGTGTTAAATTATTTACTTAAATATACTGTTTGGTAAATAGTTTAACAAATTAATATTATGAAACAAAACATTCATAAAAATAAAATACTTGAATACCATTTGTAAGTACTCTAATGTTAAAAATGTAGCCGTTATGGTTAATTTTTAAGACATAATTTATTTGAAACATTATGCATTTCACTTTTGGGAGTTCATTCCTCCTTGATATCTTATTAAGAAAATGTAGATTTTTCGGTCCAGTATTTTCTCATCCTGTTAGCTTGTAAACATGTCAAATAAGATAATTGTGAATCCTGCATAAAGTAATCATTATTATAAGCTATCAGCTTTTAGAATATTTAATATGGCTTATACAGTCTGAAACACTGCAGGGAAGATCTATAAAAATACTGATTTGTCTGCTCTTTATATTGACAAAATAAATATTAATTTCAGTGTAAAACATCTCTTTTAAAAGAATCTACAATATTGTTTGAAACTATTTTTGTATTTTTATGTTAGTTAACAAAACAATAAACAAAATTTAATAATTGTTGCGACTTTTTATTTACAAAATGAAAATGCGGCTTAATTTCTTAATGAATATTTAATATTAATCCCTAATCAAAACTAGCAAAAAATATATATTATGCAATATGCATATTATGGATACTATTTTTATTTTATTATTACTACTTAAATTACTTTGTGTATTGTTTTTAATTTTATTTTTGTTGAAAAGTGTAAAGTAATTTGTTATTATTTTTTTAAGCTCGGGTTTTGTTATTTTTATTGATAGTATCGACTTCAAATGACTAGCCAAGACATTATTTACACAGACAAAGCAAGAATATAGATACAAAAGATTGAATGTTCAATATCTCAAAAAAATATGGTGTTTCTTGTTTTATTACATATTTCTTTTATTAGTGTGATTACAATTAATTCATTTCTTTAAAAATAAGCAGTGAAATAAAAGTTTGCGTTTTATACAGTATACAGTTTTTGCTTATCTATTGATTGTAGTGGGAAGTGTCAGAAACAAAATGTCATTTCAATGTTGTTAACACAACACAACATCTGACATTTTCTAATACGAATTATGATTATTTGGAATTAATAAGTTTTTATAACAAGAACAGTGCTTTTCTTATTATAGATATTTGTTATACCATTAAGCAACATGGCAGATGATGAGCAGGATCCTAAAGAATATAGATGGGAGACGGGTTATGAGAAAACTTGGTAACTTTTTTTTATCTCGTGTTTTATCATAATAAAGTATCTTGTTTATATGTAGTTTTAATTGCTATTTACAGGGAAGCTATCAAGGAAGATGAAGACGGTTTGGTGGAAGGCCTTGTCGCCGAATTCGCACAAAAAGCAGCTCGCAAAGCTATTGCTCCAAAACGTGGGCCGGTTCGTCTTGGTATGATGAGACATTTGCTGGTCGCAATAGACTGTTCCGAAGCCATGACATCTCAGGATTTAAAACCTACGAGATTTCTTTGCACCTTAAAGGTCAATACAATATAACTACAATTAGAATTTAACATTATTTAGGAATTATTTATTGTATTAATGGAGTTTTCTAATTCCTTTCGACATATAGAGTATTATTTGAATCATATTATTCACAGCTCCTAGAAAAATTTGTGGAAGAATTTTTTGATCAAAATCCTTTGAGTCAACTTGGTATAGTTACAATGAAAAATAAAAGGGCTGAAAAAATTACAGAATTATCTGGAAATGTAAGAAAACACATCAAAGCTGTTCAAGGGTAAGTTATTTAAAAAAATTATAATTAAAAGAATGCATATATTATACATAAATATTCACAAATAACCAATATGTAACATTGGATAATAAAAAGTTTAAATATTGACATATACAAACATGAACATGTCTATAAAACACCTCTTTATATCGATTGGCAATAAAATAGATTCATAAATAAAAATGGATTAATTCAATTATTCTTTCTTACAATATCCATTTTATGTCCAATTATTAATATTATAAAGTTCAAATTTCTTTATATCGGTTTCAGTCTATCAAATCTTGCATTAACAGGAGAGCCCTCTCTGCAGAACACTCTAGAGTTAGCAGGAAGAACATTAAGGCCGTTACCTGGACATGCATCGAGAGAGCTCCTTGTTTTATTTGGTTCACTTACTACATGCGATCCCGGAGACATAAATACCACTATACAGGTATGTTATTATATAAGAAAAATATAATTAATTTCACTATGAAAACTTTCTTAAACTGATACATTAATGTTAACAATACTATGTATGTAATAAATATTATAAAATTTCAGACTCTAAAAACTGATGGTATTAGATGTTCTATAATCGGTCTTGCAGCGGAAGTGAGGATATGTAAGAAATTATGCCAAGAAACTGGTGGTGAATATGGGGTATATAACAATATTATTAATTATTATGTTAATTAATTTATAAATAGCTTATTACTATTAAGTTTTATATTACTTTGACTGAATAGTAGTATTGTTCCCGTATTGTCTTGTTTTCTTTAGTATGAACATTTAATATTCTTGCAACCAAGAAGATTGGATTGATAATGTAAATTCTTCATTACTTTTGACATTAAGTAATAATTAAATAATTTTTTTAAGTCATATGGTAAAAGGATTAAATGAGACCTTATTACAATACTCTTCACTCTTTTTGTCTTACAATAATCTATCTCTTTAACTGCAATGGTTAAGGTTACTCAAAATTTAAACAACAATTCACTTCTGTTGCTTCTAAAATTATACATACTAAAAAATATATTGAAATGTCCTTTTTTACATGAAGTTTTGCTAGTTTTTATACTTAATAGCACAAAACTCCTCTGTAAGTATAACTCACACTTGGTTGGCTTTTTCTAGTAATGTTTTTATTTACGTAGCCAATGTCTTCACATTAATTCCAAAAATATATATAATTCAGACGATATCACACTAAATTGTGACAGCTTTATATTAAGTATTTCTTGTATTGCAGGTGGTATTAGATGATGTTCATTACCGCTCATTGCTGTTAGACCAGACCTCTCCCCCAGCCAGAGCGCGCGCTCTTGACGCAGGTCTTGTTAAAATGGGCTTCCCTCACACACCTCAACCATCATCTGATCAGCCGGAGTCTGATCCACCGATAACATTATGCATGTGGTGAGATATATAAGAATGTAAAATCCTTGTGGCCTTTTCCTTATGGTTTTCATAGTGTAATTCTGAAACAATATAATTTGGTTGAGTTTTCACTATTTAGAATTTATTGTCATATATTTATAATGTATTAATTCAAGACATTGGTATCATCAATTTATTTAAATTAAATTAAATTTCAAATGTGTTGCACATAAGTTTATTTGGAAGATATTAACTTTCCTTTACTAATTCATATCCATCAATGGAATGAATATACAGTGTAAACTCTATATAACGACACTGAAGGGACCGTGCATTTTAGTGCGTTATAGAGAGTTGCCGTTAAATAGAAAGAAGAAAAATCAGAATTAGATAGAGACAAAGTTTATTCCAGACTAGTGTTAGTACTTATGTACATAAAAAAGAATGTTATACTTTTGAGATTTTGTGAGCAGCTTTTTATGTTAACGTATAGGCAATACAAGACTCCTACTTATGGTCAAAAACCGTCGACACGTTTAAGCAATTTGTAATTGTAAACAAAAGAACGAATTTCTTAGAAAGTTCGGTATGCATGATAGGGACAGTCGAGTTTATTGTGGGCTAGGATAACAAAGCGACAAAGGAACGTACACAGCTGCACAGTTTTTACTAATTTTAGCAACTTAAAAGGTACTTTTATTACTTAATTGTGGTCGTTATTGAGAGTGGGTGTGCCGCTATGTAGAGTGTATCATTGTATGGTAGACAAGCTAAACCAACCAAAGTCAAATGATTTCGACGCTTTAGAGAGATTGTCGTTAAATCGAGTGTCGTTATATAGAGTTTACACTGTATAATAAAGGCAATGATATAATAGATATATGATTAAAAAAAAATATTTAAATGCTAGTAAATTTTAAGGTACCTCATATTTAAGTTCAATTTGGTTGTTAGGTTGTTAAAATTATAATTTACATATTAAATGTATATTATAGTAATATAATTTTAAGAATATTCCCATATTAAAAGTAAACATTGCACAGAGATATTTCACAGCTTTTTATGTTAAACAATGCTAATTAAATTTATATGCAAATTATACTTATATATATATTTTATCTAAGTCATCTTGAGGAGGGCGAGGGTGTGGTTGGCGAGGGTCATCTTTGTCCTCAATGTCGCAGCAAGTACTGTTCACTGCCGGCTCAGTGTCGGACATGTGGACTGACACTCGCATCAGCACCACATCTAGCCAGGTAACAATTAATTAATATATAACCTCTTTTGATTAGTATATGACCTCTCTTGATCAGTATAAAACCTCTTTCGACTAGTGTATGATCATATATTAAATAACTAAATTTGAATAAATTTGAAGAAAGAATGCAGTATTGTAGAATGTCAATTTTTTTATAGGTTTTAATTAAGTTAACTTTTTTTTATAGTACATAAGTATTACGTGATAGGTTCTTGTTATTATGAAATGCACACAGATACAAGATTAAGGGATTACAAAATATGGGACCCAAATATCATAAAATTTTAAAGTAATTACATACATAATTCTCAATAATATTTTTATATCTTAAATATATGTTTTGATAACAAAAAATATCTTAATTTCTTTGTAACTATTAAATGTATAGAATTAATTAATTGTTGTAAGTTCCAAATTAGGTCATATCACCATCTATTTCCTGTGGAGCCTTTCGAGGAATTACCGAATGAGGGTCAAGCTCAATTCTGTTTTGGATGCCTCAGATCATTCACAGACAATGATAAACAGGTAATATTGTTATATATTGTTACATCTGGACATCTGTAACTATATATACTTATCTATACCCCTCAGAAGTATAAGTAAATCTAATCCCTACTAATTTTATACATGAGAAAGTAACTCTGTCTGTCTGTCTCTCTGTTACGCTTTCACGCCTAAACAACTGAACTGATTTTAATGAAATTTGGTACAGAGATAGAGTTGACCTTGAGAAAGAACATAGGATAGTTTTTATCCCAGACTTTTGAAAGCTTCTCTTGGAAACGCGATATAACCGAACTCCACGCGGGTGAAGCAGCGGGCGGAAAGCTAGTACTTTTATAAATACAGAAATTACAAAATAAATTACTAACATATTTAAAACAATATCTGTCACTAAATATACATTTACTTCGAAATATTAACTCATAAAATATCAAGTTTTTCTCATAAACTTGCTTTAAGAATAGAAACTTCACTCAAATTTTCAATATGTATTATGTATACAGAAGATAACTATTTGCATATAGAGATGTATAGTTCAAAATAAGAACCTATTTCTTTTAATAATTTCATTACTTCAATACAGATATATCGTTGTCGTCGCTGTACTGAATATTACTGCTGGGAGTGTGAAGGCGTGGTGTCTAGTACACTTCATGTTTGTGGTTCTTGTGCCTCGAGGCCGCAGCTTTACCAGAGATTACCAACGGCTGAAGGGAAAGACTGATATACCACATATATATAACACATATATTGATTATGATTGATGTGAAAGCCAATTCACTCAATGTACATTAAGTGAAAATATGTCCTTGATATAAAATGCTATGATAATTGAAGGTCGCAGAAAATAAAAAAGAACTGTAGAAATATTGAGTATGAATAGAGATACGCCTTTTTTATATTATCAATGTTTTTTTTCTGTAAATAAACTGTTATAAACGATATGTGTAAATTATTACGTCGCCTTATTTTTTGGTCCATCTATAACATGTAGTATTACAGTCAACTGGAGAGTAGGTGTAACGGCGGTAGGGGTAAATTGTTCTGCAATATTTCTGTTTTGGTTTTGTGTTGTAAATCTTCCAATCAACTTAATAATAATTAGTGTACTACATAATATATATGTGTACCTATAGTAATTTAATCCAATGTTAATAAATTAATCTACTGTTAATAAATTAATCAACTGTTAATAAATAAATCCACTGTTAATAAATTAATCAACTGTTAATAAATTAATCCACTGTTAGTAAATTTAATCAACTATTAATAAATAAATCCTCTGTTAGTCAATTAAACAACTGTTAATAAATTAATCAACTGTTAATAAATTAATCCACTGTTAGTAAATTAATCAACTGTTAATAAATAAATCCTCTGTTAGTAAATTAATCAACTGTCAGTAAATTAATCCACTGTTAATGAATTAATCAACATTTAGTAAGTTAATCAACTGTTAATAAATTAATCCACTGTTAGTAAATTAATCAACTGTTAATAAATTAATCCACTGTTAGTAAATTGATCAACTGTTAATAAATAAATCCTCTGTTAGTAAATTAATCAACTGTTAATAAATAAATCCTCTGTTAGTAAATTAATCAACTGTTAATAAATAAATCCTCTGTTAGTAAATTAATCAACTGTTAATAAATAAATCCTCTGTTAGTAAATTAATCAACTGTTAATAAATAAATCCTCTGTTAGTAAATTAATCAACTGTTAGTAAATTAATCAACTGTTAGTAAATAAATCCTCTGTTAGTAAATTAATCAACTGTTAATAAATTAATCCACTGTTAATAAATTAATCCACTGTTAGTAAATTAATCAACTGTTAATAAATTAATCCTCTGTTAGTAAATTAATCAACTGTTAGTAAATTAATCAACTGTTAATAAATAAATCCTCTGTTAGTAAATTAATCAACTGTTAATAAATTAATCAACTGTTAATATATTAATCCACTGTTAGTAAATTAATCAACTATTAATAAATAAATCCTCTGTTAGTCAATTAAACAACTGTTAATAAATTAATCAACTGTTAATAAATAAATCCTCTGTTAGTAAATTAATCAACTGTTAATAAATAAATCCTCTGTTAGTAAATTAATCCACTGTTAATGAATTAATCAACTGTTAGTAAATAATTCAACTGTTAATAAATAAATCCTCTGTTAGTCAATTAAACAACTGTTAATAAATAAATCCTCTGTTAGTAAATTAATCAACTGTTAGTAAATTAATCAACTGTTAATAAATTAATCCACTGTTAGTAAATTAATCAACTATTAATAAATAAATCCTCTGTTAGTCAATTAAACAACTGTTAATAAATAAATCCTCTGTTAGTAAATTAATCAACTGTTAATAAATAAATCTTCTGTTAGTAAATTAATCCACTGTTAATGAATTAATCAACTGTTAGTAAATTAATCAACTGTTAATAAATTAATCCTCTGTTAGTAAATTAATCAACTGTTAATAAATAAATCCTCTGTTAGTAAATTAATCCACTGTTAGTAAATTAATCCACTGTTAATGAATTAATCAACTGTTAGTAAATTAATCAACTGTTAATAAATTAATCCTCTGTTAGTAAATTAATCAACTGTTAATAAATAAATCCTCTGTTAGTAAATTAATCCACTGTTAGTAAATTAATCAACTATTAATAAATAAATCCTCTGTTAGTCAATTAAACAACTGTTAATAAATTAATCAATTGTTAATAAATAAATCCTCTGTTAGTAAATTAATCAACTGTTAATAAATAAATCCTCTGTTAGTAAATTAATCAACTGTTAATAAATTAATCCACTGTTAATAAATTAATCCACTGTTAGTAAATTAATCAACTGTTAATAAATTAATCCACTGTTAGTAAATTAATCAACTGTTAATAAATTAATCCACTGTTAGTAAATTAATCAACTATTAATAAATAAATCCTCTGTTAGTCAATTAAACAACTGTTAATAAATTAATCAATTGTTAATAAATAAACCCTCTGTTAATAAATTAATCAACTGTTAGTAAATTAATCAACTGTTAATAAATTAATCCACTGTTAGTAAATTAACCAACTGTTAATAAATTAATCCACTGTTAGTAAATTAATCAACTGTTAATAAATAAATCCTCTGTTAGTAAATTAATCAACTGTTAGTAAATTAATCAACTGTTAATAAATAAATCCTCTGTTAGTAAATTAATCAACTGTTAATAAATAAATCCTCTGTTAGTAAATTAATCAACTGTTAGTAAATTAATCAACTGTTAGTAAATTAATCAACTGTTAATAAATAAATCCTCTGTTAGTAAATTAATCAACTGTTAATAAATTAATCCACTGTTAGTAAATTAATCAACTGTTAATAAATTAATCCACTGTTAGTAAATTAATCAACTATTAATAAATAAATCCTCTGTTAGTCAATTAAACAACTGTTAATAAATTAATCAATTGTTAATAAATAAATCCTCTGTTAGTAAATTAATCAACTGTTAATAAATAAACCCTCTGTTAATAAATTAATCAACTGTTAGTAAATTAATCAACTGTTAATAAATTAATCCACTGTTAGTAAATTAACCAACTGTTAATAAATTAATCCACTGTTAGTAAATTAATCAACTGTTAATAAATAAATCCTCTGTTAGTAAATTAATCAACTGTTAGTAAATTAATCAACTGTTAATAAATAAATCCTCTGTTAGTAAATTAATCAACTGTTAATAAATAAATCCTCTGTTAGTAAATTAATCAACTGTTAGTAAATTAATCAACTGTTAGTAAATTAATCAACTGTTAATAAATAAATCCTCTGTTAGTAAATTAATCAACTGTTAATAAATAAATCCTCTGTTAGTAAATTAATCAACCGTTAGTTAATTAATCCACTGTTAGTAAATTAATCAACTGTCAGTAAATTAATCCACTGTTAATGAATTAATCAACATTTAGTAAATTAATCAACTGTTAATAAATAAATCCTCTGTTAGTAAATTAATCAACTGTTAATAAATAAATCCTGTGTTAGTAAACTAATCAACTGTTAATAAATAAATCCACTGTTAGTAAATTAATCAACTGTTAGTAAATTAATCCACTGTTAGTAAATTAATCAACTGTCAGTAAATTAATCCACTGTTAATGAATTAATCAACATTTAGTAAATTAATCAACTGTTAATAAATAAATCCTCTGTTAGTAAATTAATCAACTGTTAATAAATTAAACCACTGTTAGTAAATTAATCCACTGTTAATGAATTAATCAACTGTTAGTAAATTAATCACCTGTTAATTTGTTAATGTTTCTTATATATACAGGGTGACTGGTGAATTACTATCAATATTTGAGGAGAATACTCGGTACATGATTCTCATTCGAATTATGTAAAAAAATAGGTTACTTAATTTTTGACCAAATTTCCGTATAAATAAATAAAGTGTAGACACGTTCCAAGTGTTCCAAGTGTGGACGCGTGCGGCGGCGTGGTGTTGTATCAGCACGCCGCCGCACGCGTGTGTGTGTGTGTATACCTTATCTGTAGGGTGTTCACACGATGCGTAATTAATTACATAACTTTTGGTTAACTTTACATAGAAGTTTATTAATATTTATGTTATATTAATTTTTATTTTGTCATATATGATCGTCAAATATCACGTCCTCGAGTATCGATAGTAATTCACCAGTCAACCTGTATATAAGAAACATTCTTTTCTTTCGATTCTGAACAAACTACTTTCAGGGTGTGCGTTAATTACACCCACAAGGGGGTTGCGGGGGTGTTGACAATGGAAAATACGCTTTCACGTCTAAACCACTAAACTGATTTTAATGAAATTTGGTACAGAGATAGAGTTGACCTTGAGAAAGAACATTGGATAGTTTTTATTCCAGACTTTAGAAAAGGTTCTCTTGGAAACGCGATATAACCGAACTCCAAGCGGGCGAAGCTGCGGGCGGAAAGCTAGTATTATATACATATGTCTATGTGTTCCTTCTTCTAATTCGGAGGTTTAAATTGTAGTAAATATAAAGGACCCCCGTAATCCGACACCCCCTGCAACCCGATATGGTTTATAATTCATTATTGATTAATTATTTTGTCACTCATCACTAATGTATGTATAATTGAACAAGAGTTATAATTTGCACGTACCACTGTTATTGTGCTCAATGCTTAAGGTATCGTCGTGACTCTACTGATTGCCTCGTTTGAATTTGACTACATGTAACGATGGTAGCGTATTTCTACATCAGATTACATATAAATAACATCATATGATTGTACTGAATATTAATAATTATCCGAACTTTATTGGGAGATTTATGGGCTCTTAAAAAAATCCTTACTAAATGCGGTTCTTAGTGCTTCATAATCTGAGAAATTCGACAGTTTGAAACCACCCTGCAAAATGTTTGTCGGATAACCGGGAGTCCACTGTAATTTTATAATTTGTCTGTTGTTTGTTTTTAATTTTTAAGCGACTTTAAAAAAGGAGGTTATATGATTAAAAGGCTTATACTAAATCTAATATGTATCCTAAAATTTTCAGTTGATCCTATTATTCAAAAACGAGTTTTACTTGCGAAGTGGTTTCGTTATTTAAACATTGTTGTTACTTATTACTTTTTAAGTGTGAATATACTCTATTTCACACTTCAAACTAACTATTTGATGTAGCTTAATAAGAAGTTTTGGACACATTTTTTATTAAGTAAAAAAAAACAAATCACGAGTGTCCGCTTAGTTAGATTTTTAAAATAGATAATGTTATTAAGTTTATTTGGTTAACCCGTTATGATGAGAGAATAAATCTAGGCTCTATAATTTTGTTTCTTTTAGTTTTATAACCAAAATGAATTTTAATACCTACTCTTAAAATTCAATAAACTCAATTCAATATTTTCCATGTAATATTCTTCTGGACATATATTTATAGAAATTTCCTTTTGTTTCTTTCATATAATAAATAATAGGTATCACTTTGTTATGAATTACACAATAAGTTCACGGGAACTCTAGGACTCACAATATACTTACACTACAATAGGTTAAAAGATTTTTTTATGACTTTGTATCATACTTAGTATTGAGTTGACTATTATGTTATTACGTTATTATTTTGAGATTTTAGAAAACAGCTATTTGAGGTAATTACTTAAACTGCTCCAAAGTTGAACAGACAATAATCACTTCTTATTCTTCCGGTAGTTTCGACTGTGTTTCGAATATTACTACCAAATGAGTTATACATGTCTTCTTTGAATATACATATATAACGATAAATTAAAGCATCCATTAATATATTTATCTTTTAAATGCATAGCATGAATCTATTTTTAGATCATTTTTTTAGCAACATCAGTAATAGCAAATAATAATTGAATAATTTATTATATACGTCCAAAGAAAAATATATCAAAAGTAAAGCTTGGTTTTTGCTTGAGCATTTGTTTATACGAACGCTTTTTTTTCTTATAACATATAATACAAAAATCTTTATATCATCACGTAAGTAGGTGTTATCTGTTTGTAGTAAAAACGCATGACGTCACTTGGCAACACTTCATAGGAAACATCACGTAATTGACATTAAGTAATGTTGAAAAAAAAACGACAAAACAGTTTAGCTTTTTATTTATATCACATTGTATATTTGTATGTTTGAAGACATCCTATTGTATAGGATATTAACGGTCCTATAAATACATTTTGTGTATTCACCTAAATTGTAATATGGTCTTTGTAAAAATCACAGATAAAAATCTCATATCACAAATATGATGTTGGTACCTACTTGTTACTTAATGTTTTTATGTGTATGAGCGTTATTATTCCAGTTTATATGCAATGTTTATGTAAATGTCTATAAAATTGGCTACGTCACGGTATACACAACTTTTTGTGCATAATATTTTTGCATACCTGCTTATATTTAAAAATATTTGTATTTTCTTAATAATTGCAGCGCTCATACACGTAAAATAGCTCTCCGACGTCTAATTATTTATTTCTTTAGTAAACGCGACACCTTTACCAACTTCTGTCGAATTTATAGATACTTATAGACACAGTTTAAATGCTTGTATCAAAAAGTTTTACCATGGCGGAGGGAACATTGAACGTAGGTTAGGTTATGTTAAGTATAATGTTTGTAAACCTAACTACATATAAATTGTTATATGTTTACATAATATACGGACAACATTCAATATAATATAGACATCAATATTTTCTTAAATTACATTTATGACAAACATGCAATAAGGCAAAACTTTACGTATTCTATAAGCATATATAATATCTTTACGATATAATATAGAAGGCCACATTAAATTTAACACATAATATTTCATAGAGCCTAAGTTAAGCCGAACACTATTATAGGTGCTCGTGATATTTGAGTACCAGGTTGTTTAGACAATCGTCAGATGCTGTGTGCCTAAGACCTTGAATTGTGACATGACGCCTACATTTAAGTTCAATACGTAACATAAGGAATAATTAATACTTTATATATTTTCCTCAAACATTTTGAGAGTCAGCTGCCTTTTTCCTCGTCATCCATAGTATGTTCGGTTTCTGATAATACTGTTCTATTTGAATGAGAGATTTCCCTTTCGTCTCGGGTAGTAGGAGGAATAGAACCGCTGTAGCCAAAGAGGCGGACGCACCAAAGAGTCCGAATACGCCGGACATACCGATATTGTTTTTCATGACGGGGTATAATTTTGTGAAACCAAACAGAACGCTATTGAAGAGGCAGAATATATAACCTCCGCAGAGTCCTCGAACTCTTGTAGGTAAAAGTTCGCCGATCATAAGCCCTGGCAGTAAGAAGAAGCCAAGGGTATTGAAGGCAACGTATCCTAATATGAGAATCGGTGGAAGTACTCCCGTGCCTGGTCCATAGTAAAGCAAGCCTGAGAGAGCGAGTGTGAACAACGCGGTTCCTATACCAGAGACTAGTACTAACGCTCTACGTGTTACTCTGAGTAATGCAACACAAGCAATTACTGTTACCAACAGACGGACCAATGCACTGGCGTTTGCTGCCATCTGCAAAAAAAATATTAAATTAGTCTTAAATTTAATTTCAATGGCTTTATAATGAATTATACGTGCATAGCGTAAACTTTAGCTCAAACAATTAAAGGATATATTAAACTGTGAAGATGATAAAGTTGTATAGTAATTTCCTTATTTAATACTGACATTGAACATAGGATAAACCAGAGACGTTTGTAATAATTAATATATATAGATATACCATAGATATTAGTTAATAGATATATAACATGACCTAGAATAGTTTGATTTTGATTTATATCATTTCCAAGGAAGAATATTGATAATCACATATTTATAGTAAGTACATATAAAACTTCCTCAACATTATGCCAATGAACTATTCCGTACAGATTTAATATCGACTTATCTTTTTATTGATTATTTAGGTACAAGAGATATCTTGAAAGAGTTCGGTCAGGAAATTGATTGTGATTGATATGTTTTATCTAAAAATTTTGAACAATTTAATCTATAGATGTTTTAAACTATTATGTCAATACTATTCAGGGTACAAGAACAAGGTTAAAGATAATAGTATTTTTTTTTCATTAATTATATAGTAAGCTATAGTTTAAATCCGGTTTTAGATGAGGAAAATATAATACGGTTATTTTTTTATAAACCCGGGCAGGTTTGTATACCCGGCAACTCATTACGAAGATTTTATGTACTTATATGTTTTTTACTAACAAAAGACGACTTGTAAAACGAACGAGGAAAATATTTAACAAGGATATAAAATTACAATGTATATAAGTAGAAGAACTGTTTGTTCAAATATATGAAGGTTATATATGAAGAAAGTATGTTCTAGAATACTAAATATGTAATTGTACAGTGTGCCTATCATTAGAACCTAATCATTTAAACGATGAGGTTTCTAAGGTGTTGTAACATAAGATTTAAGAGAGACTGTTACGAAACAAACGAGTATGTATGGTTGCAAAAAGTACTAAATTAAATGTTTAGCAACAATATTCAACATATACAGCTAAATATCCTTGAACTTCGATGTATAAAACAGTATAAAACGGTATAAAAAATTACTCACAGTAGGGCTTAACGATCCTCCCGCGTCTTTAACGATGTCGACAGCGTAAAAAATAACTACGTAGCTGCCTGAAAGAATCTGCAGCATGTTGAATGCATTGATGAGGATTAAAGGTTTCAATACAGGAGCTCGGAGTACTGTTGCTAAGAAGCGAATCGTTTCTTCACCGCGTGCTTTTTCTTTCTCCCTTGCTGATATTAATTCGTGGAGCTCGCGTTGGGCCTGTTCAGTTAGAATTTATTATCAATACTTGACCTTTAATTGAAAATCGATTCAAACAAAATGAAATATTTGTGATACTTTTATTTATATGATGCAATCGTTTTTTATCGAAATCTATATATGAAAGTAGGTAATATAAAACATAAGTATATGCATTAGGTAATACCAATAGCGTACATTAATATTAATTCATTCAATCAAAATCTATGTATGCATATCAATCAATTATTAACGGCACGTTCCTACAATTCTATATTTAGATAATACGATAAATCATTACTGCTGTTTGTATGACTTAAATAAAGAAATAAATTAAGGGCTTATCGCAAATACATTTGAATTACATAAAATTTGGCCTGTCAAGTGTAAGCTTTAAATTGTCCGTAGTGACAACAATGTACTCTATAATAATTATAAGTAAACATTACTGTAGTTTCTGAGCATATGATGAATTTTTTATGCCATTTTTAGTTAGCTACATCTGGTCGCTTCAATAACACTGTACGTTGTAAAAAGTATTGATCAAACAGAATTCCGTCATCATACATAATACTGGTATATATTTGTATTAGATGTACTTATAGTAACAAAAAATTCAAAGCATATGGCTTGTGCTGTTCGATTAACCAACACAATGTACAGGTCGCTGAACGAATGTCAAGTTTTTGTACGGTTAATGTATTCAGAAGTACACAATGATTGAAAAACGTTGAAAATATACCGTACAATAAATACAAATAAAAGTTGAACGTAGTATTCAATTTCAAGTGAAGTCTAGTAGGCTTGGTTGGTCAAAGTAATAATTTTATGCCACAATTTTTTAATTTAATAGCCGATAACATTATTTTATATTATGGAATGTTACAGGAAAAGTAAGCAGTTCTCAGTTCTATGAATCGTTAAAAAAATGTTGCTTCAATTTCCGCGTTTAAACTATTCGCTCGGGTAATTACACTAATTATAACAATAACTGTAATAAATGAAATCGCGCCAACTGTGAAGTAATTAATTTTAAGCATAAAGGAGCGGTTTTACAGCCCATTGAATCGTCGGTGTTGTGAATATTCGAGCAACATGACATCAATTGTCAAGTGCGTTCTTATTGAGCTCATTAACAGCGATTGGTGGAATAAATACGAATGTTCCACAGCTGATTGTGATGAAAACAAAATACTTTGCTGGACATCGTATGATTGTGTAATTGAAACGCATTACATATTGAATGCAAGAAAGTATTACAATTTATATTACCGTATCAGGATCTCCTCGAAGTCTGGCCATAGCTGCCATTGCGTCGTGGAATCTTCCTCGTCTTGCTAGCCAGGTGGGACTTTCAGGTGAAAAGCATAGTGCTATGAACGCTAATGTGGGTAGTACGATAGAGAGTAGCGCTACAGCCCGCCATGATAATGCGCCACCCAATGCATACACATATAGCACTCCTAAAGAATAAGCCACGAACGGGGTGCCTATCAATAATCCTCGCAGCCGTGGTTCTGATATCTCTCCTAAGTATACCTGAGAAATGATTGAATAAATCCTATTATATCTTTCGTTGAATTGTATTATTATCTTTTGTTCAATATTCAGACACATCCGATTTCTGGAGTAGGTATAGATACTTATCAATAATATAATCATGAATGTAGTAATAGATAAATTTGGTATATCAAAGATTAGAGATATCTAATGCGGACGTTTCTATATCCGATATTATATGATCACATAAGAGATTATACAATGTCTACGATTAGAATGTAGGTAAATTATATTCTTAAGTCTTAACCAGTTTAGAAAAATAAATCATAAACTTCTATGCAAAGTATTTAGTAATATTGTTTAATATCGTCACGTTATGTTTAAACAGCACTTTGTAAATCACGTTTCACATTTTAAATAAGACAGTTACATACATTGTTTGGTTGTCATAAAAATAATACGTACTTGTGAAGGCGCTGCTAGAATGCCGACGGCGAAACCGCAAACAATTCTTCCTAGTAAAAGTAATGCGTGGTGTGTGGATGTTCCTATGAGTATCCAACCTATAACTAGTGGGAGAGTGGATGCTTGAAGGGTTCTTTTCCGACCTATCGCCTCCATGATAGGTCCCGACAACATGGAGCCAAGCGGGGTCGCCGCCGAGTGAATACTCGCTATGGAAAAGTTTCTATTTAAAATACTGCTAATTTATTTGAGACAAATTAAAAATTCTTTCAATAATCTTATTGTAACTAAATATAAATATATATAAAATTAGAGTCAAGTCGTTTCTGGACCGGTCAAAAGATTTTCGACCTCCTAAATCACACAAGCGTGAAGTGCAACTTCGACATATTAGGATTACTTTAAAGAAGTCTTAAGTTATACAAATATACGTGTTTTTTCGTCGTTGCAGAATATCAAATTTAAGACGCATTTAAGACCAATAAAATTATATACTATATTCAATACAAAGAAAAAACATAGTACTTTAATATGTGTAGTTGTTGCAATGTACTTGCAACTTGTTTTGTTTCATATATGTAATCTAAGAATTTCACGTGTACACATTTAAATGAAACTGTTTTTCAGATACTACTCTATTTTCATTATTGTACATGCTTAGTTAGTTAGAACAGTTGCTTTACACGAACTATGATCACGGTCAAACGAAATAAAAGTTAAAACATCATTTTCATTACTGATGTACGCCTGTATCGAAAAAGTATTTTTTCATAGAAATAAAGAATCAAAATAAACGTTAAACGTACCTACTTCGTACAACATATAATTAATATTAATGAAGCCGTACATGTTTTGTCACATGAGATGTTTTTGTCACTTAATTTTTTCTGGTGAATTGGTTCCTGTTTGTTTCTCATTAATCTCTATAACAACGCAGTTGATTATTCTTTTAATTAAACGCTATATATTAATAAGGCTTCCTAGTTGACCAAATTGTATACATATCTATTTCACAGTATATTCCATACATTATTGTAAGAAAACCGCTGGAGTTTTAAATCAAGTACTCAAGTACTTTGTCTGGTTGATTAATGTTATATACGGTAGAATTTTGGTTAAATCTAACAAAATATTTCAAAAGTATTGTCCCTCTTTGTCATTCAAACAAATACATTCTCCTTGATATCTGAATGGCAAGAGAAGCAATATTTATACTGGATTACACATTCAATTTGCTCTATTTAAATGTATAATAAGGTGAACTGAGACAAAAGTTATTTATAGATCGGCGTATATTGTGCTGATAGCGATTACATATCGATAATAAATCTCGGTTTTCGGAATTGTACTACTGATAAAGATATCCTACCTACATAGAGCGATCAAAGTTTTTAATTTAAAACAGTTTTTGATTTTTATAATCTCCTATATGAATATAATATAATATAAGATAATAATCATTTTTAACTCGTATTATTAATGTTATTTTATTTTTATGCATATCGTATTTCCATATTGGCATTTTTTATTCTAATTTATTGCAAGTAAATTTAAATATTATATGTCATATACATACTTAGAGTTTAGAATTTAGGAATCTTTATTCTCCTAACGAAACCTTTAAATATTTTTGAGTAAACATTTTGTCCAACAAAAATACTACACCCAAAAAAAATTCAACTACACTTATCACACCAAAATTATATTATTAAAAGAAAGATCGGCAATTATCTTAAAATTTATGATAAACGGAAATAAAAGACGATATAATTTATTTGTAATCACAAACAGATAAACTTAATTTATCTATTTACAATTGGCTGGTACTTAAAAAACTTTGTTACTTATTCATTTTTTTGCTTAAAATCTCGAGATAAAGTGAAAGAAGTTGAATTTGATACTCGAATAAAAAGTTGTTGCTGCGGTCTTTAAACACGTTACAAACTCGTGTGGTAACGGGGGAATACTTTTTGGGGCGATTTTTTTATGTTAAATTCCTCTTATTTGTGAAACGAAAGCGTTAAGTTCAAAATCCTTTATAATCACCTAACTAATGTATATTACGAGTGCATTATATTCAATTTTCTTGTGGTTAACTAAACGTTTATACGCTTTAAATTATTTCTCTGTTTTTACAATAATTCTAATATAAGTTGTATTGAATTAATGAAATGAACGAGATACGATAGTTATAACTTTAAAATACCTATCATAACATTTAAAAATTAATGATAAGTAATAAAATATATGATCCTTTTTTCTCGATACTTATCGTCGTACCATAGGTAATAAATAATGCAATATCATCGTTGCTAATGAGATTAAAAGTATTAAAACATCACTTTAGAAATCTCGGAATTATATTGTAGTCTTATAAAACAAAATAATAGAAATATTTTCATTATAGAAACCTTGTAAACATAACTTAATATTGTAGGGTAAAAATTTGAATGTGTATTTTTTATTACCTATCCAAGAGCCCATATCATCGTTGATTCTCATAGTCGAGTTCTCTGTCCTCAGCTGTGGCAGGGCAACCGCTGAGAAGCCTATAGGGTGACCGGCACCCGCAGCTAGTATTAATACCGCGCATGTTATTAAACACTGAAACAAAACATTAAAATCAATGAATACGATAATTTCAATAATATCCAATGAATTTTAATATTAAAGTGAAGTTTGTCAGCCTAATTTTTTCTTTCGTCTGTCGCATGTCGCATTACAGTCGGCTGCAAAACGGGGATAGAGTTTTGGGTCTTTGAGATGTTGGTATGTTTTTATTATTGATTTAAATAGAAATAATCATATATTCACCATACTATGAAGTTTTATTTTTATCATTAAATCAATATAAAGTCTAAAACGTGGTATTCATAAGCAAATTCTGATATTTGTTTAATTTTTTTTACTTAAATGTATACGAATTGAAAAGTTTCTCTTACGTCGTAGTTTTATTAAACTACACCAGACATTTTTGCACAAATATGCAGTTTACTCAAATCTTTGTTTGTTATTATTTGTTTGGATTAAAGTAGCGTAAACATAAACAACAAATAATAACATTAAATGCATGATAGGTTTGCTTACCTTCAACGAAATAACAAACACATAAATTTGTCTTCAATTGCAATCATTACAACGCACAGATTGATACGTTTATTCATTATAGCAATTCAGGAGGTAATGTTAAATAACATGATCTTTGTGTAGTAATGGTTGAATTAGCTTTCATATTATCTATATTGGATGTTTTCATTCTATTAAATTTATCTTTCCACATATATAGTAATTTGAGTTAACGATAAAGTTAATAGGGTTCAATTAATGTTTGCACTCTTAATTTAATTGAAAATCGATAGTAATTTATTTGAAAGTCTTCGGAAAAGTTTTCCTTCTACGTCATGTCACAACTGTATGTTTTGATGTTAAGCCAGTTAGTGCTTTTATTAATAAAGTGTCAACTTGTCACCTGCCATATTTTGTTTTCTCAACGTGGCCGGATTCTTCCACACTTTATGGCATATAGAAATTGTTAAGGCTTTCTCATATAAGGCTAAGGTTTTATTGTACTTTTAAATGTATTATGGTATAGGTCAAGGGTTCAGATTTTAATACATTTGCAGATTACCTTATAAATATATTATATATTTTTTATTTCAAAACAAAAACGGTGTCAAAGTCAGGCCGAGGTAAAATATTTATGATCTGTCATAGCTCTAACTCTTGTATATTTGTTTAAATTCCGTTTTTTTTATATCCTTTTATAAAAATATGATTTAAACTACGAGTGCGAGATTTAATAATAAATAAATGTTTAATTTATATACTCTTCCTTACTTAAATATTACATGAAACAACAGCAATGAAGTCATTTATGCAGTGAAACAGTTATAATAATAAATTATCCAAAAATATCCTTTTATTCGAGTCTTTGATTCCTTATAAAAATATTTTTTGGTGAGAATGCGTCACTTTAAAACCGGTAAAAATCAAGTTTTACCGGAGTCTTATATTCTCGTACGGCTGTTACTGTATACGGGAATTATTTTTCTTTCCTTGAAACCAACCTTCAAGAAAACTGAAATAATTACGTTTTAGCGTCTTTCTAGAAGACGCTTTCTTCTATAAATATAGTTGACGAATATATTTATATATTTACTGCATTTACTAGATATTAATTATTATATGTTATTTCAAACCGTAGAAAACTGTTTTGTAATAAGTAATAATTATTAAAATACATAGTACTTATATGTGCCTTTATTACTTTTTCTGCAATTTCATCCAAGTGATTTAGTATTTCGGTTAAGAAAGATAACGATTTAAAAGATTGTATTGTCATACTACGTATGAAAAATATTCAATTTCTCATTCAATGACTTATGTTAATATATCCGAAACTTAGAAAATAAAATCTTGAAAGTCTGTATGTAGTGGGAAGATGTAATCTTGGGGAGTTTACGTATGTTTACACGGTTGGCGCGAGTTCTCAGGAGAATTATAGAAACTTCTGGATAAATTATAGTCTATACGTTATCCATCTGTCAAAATCTACCAAAAACACTTCTCACCTCATTAGTTTAAATTTTTGAACGTACTGGTTTCCAGAATTAAAATTATAAACGAGCATAGTTTAAAAGCAGCCTTGTCCCAAAATAAATTGATTAGTTCGGTGTATTTTCCTAATTGGTTTTCACAAGACATGATCACATGTAGGTGATTATAAAAATAATTATCTGCCATTTCAAAGACTTAGAATTCTTTTCTAATTGAGTTCAAATTATATATACAGACGAGTACAACTTGGTAGTATTTGTATTTACTAGGAAATTTAAATCTTGAAATAATCATTCCCTAACATGAAAGTATATAAGATATTTTATTTTATAAGACACTATAATAATCGTTTTATAAATCAAAATTGACGTACGCTTGTCGTTAGTTTTTTGACATATCTTTCCATTTCAATAAATGTTTATTCGAATGGAAATAACTGTTTATTGGGATGGATAGAATGTTATTTCTTCTTTTTCATACCTGATTAAACACTCCACGGACGGAGGAGTAGGTCTCTCCTTTAACATACGGAGGCAGTGTGGCTGTTGAACTGATGCTGCGCAGGAAACTTTGGAGTGCTTCATATTCTTCTTGACTTTGCACCTTTTTGCTAGTGACCTGGGGCTTTTTGGCCTTCCCCAACATACTTTCGTGAGCGCCATCGCTATAAAAATAGAAATAGTATAAACAAAATTTTTCCAATAAATTAATATATGAAAATTGAGAGGAACATCGCATATTCATATATTATTAAATTTATATTAGAAAAAAGCCATTCGTCATACAAAAAACTGATACAATGATTTATCGTTAAGCCGAGAAATATAATATTAAATAGTTTTACATATTAATTGATTTATGATTCGTAGCAAAGAATTACGAACAAAAAAATCTGGATATTTTTAGACTTAATTTATAAATAGTATCAAATCTTATTATATATTCATATTATAACCAAAACAGACAAATATATCTCCAGTTAAAAGTATCTAATTTATATTTATAATATTTCGATGACTTGTTTATAAAAAAATTCTGTACCGAAAAAAGACCGGAGATAATATAATTTATATAGATAAGAAATTAAACCTTGACTTACAAATTTGTGTAACATTAAAAATAATCATTGGATATAAAGAATTCGTTTATTTGTATGACATAATTAAACATTACTTGTGTAATGATCCAATTCTGTAAGACGTTCTTTAGATACCTATCTACGTACCTACACGTAATATAGGAAAAAATATCTGTAAATGCTAAGAAATTTCGGCTCTTTTAACACCCTCAAACAACACGTCTTCAGTCAAACTAAGAATAGAATATTAAGCTACCATAAAAACAAACTCCTAATATAATTTTTCTCTCGGTTTAAAGTATTCTGTATGCAAATAATATAGCAATATTATATTTAATTTCTTATACAAAGGTTGTCTAGGTGATGGATAATCGTTATTACTGTTTACAGTTCTCTAATAATGGCTCTTCATCATTTATTTTTTACATTCAATATAAATAGTTATGTCAATGGTTTTTTACTGCAAACTTATGTATATTTTTTTCACAAGAACTCTTTTATTTGTGGTTGTAGCGTTTGTCTCTATCTCGAATACGAATTTTTTTACGTGCGATTATAAATAAGTCAAATACGCCAAAAGTACCGAATCACTTTAAGTGAAGTTTTAAATGTAAAACTCAATTTTTTTCAATACATATAGTACGATAATTTAAACAACATTCAACTGTAAATGAAAGGAAATTTTTATTTAGTAAATTCTATAAATAAAAGTAATATATTTTGGCAACGCGATATTTGTGCGTAGTTGCGTATTTCGACGGCCGCGTCCGTCACCTTGCCAAATTTATGTAGTAAAGAGCATAAAAATTAAGAAATATTATCATATAAGTTTACAATACAATATATTTAGGTCTTCAACATTTATGTTTAATACTTTATTTAAAAACACACATATGTAATATTCAACATATGACACACGTATAACATGTGTGTGTGTGTGTGTGTGTGTGTGTGTGTGTGTGTGTGTTGGTATAAATAGAGTGCGGTAATTATAGCATTGAAGATAAAACCGGTGAGTGTCAAGATTGAAAGGAAATTGGACGTGGAAAAGAACTCTTTTCCATTCATTTTATGGTTGTTTCATTTACAGTTTGTTTCTTTGAATAATTTAAATATCTATTAGTATGTTTACATTGACAGAGCTATTTATTTCAAAGTCTCAGCATGAATCGATCTTCATTCATTTGTAGATTATCGTATTAATATATAATGAAACGTCTCTTTGTTCTACAGGGATTTCTTTGATACGTTTTCTAGAAGTCTGTTAAACTTTGAATAAATTAACTAGTACGTACAATTATTAATGTTTATCTATTTGGTTCAATATCATGCATTACTTATAGAAATCTTTAGAGTATATTATGTACCTTTGCACTTTTACAATACGAATTCTTCGACCCCAATAAATTTGGTAACCAAATACACAGACAACCATTTTAGTATTAATAAAGGATAATTAAGTTTTACGTCCTTATGATCAAGACGTTATATTGAACTGACTTAAAATCGTTCTTATCGAAGTAACCCGTACTCCAGAGTTGACAATTATTATAATATAAATTAAATAATCTTTACATATGAAATACATATGTTCAACAATGCAATTCAATTATTGCGATTAATTTTTTATTGTAAATATGATTTAAATATTAATCCATATAAATAAAAAGAGATGTCTAGATTTTTTTTTATTAATTTATTCTAAACCTAAATTTGTATCGTCCACTAAATGCGAAGCGATAACAGTTTTTCATTAATTAATTTTATGTTATAGTATTTACGTACCGAATGACAAACGGTAAACGTTTATGTAATGACGATAAAAACTTGTGTTAAGCGTACAGTTTATTCTTAGACACGACCTTAGATTCAATCTTGGGCTTCGATTTATTAATATGTGCCAAAAAATCGATATCTCATTAACAAAATTTATTATAAGCTATATTTAATTATGAAACACCATTAAATGGGTTATTAGTTTATAATTTCATAATTGCTGATAGCCGGGTCATATTACCAATCAAGGTCATGTTTTATGCTATGTCATCAATTTAATTTATTTATTAAACTAGGTACTCGCCCCGGCTTGGCACGGGTTCTTTACAAAAAGTATATAAAATAGACTATGCTACGTGAAATTGGTTGAGTACATACTTTTTGAGTTAAATCAAGAAGAAAGACTATCTTTGTAAAACAAATATTAAGTTTAAAGGAAGAGATACTGTATTTTTACATTTAACGACAGTCTAGTAATATAAAATAATTACATTATTTTTTCGTATAAAACACTAATGAAGTGATCATATGTAAAAAACAAAAAAGTTTAGAAGTAACATGTGAAAAGGGAATATACAAATGAGGATACTATTAGATCATCTATAGGTGGTAGAGCCTAGTTGTGGTCAGTTACTACAGCTCGCACATGAGCTGGCTCAACCGGGGAAGTACCACCCTCTCACAGAAGATCGGCGTGAAGTAGTCTTTATGGCTGCGTTTCGTCCGATGAGTGAGAGAGCCGGTTGCCCTTTCCCTATTCCTATCCTTTCCTACCATTTCCTTATTCCTACCCCTCCCTACCCCTAAAAAACAAGGTTGGCAACGCATCCGCAACAAAGATGTTGCGGATGTCCATGGGCGACGGTAACCACCTTCCATCAAGTGGGCCGTCTGCTCGGTTGCCAAGCTTCACATAATAAAAAAAAAATCATTTTTTTTAATTCAGACATCATCATGTGAATCCAAAATCTTTTAGTTTTTCCTGATAGAGATTCCACTACTTTATTCAAATTCCACTTCTTTATTCATAGAATATGTAGATCAGTTACGTGATAGAAAGATATCATGATGGCAAATAAATGTCTATTTGATTTAAGTGAACAGCTTAAGGCAGCTTCAGAAAGGATACTTTTCCAATGAGAGTCATCTCCAATCAAACGCATTGCTTTACAAACTCCTTGAAATGCTTGATGACTTATATCTTGAAAAGTAGACAGAGAGACAGAAGAGAGAGAAAGAGAGAAAGTAGAGACAGAGAGAAAGTAGAGAAAGAAAGTACTGAAAGAACTATTTCTCTACTCCACGTAGTAAAGGAAGTGGAGTAGAGTAGAATCCTCAAATGAAAGTATAAACTGTTGTTGGGGCTAACTACATGAACTCTACCAAAGACATCATTTTTTCGCCCGTCAGGACACTCTTTAAGTATTGAATTAAATAATTAAACACAATAAACGATAGAAAACACAGTTGTAAATTGTTGTCGTTCGGCTAATCAGCTACAGAAACAGTGTTTAAGACGGTGCGGGAATTCTGCGTTAATAAACTTATATTGTGATAATTTTTAAATAGTATCTACGTCGGATTTAAATGATTCAAAAAGTAAAATATAGAACCTAACAGGAGCAAAAACAAAGTAATTTATTTTGATAAGAATTAATACCGTAATTATGTAAATAGTTTATAAATAGTAAAATTGATATAGTATGTTATCTTTCAGAAATAGACATGTGTCACCGCAGTCTTTTCTGTAGGCCTACAGAATTCCACCATACATTGTTTTGTTATATCTCAAAGGAATTAGGCAGCGTGTTCGTTAAAAGCCGAAACACTGCTAATTTTTTCCCGACATCGTCAACAAATATCGTTAATGTACAAATAGATAAATATAAAACCTTAACAAGTTATATACTAAAACTTTCCTCGAGTGTCACGCTATCGAGAAGTGAAAACTGCTTCATAATCCGTGTAGAGCTTCTTCAGTTTTTCGCGAACAGACAGACGGACAGACAAACGCGACAGGGGACTTTGTTTTGTAATAGGTATTAAATAAACGTGTTTTATATCTACCATTAAATTTATATAATAATAATAAATTTTATTTTATCTATTAACATAAAATAGACATTTGAAGACAATTATAGTTTACTCTATAAAATATATAATAGTAAAATAAACTGGAACGCTATATTCCGAAATTTACATTTTTAAAAACGAACTTCCTTTTTGAAGTTTAATTCTAGTGTAAGCTTAACATTATTTCTATGTTAAAAATATTGTTTTACAAAGTTATGTATTTTTTATTAATTTCATTATGAGAAGCAATCAGACTATGATGTTTTCGAAATGGAGCGGTCAATGACCCAGTTACACGTCCAAACCTAGTCAACTGCTGGTATTCTTTTGCAAAAAATTTTATCATCACACAGCTAAATCTATTATATAATTATTAAAAATATTTGTAAACTCTTAATCACGTAATTTTAAATATGAATTTTAAATGTTAGGTGTTTAAATTTATAATGGTTTATAGATTATAACGTCGAGATTAATTCGTATGTTGTTGTATATTTGATATTTATTCGTCCGACAAACCTTGAGCTCACGTTGTCAGAATATTCATTTACATATATTTCGCTAGACAAGGTCCAACCATAACTGGTTCTTGTGTAACAATGAATTCTATTCATTATTTTGTCCATCAACTTTGTATTGTGTTAGTTAAATATATTAAAGAGTATTTTTATCAAACGAAATTAGATTTAAAAAAAAAGATGTTTTAAAACACCTTTTTTATTTACATTGATTAACTCGGTTAAATAAATTAGATTTAGGATACCTACTTAAAAAAACACAAGTGCAACTTGAATTCGTTACAAGTAAATTA